TGCCACAGAGATCGGGCAATAAAAATGCAATTTCGGCAAGTTTCTCAGGCGAAAAGGAGGAAGGAGAAACCCTTTCTCTTTCGAAAAAAAGCGATGGCGGTGCCTTGTGTCGTATGTCGTATAAGTTTTCGTTTATATATTTTTAAGGGCCCAAATGCACTTGGGGGCCATAAAAGTTATTCACACGTTATATAATTTTTAACACCGCCAACGCACAGTGCCCAGAAATTGCTATTTGATGATTGAATGTTAGAAGTATTTTTATTGCGATTTAACATGAATATTTCTCATCTGTAATCCCTTAAATAGTTCCCACTTTTCTTTAAAATTTTAAGTATTTTTCAGGAATAATAATGTATTATCTTTATCTGTCTTAAATCTTTCACTCTGCCCATTGTTGCAACATCTTTAGCTCACACTTTGCCATCAATTATTCAATATAAGCGGCATTTAACGGCAAAGAAATTACATAAAAATGAAAAGAAAAACAAACGCTAATAAATTATTAAATAAATGCTGCAATAAACAAGAAATGAAAACAACACGCCAACCTAAAAGCGCATTTCTCATACACTTTGAGTCATTTAAAAGAGATTTATGAAGTGTTTGGCGAGAAAGAGTTATTGGTAGGTTTAGTGAGCAAGTAATTTGAGGTGGAAATAAATTATGGAGATCCTTTTCAGACAGGATTTTCAGTTAAAGCAAATAAAATCCCTTGAGTAAGTCTGTTTATTCTTATATTTTTTATCAAGTTAGTTTAACAAAGATCAGGTGCTTTAAAGTCCGCTTAAAAGTACCCATGAATACTGATTTTATTAAAAAAGAATCCCTATTTTGTCATAACAACCTGCCAAGTTCATCTGCATAGCTGATGTACCCCTTGTTTCATGTGTGAAAATGTCTCCGAGACATCCGTGCTCCGATTTCGCAATGGATGCCATCGACAGCGTCATCGGGCCATCGAGCTGTTGTACCGTTTTGATTATGCCCGCGGAATTAGATAATTTCGAGTGTGAGCCATATCCATAAATGTTTTTATTTTTGGTCTGTGTTTTATTTTTCGATTTTCGACTTTGCTAGATGCATATTAGCGCTTCGCGACGCTGAGACGCTGTGGAAAGTGAAAGTGATGCGGTTCCGATTCCAAGACCGATTCGTGCATTTATAATTTGTATCTCCGGAGGCCAGTTGCCAGGTGGGCCTTAGCAGAGACACAGGGTCGGTTATGCTAATGGGCGTGGCAGGTTTTTCAGCTAAATGATTACAGCATAAACCGCTAATTTGTGTCTACCCCGTGGACCTTTCCCTGCGCTGCAGGGGTTAAAGCCACAGTTCCCAGTTCCCAGCTCCCCAGCATCTATCTAACCCCAGGCCCGATCCCTATAATTCCGGCTGGCAGTGGATGGCCCATTAAAGTAGTCATAAGTCATAAGTAAGTAAGAGTGAGCTTGCACATGTTGCTGCAGCGTTGGCACTGCCACATGCGGCATTACGACTATGTCGTAAACCCGGACTTGAGAAAATTCTCACATTTGCATGGCCATAAACAGGTGAAAGAAAGTCAATTACCACAATACTTGGGGCCCCTGTTTGTGTGCTTTTGTTTGATTTGAAATTAAATATTGTCAATTGTGCTACCAACTTGAAGGGTAAACACAACCCAAAGGATGATGAGTCGGTAAAATAATTTTAATTTAAATAGAAATGCTTAATGTAGAGCAACAAAAGACTCTGCTCATTTCTTCTTTTGGTTTGTTTTTTAACTGGGCCAAAGAAGTGACGCCCACTTGACTCTGAGCTGCCGTTTGTATGTTGAAAATGAAGCTATTAAGTGGCAGTTGCAGTTTGTTTTTTGCGTTTTCACTCCGTGATTGACTGCAGTGCCATCAGTAATATCATTGACATTGTTGGACTTTGTTGTCTGCAAGTTTACTTTGCGTAGCGTAAACACCCACTCGGTGGTAATGGCAATGGAAATGGAAATGGAAATGGCCATGGCAATGGGAATGGCTATGGGGAGTGCTAGGTCCGGCACTCACTTCGTCATCCATTCGGGGGTTCATTCATGCGGTTGTAAGTAAGTTTGTTAGCTTACATTTTTACATTTTCCAGCTGCAGCTCAGTGAATGTGGCTGTGTCGTTGTCTTTTGGTGAAAAAAAAGGAAAATTTTAGCCTGAACTTTCTTTTTTTGTGTACTGCCACAATGGCAACTGCGATATAAATAAAATATAAGTACATATATATATTCACGCTCTGCTCTGCCCGGGCAGCCACACACATTTGGGTCCGCCTTTTGCGGCCTGCAAACAGCAGAAACCCGTTGGGATGTTATGAGGCCTAACTCACTCATCTTTCTTCCAAAGAGTAACCTGTTGATGGGGCTTGCCACAACAATAGAATAATAAGCGCTTCACAGGCCTTCTTCTTCAAACCCAATCCGTTGCACTCTTCATCGCTGATACAAATTTCGAGGGAGACTCGAGGCCTTTTGCGCCTCCAATGCAGTGAAAGTGTCGTTTCTCATCTCGACTGTGTGCGGCAGATACTCCCAGCCAGCGAATATAAAATTTAATTAAATGTCAAATAATTTAACATTCAGCGTCGAGGCCAGAACTGCATCCCTAAATGCACTGGTAAAAATGGAGAATGCCCTGCATCAGTTTAATTTTTGTTCTAATGTTTCTGCTAAAAGAACTCTTTTATGGTCTAAAAAATTTCAATTAAAAATACACTCAAAGTAAAAGTAATAATTTACTTTTAACTACAATTCCTGAATACCTATTTTTTTCTCTGTAGATTCACGCAATGCGTTTCGACCAATGCCAACTCCTGCCCCATGAGTTGTGGCAACCACCCGCTGTCCCTCGCCTCGACAGATGCATACGAAATTCGCTTTCACTGGGACAAGCAGCTCGGGGCTGAGCCGAGAGCTTTGGCTGATCTGGAAAAGCGTTTTCACACCGCACTCGGCCGTTGGCTGCCGGGGACCAATTCATAAGCGCATTTTCATTGCATTTTCACACATTCATAACACTTTTAATTAACTATTTTCAACACTTTCGTGGGGTCCGTGGCACTCGCATCCTGCTCGCGGTCATTTGCCGAGATTCGAGCCAACTCTCTCGCCTTGGGGATGAGATGAGATGAGATGACTTTCATTTGCCTGGACTCCTGGTCACCAGTCACTGGTCGCTGTTCACCAGTCACTGGTCACTGTCCACTGTCTATTTGCGTACTTTTACCTGTCCCATCCAGTTAGTTAGTCAGTTACTTAGTTAGTTAGTCGCTGGGTCTGTGTCTGGCAGCTGGGACAGCTATGGGTCGTGCTACTGGTGTTTGCCCGTCGATAACTCAGCCTGCTGGACGCCACTCTCAGACGTTTGGCCAGTTAGCCAGTCAGCCAGGCAGTTAGCCATGGCAGCTGTTTGTTTTGGCCCCATCGCATTTGAAGAAACGCATAAAAATTTGCACATTAAAATGTGAAGAAGGGCGGTGCGCATACCATGAATAGTTTGCAGATGTATCCGCAACTTTCCCTTTTTTTTCTAAATGGGGTTATGATAAATATTATTGGCAATGTCACTCGGTTTCGATTTCTGATTTCGGGAGATATTCAGCTCTCAGAACGTGATCAGTTTTTGCGAGTTTCTAATGATCACACAGTGAGAAAATGATAGCAATTAATCCATTATATTGCAATCTTGATAACGAATGTTAGAGTTTTCCCTTTTGGGGTCTTATCTGTCCTATATCTTAAATGAAAGATATAACTTTAGGTAAAATATCTTGTTTTTAGAGCGGTTGAAAACACGATTATAACTATTTATAAATAACGGTTGACTTATATCAAAGTATATATGCTTTCAAAAGGTATTTTTCATTTTAATTTTATATATAAACTTATTTTTTAGTTGATATTTAATTTTATTTGCAATTTACATTGATAAAATCATAAGTATGTTTATAAGATAATAAATTATTTTCTTAAAATGATTTTAAGGAGAAAATATATTAACTTTTAAAATGATTTAAAAGCTTTGGGAACATGTACTATCTAAAAAACTTGAATTATAGATGTAAACTATAGTTTAGGCTTATTATTATATAAATTTATCTTAATGAAGGTATATTTTCTACTAAATATAGTACCTCTCCAGAAAGCCCATTCGATTAACTGCCTCTGTTCCACCTGTGCTACTTCCGTCAGAGGCCCGTCTAAGCTGCTTGAAAGGGAAATGCTTTTACTTACTTTTACAAAATAAAAAAATAAAAAACTCATTTTCAATTAAAGCCCAGACAATTAAGATTACGACTGCGATTTTCGGCACTTTTCGGCCCGCTCTCCTTTGCCCGGGGTAAAAGTGTTTGCTTGATTTTGTTATTGGTTTCCCACAGCCAGGAGGCTGCGGCTGCGACTGCGACGGCGGCTGCGACTGCGGCTGCCTGTTGACAATGTTACATGAACTTCGGGCGAAAGCAGCGGCAGCGGCAGCAGCAGCGACAGCTTACAAATTACAGTAACAATGCTTTTCCAACTGCTCGTGCTGCTGCAGCGCTGCCGGCTGCCGACTGAGCATTACCGTTGGCCGACCAAAACGAAAGACTTAAGCGAGAAACTTGCACGACTAGTTCTCGGAGAGAGAGAGAGAGAGCGGGGACGAGCGGGTTGCCGTGAAATGCTTTCGCAGCAGATGAGCATGCCGATGCCGCGGTCGCTGCCACTGCCACTGCCACTGCCGCCGTATATAAGTTGTCGTGTGCGGTGGAAAATTGTATCATTCAATCCTTAACCGTCTGAGCAGCTACACGGCAGCAGCAGTTAGCCAAAAAAATAAAAAAAAAGTTTTCCACCCCAAGAGAAAGTGCGTTCGCCGCCGAACTACGTGACAGTGTTGTGGTTCCACCAAAAAAAGGACTATCCAATATCCAAATCCAAGAAAATCCCGTGCAACGACAATTGAAATAACCAAAACAAAAACAAACAACAAACAAAGCTAAAATGGCAAGCCATAAAATTGTTTTCGGTGTCTTGTGTCTGGCCGCTTTGAGCGCCGCCCTTCCCGCCGAGGAGACCCGCGGCCATGCCCGCAACGCCATCGGCGGCGAGAACGACATTATGGATAGCATCTACAGCGACTGTCTGCGCAAGGACTCCGTCTCGTGTGTCAAGTACAAGCTGTTCAGCTTCGTGGACAAGGTGCTCGGCGCCCGCGACCAGTTCGCCCTGACCGAGGGCGTCACTGTGGTCCGCTCACCGGATGCTCCGCAGCAGGAGGCCGCCCGTTCCATTTCCGGTGATGAGTCTTTCGAATCCCTGGCCCTGAACCGCATCAGCAGCTTCCTCAACTCGCACACCATCAAGGTGGAGCTGAAGGGTGCCGATATTGTGCAAGCGGTTAGCTCCACCGGTCGTGCTCTCGAGGATGCCTCCGAGTCGCTGTTCGGTTCCAATGATCCCAATGCTCCCGAGGAGAGCCGTGGCAAGAAGAAGAAGGCCGCCAAGATCCTGGGACCCATCCTCGCCCTGGTCGCCCTGAAGGCCGCCGCCCTGCTGCCCCTGCTGTTGGGCGCCATCGCTCTGATTGCCGGCAAGGCTCTGCTCATTGGTAAGATCGCCCTGGTGCTGTCCGCCGTGATTGGCCTGAAGAAGCTGCTGTCGCAGGAGAAGCATGTGACCTACGAGGTGGTGGCCCATCCCCATCACAGCAGCAGCCACTCGACGAGCCACGACTCGTATGGCAGCGGTTACAGCGCCGATGCCGGTGCCTCATCCGGATCGTACGGCAGCAGCGGTCATGGAGGCTGGGGACGCTCCATCGATGCCCAGGATCTGGCCTACGGTGCCCAGAAGCCCGTCCAGGCTTAAGTCACAGGATCAGCGCACTCAAGTAAACACTCAAGAAGAAACTGAACACATCATGAAGAATCACGAACACAAACGACTTGAGCCTTGGGGCTCGCCTGAAGCACATTATTTATCGTTCGTTTTAATTAATTTATTAATTTAATTTATTTTATTTATTTCTCCAAGCAATGAAAACGAAAAAAATGAGTGAAGACACACACACGATAATGTTAAAGCAGACAGAATCAAGAATCAAGAATAACTCTATATATTATTAGTTGTTAAAACTGATGAAGCTAACGTTAAGTTTTGTAAAAAGAGCAGCCAGCGAGAGTTAACCCACAAAAGTTGCAAATACTCAGCCTTAAGTCTAAGCTCGCACAGCACTGCCCCGATCCGATCCGATCCGATCCATCCATCAATCAATCGACCCATCACACAACTGTATCTATATCTAATGCTCTATCATCTATCTCCCCCCTGTCGCTACATCTCTACGTCTCCATCTGTTCTGTCTCTGTATCTATTACTACTCTGACTTTATCTGTTCACTGCCTATACCAAAACTCAGCCGATTGCCATGCAATCGGTGCAACGTACAAATCTTAACTCTACAAGTCTATATCTGTACTGTACTCTATATACTCTATAACTGATCAAACTATGTTCTTCACATGCAATTCTAGTCTTACAATACAACAACAACACCAGCAGCAAGCATGCCTACTACTATTAGCTTTAACTCCACTAGATCCTAACTCTATCCTATCTGCCGCATCTCTGTCACTGTCTCACTATCCTTCAGCTATCCTTCATTGCTTCGCAGAGTCGCAGTCTTTGGTCATTCGCATGCCATCACTTGCCATAGGTTTTCGAAGAAAAAGAAAAAAAGAAACACACAAGCCACACCAAAACTGAACTCATTTTCCGACTAACTTCTGTTATTTCCTCACTCGACTCGACTTCCACTTCGACTCTTCAACTTTCTCATTTCTCTAGAGGGGAGCTCTATCCCGCTATCTACTATCTACTGTCTCTTTCTGCTGCCTCTGCATCTGTCACTTTCTAGCGCTCTACTTTCCCGCAGCACGCACACATGCACACACACATACCTAGTTCATTTTATTGTTAAAAATATTGTTTTTTTGAATATTTTTTAAACTGCTTACTTAATCGTACTTTATGCATCCGCGCGACTCGACCCCCTTGACGGCACTCCTGCGCTCCGTGGACCTAAACAGATTTTTAATGTTTTCACTTAAAAATACCTTGTTTATGACATCTGGAGAGCCCTCTGGCCAATTGGATACCGCAAGAGTTGAGTCGCCAGCACGTCGTCTACTTTAATTTAAATAATTTAAGCAAAGTCGTACGGCGCTTTCACAAACTATGACTCCCAGCAACAGTAGTAAGATGATGATGATGATGATGATGATGATTTTGATGATGAACAAGAAGCGTAGAAGCTGCAGATGTGGGCTCATACTCATGATAACTAAACAAATCACAAAACTCACTCACAAAAGAATGTAAATTCCATAGACTATACAATACTCTTCCCTCTGTCACACATGCATGTCATTATAAAAAAAAAACAAAAAATTAAGAAAATCAATATACAAAAAAAAAAGCTGAAAAAAACCAACATACACACAAGCAAGGAAGATTAATAAATAAAAAATCAATGAAAAATCAAGACAAGTCTGTATAATTTATGGCATACCATCGGGTGAAAGCGAAACGATAAAAAAAAAAACTGAAAGCTATATGCATAATTCCCAATTCCCGGCCAAAGACGAAGACGAAAACTGGCCGTTGACAAGTCCATCTTTGGTCGAAATGCTTTCATTTCAAGTGAAATTGATTTTGCGACCCAGTTGCCCCAGCGAATTTCCAAGATTCGCCGCCCGTTAATAGGTGTAAAATAATTATGAGTCCGAGGAGTCCAACTCCGCTCTGACTTTGGCTCTGAATCTGGCCAAGACAGGTTAACAAAAATCCAATAAACTGCTGCCCGAAGCGTGCCCCTGCTGGCTTCCGACAACAACCGACAGTGAAAGTAAACAGTTAGGAAACCCACAAAACCAAACCAAAGCAAACCAACCAGCGATTGCAGTGAAAAGTCTTTGAAATTGTGGCTCATGGCCAGGGCCAACAGAAGAGAAACAAGAAAATACAAGACAAAAAAACGTTTTCCAAGCCGCTCTAAATGTGGCTGCCAACCGAATGTTTGGGCGAAGACAAAAGACAAGTTAATGCGCATTAATGTTAACAACTCATTTGGGCAGCTGCCAAGCTTGAGCAAACATTGACTGACCACTGTCAGTCTTTCGCTCTCCCAAGACCGCTCACTTAATCAAAGGAAATTACAAACATTTTCGGGCTAAGCTCTGCTGGAAAATTATGTATCTCAAAGGTTGCCGCTTGGGGCTGCCAAGTGTCAGCGGGAAATTAAAAAACGCTCATTTAGAGGATTATTCAAGGGGATTAAGTTGGCTCTCAGCTACCAGCTTCATATTTTAGAGGTTTTAAGAGAAGAGAAAATCTTTTCTTTTAGTTATTCACAGAGATTAAAATGCATTTAAAATAATATTAAAAAGTAACATTCAGCTCACATGCCTGACCAAGTAAAAGTGAATTGTATGCAGAACATATTTCCTTTCCTTTTAGAAAGTACTTTCAATTTCATGCCATGCCATAAATGTTTTATAAAACGAACAGTAGTCACGGGTCATTTTATAATTTTCTTTTAAGTTAGCGGGACTTTTTTTTATATATTTTTCAAGGAATTCATTAGATAATTAAGATTTCTATTCTTGTATTTTCTAGACATTATGTTTCACAAAGAAAATCAATTTACAAAATGGTTAACGTTCTTAAAGCGGCGCTCAGCCTATTTTCATTTTGAGATACACCACTTTATTTATGGCCTCTGGTAAACATAGTAGTATATGCAAATCGACCAACTTAAACGAAAGCCTGAATCGGTGATTTGGAGCGAGCAACGGTTGTGCCGCTAGAGAAATGCCAAACTGGTGCAGCATCAATGCAACCGCTGCACCGCTGAACCACTGCACCACCACTGCACAATTTCACATTCTGAAAAACCAGATAAAAAACCACAAAATTTGCAATAATTCATAAGAAGAGTTGCGCTGAGAGTCTCCGAGGGGGGAATAAAAGTGCGAAGGAGAATCGAGCAGAGTGCCCAATTTGAAAGCAATTTCACTGTCAACGGAACGGAGGAGCGAGGAGCTCCAAGTGGACGGGATGCCTGCAAGGGCGTCGTCGGACGCAGTCGTGTGCAGAATATGTTCAGCGAAATGAAAACGAGTTTTTGGTTCCGAAAGCGGGTCACCAGAACGTAGACAACGACTCTTGAGGCGGTCTCGAAGTCAAGTTGATTGCCGGCCTTGCTGCCAGTGCGCTTTCCAAGCCAAAACAAAAAGTAGCAAAAGAAAAAAGAAAAATGTACATAAACGCAGAGCCAAAGAAAAGCCCGCCCGACTAATAATATTATTATTAAGCTGCCGCTGCCATCATTTTCCGCTCCAGCACGTTATTCCCACACTCGGCACACAAAGCACGCATCCAAATTTATGATTACACCAATTTGTGAACGCAGCTTTGCTCACTGAGCATTAAATCTACTACTAAGCGCTGCTATGATCAGCTTCCATTGCCTTTTGATTAATTGAAAGTTAATTGGCCGCAAGTTTTGGCCGCTCGAGCGTTTCCCCGACACGCCTGATTTGCTTCTTACCACTAAAGCTGTTGATGTTGCTGTTGCTTCTGCTTCTGCTTCTGCTCTTGATGTGGCCATCGTTAGTGGTCAATATAAATTACGCTATCCAGTTAGCAAACAATTCAGTGTAATTATTGAGCAGCGGTTGCATCGGCCACAGCGGTTATGTTGCACGTTGCATGAGGACTTTGATTATCAATTTGCATCAGGCAAAAGACCGCTTAATTGCATTTGGTAAAGCGAGAAGCGGTTTCACCGATATGTGTACTTAAGGTGCCTTAATTTGGTGGTGAAAATGATTTCATATTCAAAGTTAATGGCCGAATAAGTGTTTAAATTATAACAAAAAAGAAGTAGATCTTGAAAAGTTCATCACAGGTTCTGTATTTGTTTTTAAGAGTAAGTGTATCACATTTATCCTGACAAACTAAATATGTTCTTTTGGCTATAAATTATTCATTTGGTTTAACTTTTGAATTTAAACCTCTTTTAATAAGTTTATATCTTAGAAAATAAGCTAAAAATCTCTTTAATATGAACATAATTGACCACATATTTAATATTACGACCCTTAAGGTATCCAGATTATAAGCCTTTTGATCTTTTCCGTCTAAAAATTTGTATGTAAAACTACTGTATTGACAAATCTCACTTCACAAGTAATTGCTAACCAATTAGCACTTCAATTAGGCAGAACGCCACCTATGGCTCACTCCATCAAACAGAAAAGAAAGTTTTCAAGCTTTCTTCGCCTTTCGTTGAGTGATTTCAAGTTCGTGTCTTAACTCTTTCGTTTTGGAGGCAGCACTTTTTCTTGAAGCACCGCAAAGTATGCAGCAGTTTTTTGATTTCACCAAAGAGCATTCATAAAAAGAAAAGTTTTGACCAAATTAGGTGACGACAGCGAGTGAATCTGCCCCCAAAGACGAAAAAAGAAAAAACAAAAAGATATATAAAATACAGAATATTCAAACAGTTGCGGTCTAGTAAGCCAGTTGCCAGAGACTGAGAAGAATGGCTATAACTACAGCAGCAGTCACGCACGAGCTCAATAGCTTAGAACGAACTAAAAAGCGGGAATAAAATTGCAAACGAAAATGCATTTTGGTGGCTTTCGCAGCGAAATCACGAAAGTGCAGCTCCACTGGCCAACAACATCTGTCTAATTGCCGTGATATTTAGACTAAGACAAAGTGTGTGTTTTGTGTTTTTTCAATTTCACGCGGCCGCCCGACATGCGATTTCGGCAGCCTGGGTATAAAATCCATATGATCCGGCGGCCAGCACTCAGTTGAGCAACCGAACTGTAGCGCCCAGCGTCTTTTGCTCCAGTTTATGCCTCACCAGAACTGCCCAAGGATCATCTCGTCGGCATCAATCATCTCATCCATCAAGGCCGCCCAGCAGCGCACACTCCAGCCATGATCAAGTACGTGTGGCACGTGGCCGCTCTGATGATCGTCTTTTGTTGGCTGTCGAGTGCCAGAAGTGCCAGCTATCAGCATCAGAATTTAAACAGCTTGAGTGCAGCACCCAAACCTCAAACCAATAGCCAAGGATCGGGCTCAACGGGTTTCTGGAAGGACATGTCGATGGTCTATCGCATATACCAACAATGCACGGGAGACAACATGTCCGTCTGCCTCAAGGTCAAGCTACTAACGGGTCTGGAGAAGGCCTTTCGATCGGCCAAAACCCTTGCGCTCACAGATGGAATTCAGTTCGTGAGCTCCGGCGGAGAGAGTGCGGAGCCCAAAAGGGCGCCCATAAATGAACAGGATATTGAAGCAGTGCTGCCAAGGAGCGTGGATGCCAAGGAACAAGTCCTGAATAACATGATCATGAAGCGATTGAGCAATTTCCTTCAGGATCATACTTTGCAGGTTAGTAAAGGAACAAGTTTTCCAAATTTGAGATCATTGAAGTCACAAGCTCAGAAGAATTCAATAATATTAATAGAACTTAAGAAGCAAAATTTAGCAAATTAAAATGCATATAATTGAATTCAAGGATTTTAATAAGCTAAATTTAGTTTTTAAGTTGAAATTTTTAATGGTTACTCCAATATGTTAATGATTATTCTCTTTCCCAGGTGAAATTCGACTCGGAAGATAACTCCGTGGAGGGTCGCAAGAAAAAGGAGAAGAAACACGGCGCCATGATCATGATTCCCTTGCTGCTTGGAGGAACGATGGTGCCTCTGGCCTATGGAGCTTTGGCCATGCTGGCCGGCAAGGCGCTGATCGTGTCCAAGTTGGCCCTGGTGCTGGCCTCAATTATTGGCATTAAGAAGCTGCTGGCCGGAGGAGGCGGTGGACAGCACAACTCCCATGAAGTGGTCGTGTCCTCGGGCAGCAATTCGGGTTGGGGTCGAGACCTGGACACGGCCTACAGTGGCTGGAAGCCGGCGGCCAAGGATTCGGCGGGCAGCGCCAAGAGCCTGTGAGCTCGCATTTACATTTGGAAGAGCAACGAGATGGAAATTGGAATTGGAGATTGAAAAAAAGAGATTGGAGATTGAAGCTTGGAGTTTTGGCGCTTGGAGTGAACCAAAGAAACGATTGCTGCACAAACTGTCTGACTAATGTCTAGTTTAATTTGCCTAATCGATCATTAATTTTACAAAACTAAATGTGTGTGTTAGGTTTAAGTAAGCGTTAATTAAATATAGTAAATTCTGCTACACAAAAGGTGATTTATTTATGTGGAGCGACCGCGCCCAGAATATGAATTTATAATGACAATTACAGGTGTGATCGAAACAAGCTCACGTGCGTGCCAAAAACGGCACAAGAGAGCTTCGCTTTCTACCACATTTAAATAAATAAAGAAACATATTGAAGATGGCATACAGATGGCTACAAAATAATAGTGATGTAAGTGAAGGTTGACATTCATTTAAGGAAAATAGTCTTTGAACCTGTGTACATTGTTACTCAGACACTTGGTCGTTTCAGAGAAAATTCATTTTAATTTTAATTAAACACAACTGCCTCACAATATTTCATTTTCCTGTTGCCTGTCCCACAGTCCAATTCAATATTCATAGATCAAAAATGGCTCAAGCCCCTCGTCTCTCTTTCTGGCCTTAGCATTTGTTGTGGCTTTGGCCCACTCGGTATGCGACAATTTCACTTTTGGCCAGTGCACGAAATATTAATGAGCCACTCGGTGTAGAACATTGAACTGGGCTAACAACACTCCCAGGCCTTTCTGGTTGTGGGTGCCCTCTCCTGACGTCATCCGGCTGGGCCTGGGACTTTCATTAATTGAAAATTACCCAAGCGCACTGGGGCAGCGGCATGTATAAACACCGGGGTGGAGCTGCAAACTAAAGGCGGAGCTCAGATAGCTGAAATCCGGAATTCCAGCCAAGCGGAATGAAAGTGAAACTTTGAAAAGGTGTCAATTTTGGAAGATGCCACTGAAAAAGGGTTTGGGGCTGCGGCGACTCAGTGTTTGCCTTCAATGTGTGATGATGATGATGCTCTCTAAGTTTTGGCCTTATCCACAGAGCAGTGAATATTTCGCATGCCGATTGGGGTCAGGCGGCGAAATGGACAGCACCAGCAGTTAACTTACAAATTAATTGTGCACACTCAATTAAGTGGAAGTGGGAAGCAGATTTATGGAAAAATTTCCGGCTCATAACGTTTGCCATAAAGTGCCAAATGGCACTGCCTTCAAATTAAAACCCTATTACTCACCTCTCCAAGTAAGAGTTGAGTTAACAAAGTATTATTATTGCCAAACTCTCGACCATTTAAGTTTCTTGAATATTGCATCATACATTGTGTGTGAAGAGAGTTGAAATTATATATACAATGTATCAATGGCATTACTTTTTACTTTCGTTTGGGTTTTACTAAAACAATACGACGTTTTACTGCCCTTTTAAAGGCATTAACATTTAAAATGTACTATTAAGTCTGTCAAGTTTAAACATTTCAAGGAAACATCTTTACTGATAGCCTGCTTAATTTAAATAAATTATATTCCTAGAGTATTGAGATGGCCATCAAGGAGACATATACACATCACAGCTTGACACATCCATCTATGACCACGTGCAAGGCATTTACATATTCCATCAACGGATTTTGAATTTTGGATAATAGCCTGGCTTTGCATCTAGATGCGAGTGTTATTTTTTCGTTATATTTCCCTTGTTTGCTGCCTGCTTTCTGACGTGTTTTCATTTGGGCAGCATGCAAATCTGCAGCTTAGCTTTCTTTTGGGGCACTTGTCTAATGCGTAAATTACCCGGCAAAGCGATGAGCCGATGGAACAACGATGAAACGAGAAGTGGCCAAGACGTGTGTCAATTTTCGAGTGCTGCGAATTAAAGCGACATAATGCCAATGAAACTCTCGTGTTCGTGTCCGTGCCGCTGTCGACGATTGGATTGGCATACAAAACTGCAGATACATTATGCGAGAGATGCTTGCTTTGCTTGGTGGCAAAAACAAACACATAAATAAAAAGCAAAATTAAAGTGAAATTTTTTTCCACCAACCGTTGTCGTCGTCGCAGCCGCCGCATTGCCAACAAACTAGTTAATTTTCTATTTTACTCCAATTCAAGTGGCGGTTTGCTTTCGACCATCGGCGGCCATCTTAAATGGTGCTCTTGATTAACCACCCACCGCCCACCCCGTCACGTGTGACGGTGTGAAGTGTGTGTGTGTCAATGGTGTGTGTGAATGGTGTGTGTGTGAGCAAAGTGCAATTTGAAATGGAAACACCACACTTTCTGCTGCACCCGAGATTTGCTGAGTGCTGAAAGTGTGCCATTATTAGGTGGCGCCTCCAAAGGTCTCTTTGATTCTCTCAAAAGATTTACGAGTCTTGAAATACTTTTATGGGTAGTAATGTTTAATGTTTTCTGATTAATATAATATAAATTAAGCCTTACATTTTCATTTTAATTATATATGTTCGTTGGGGTATGTTATTATTTTATGTTTTTCCTAAATGGATATAAAAATAAAATGATTTTGTAACATTTTATAACCATGTAGTCCACCTAGATTGGTTGTAGGATTGGTGCAATAGTCCAGTAATTAGTTACATTTAATTTAATGTCTTTCAGTAGAATAAAAGTCAAATTAAGATTATTCTAATATAAATATTAATTGGTTTATATGAGTAAAAATTGTTTCAATTGACAAGGAGCCTTAAAAGCTGTTACTGTGGTAGAATATTTTAGAGTCAATATTTTAATTAAATTACTTTAAAGAAATATATGCTCTTACCAATAAATATGATGCGATTCAGAAGATATATCAGGTATTCTTAACACTTTTTCATATATCAATTATTTTTTATATATCATTAAACTTAACTGTAGATTGCTTGCCAAAATTGTGCACTAATCAATAGAGAATATATCTCATTGTCTTTAAATAAGTCCCTTTAATTATAGTTATATTCCTAAATATATATTCTAAACTTATTCAGTTAAGTCTGGAGAAGGTTTATTACGATTAAGTGCTAATTATTTAGGGAGTTTTTAGTAAGATTTCGATTAGCGGCACCTACCCCAGAGGCTGGCTGAATAATGCATTGCCACAAACACAATTAGCCTTCTCGCATTGGCCAGCAGCCAATAGCTAACTGCTGCCGTGAGTGTGTTGACAAACAACAAACTGCCTGTTAGCCAGCCAGCTCTGCCGGCTTCTGCGGCGACAGCGACTGCTTACGCACACCTGAACATTCGTACCTGGCCAGGTATCTCTCTGCTGCGGCTGGGACTTCGGTTGCAGGCCACCCGGCCGATGCGCCTCATCGTCTTCACACACACACACACACACACACACACACACACACATACACTCGCACACACACTAGTTGTGGTGTTTATTTAAATTCTAAGCTCGGCTACTGTTTCTGGACGACGGACAGGAGGTGCGGACGGCGGTATCAGTTTTGCGGAGCGTTAAAGCGACAACGGCGTAGTTGTTGTCGCTGCCGTTGCCGTCGCTGCTGCTGCTGCTGGCGCTCTGCTGGCCGGGAATAAAACTCGATCCGCGTGCGTCTTCTAGCCACAGTTATCCGGTTGCCTTCTGACCGACAGATCGAACACGCCAATCGAGCGCAGTGCACTCAATCAAGTGAACAGACATCATAATAATACCGCATCGCCAGGAAGTGGCAGGATATCTCCCATCCAGTGTTTAGTGTTTGTGCTTCGATTTATATATATATATAACCAATCGACGAAATCATGTTTAAGTTTGTGTGCCTGTTTGCGCTGATTGCCTCAACGGCAGCGGCTGCCTCGGAGGCTGATAGCCTGCTGACCAGCGCCCTCAAGATGGTCAAGGATTGCGGCGAGCGCTCCATGGTCTTGTGCATGAAGGTAACGTTCGCACTAGGAAATCCAGTATGGCTAAAATAATGTAAATATTCAATCCCCAAAAACCTAAAGGAGCGAGCTTTGCACTATTTTGACACCGAGAATGGAGATGTGCGGCTTACCGAGGGCATTGCCCTGGTGAAAACCGATGACATACCAGTGGGACGATCCCTGAACGATTTGCAGCTGCCGGAGGAGGTGGAGGCCCGGGAGGCTGAGGTGGATTCCCTGCTGGTGGAGCGAGTGGCTCGCTTCTTTGGCACCCACACGTTGCAGTTCAAGGTGCCCAAGGACTCTATCCAAGACATGCAGCGTGCCCTCGAGGAATGTGAGTATCTAGCAGAGTATCTCACATAAATTACGTTTCTGGTTCGACCGATTCGAGGCAGTGACAACTTTGTTGCCAATTTGGGTTAGTAATGCAAGCGACCAGTTCGGGCAGATGGCTCCAGCTTGCTCCCAGTGGAAATCCTGTTTTCACTGTTAAGTCGATGCCATATCGAGGTCATCCTGTAGCGGTGCATTGGCAGCTGGTTATCTGGTTATCTCCGTCAGATAGTTGGCTATTAATTGCACTTTAGTCAGCCAGTTAGCTAGGCTTACTTTCTTTTTGTGTAAGCCGCGGCGAGTCGGTGGCTGCAATTTCCGATTTCTAAACGCAGCCACATAGAAAGCGGTCGATCCTGTTCGCCAGCTAATTATCTGTGCTCCAGTTGCTAATGAGCGGTCGGCTTTGATCCAGCGAAAGTAATGTGCACAATGCTAATCTCCTCAACTCACACAAATCCCCAATTCCATTTGACCATCTTTCAGCTCGTGGCAAGAAGAAGGAGAAGAAGAAGTACCTGATGCCTCTGCTGATGCTCTTCAAGCTGAAAATGGCCGCCCTTTTGCCGCTGGCCATTGGCTTCCTGGCCCTGATCTCCTTCAAGGCCCTGGTGATTGGCAAGATCGCTCTGCTGCTCTCCGGCATCATTGGTCTGAAGAAGCTGCTGGAGTCCAAGAAGGAGAACTACGAGGTGGTGGCGCATCCGCACTACGAGCACGAGCATAGCTACGGTCGCTCACTGCAGCAAGAGGATTCGCAGGCCCAGCAGCTGGCCTATGCGGCGTATAAGCAATAAGCCAAAAAAAAGAAGAAATAATCGCAAAACGCCGAATGCTGAGGCAAACATCAGTGCAATACTCGGAGGGCCGTCTTTAATTTATTCTATTTATTTAATTTATTTGTATAGCATATGTAGTTCATGCCAGGCTTACACACATAAGGCGCCATCAAAAAAGAAAAAACAAGAAATGAAAACAGAACCCGTAGCAACTAAGTATGAGAGACAACAAAAAAAAGCCCGAGGGGTGGATCTGGGGGTTGGCCTTGCGTTATTTAATCTTAAATCTTAAACGTAATCAATCTAGCCAATGACTGTTACTTTTGTATTAATACTCAGAGCTTTACTTTAACTTAACTCAACTCAACTCTAAAGCCAAACTAAACTAAAACTAAAACTATAACTAAACTGCTTAACTTTGCATCGCTGCTAGGCGCAGGCCAATGCCCCTTAGCCACGCCCCTTTATCCCAGCAAAAAATCAAATCAAATCAAATGAAATAAAATCAAAATAAAAGAAATGCCGCATTTATCTCAAACTCGAAAACGACTCTGATCTTTTTTTTTTGCTGTTCAAGAAATATCACTCATACGCCGCGTATGCGTTGTCCGCTGGCGAAATGCTTTCACTCTTTCACCGAAAGAGAGAGAAAAAGAATAAGGCGAACGAGGCCAGCGATATCAATTGCATGTGCGACACACAAAATCACAGAGCAGTGGATTTCACTTGTGGCAGCCAGGCGTGGAGATGCCTCAGCTCCAGCCGAAGCTATAGCCTCTCGGTCAGTTATCGCTGGGCTGTATCCAATGTCGCTCCAGAAAAATGTACAGAAACAGATACAGACACACAGATATACTCAGCACAGCCGACAGGCAGGCAGGCAGGCCCACATCTCGGGAAAATCTAATGAAAGTTGCGACCTGCTTTTCATTTTTGCATTCGCAGTGCAACACGTACGCCCAGTAATTCCAAATTCTCTCCCCCCAAAGAAAATTGGGTGTGTTGTGTGTGTGTGGATGAAGTCGTGCTCCAGACTTGGGAGCACGCCCCGCAGCTGCAATTTATGGCCGTTGGCAGTCGGCATTCGGCATATAAATGGCCAAAACCGACAAAACGGTCAAAATGGCCAAAAGGTCTGATGAACGCCTCGTATATCTTATTGCTTTTTGTTGTTTTTGTTGTTGTTACTTGTTTTTTTGTAACTATTTGTAAACAACTGCAGGCAACTGGCCGTGAATTTCAAGTATCGTCGGTGAAAGTGTTTATTAATACAATTTCTTTTTTTGTCGCGGCACTTGCAATTGGAAACTTATTGACTGGCGGCCATTTGAGCGGACTCACCGCACTCGAAACTAATGGAAAATTTATTTTTTTTCAATTTCAATATTGAATACTTATTTACTACCATAAATGTTTTGCCTATTGCCAATCGAAGGACTTGAACTGGTTTTAATTAAAATGTAAGTAAAAGTGAAACGAATTTAAATATGGATTCCCTTTCTTAATTAACTCTTGACTTAACTCTTGAGTCTGAAAACAGTTTAATTATCCTTAAATCGCCCAATATCTTTTTAATAGGGGTTTTCTGCTTCTAATTAAATTGTTCAGTGATTGATTTCTACTATTTAATTTATTGTTTGAAACTACTAACTAATTGCCATTGAAAAATATTAAGCACCACTTTGGATAATATTTGTATATCTATAAAAATTAAACATTCCACAGTCAACACAAAGTTTTCTTAAGCATTCCATTTTCCCAGTATTTAAAATACAAACTTTTACAAAATTACAAAAGTTTTCAGCTAGAACCGCACACAGATTAAACACTAATTCCAATGGCAAAAATCCCTCAAGTTTGTAAAGGTGGAATAAATGATTTACGAGGAGCGTGATTTTCTTGGAAGTTCATCCCCTCTCGTCGACTGTCTGCTCCGTTTCTTTAGCAAAATAGGCGACTTAATCGCCAGGGGGTACACGGGTGTTAAGGTGTCAGACACTACTACCCTTAGGGGATATTTAAATTTTCTTCTCCCGCGAAATATCTTTCTGATGTTTGTTATTGCAGTGAAATGCCGTGACGTGCTGGCATCACCAAACTTGAATTTTAGCTTTTACTGGCACTGCCTGAAAGTAGACAAATGTTTTCCCAAGAAAACTTGAGAGGATTATGTCACAAAGTTTTCATACTCTTTAGCTTAAGGTTCATGTGGGTTCCAAGTCGTTGTGACGGAAGTTAAACAATATGTCAGTAGTTTCATTCATTACCTGAATTTAGAAATAAGTTGTAAAAAGAACCTGAATAAAAATCCTTGCCTAAATATATGTTAAGCCTTCAATTGAGAATGTTCAAACTACATATTAATAGGATTAAATGAAGAAATACTATGAAACTTAAGATGACAGTCTCCCCAGTGAAGGTATCTCTACTTCGATTTAAACTTGCCCCTTTTTCGGATTGTTTGTTTCCATAATTGACTTGCAGCAATTTTCCAGCTTGGCTATGTAAACGATGGAACATTTCTGTTAATTCTCTAAGCACCTCCGTTTATTTAATTGACTGACATTAGCAATGGTAATTGTAAATTTTCCGAGGGTCCAAGCGAACGGTGGCGCCCGCCAGGGTTTCATAATTTCTGTGGAATAACAATAAACCATTGCATAATGGTCGAGATGTGCGAAAAATTGGCCACAAGTCGACGCAGCTTTGGGTCGTGTGCACTGACCATGACCATGCCGGCTTCAAGCAGTAGCAACATTGTTAAGAGACAAGAAGGTGGAGAGCGTCGGTTGGTCCACTTGGCGTTGATGTAAAGCTATTTCCGTTATTGGGCCATGTGCAAAAAGCGGCGAGTTACCGGAATGGGAGCAGATTTGGCCAAAATGTGTAGTTGATTATTGTATAACAAAGATGAAAGGTATAAAACCCAGGGGTCAGTTGGCCAGCGGGCTCAGTAGAGGTCCAAACACTTGACCAACATGTTGCCTCTGGACTCGCTTCTTCTCCTCATCAGCTTCCTTCAGCTAAGAACCGTGATCGGCAGTGATTTTTCCGTAATGAGTTCTGAGTTCAAACAGTGTGTTCGCGGTGCCCAGCAGCCCAAGTTGGGAGAGTGTCTAGGTCGATCAGCCTTGAATTTTATTCAACGATTGGATGAGAGCGAAAATGTTCGATTTGTGGAGGATTTCGTGACGGTGAAGAGTGAGGGGCCAGCGATGAGATCACTGGCAAATGTTCTCGACACAGATCCCGTGGACTTTCGTGGAATTTTAGAGAACGCTGGGGCCGTGATGGGTCAGCGGAGTCTCGAGTGGCACATGGATGGATTGTACCCGGGTTTAATGTTCAAGATTGGACCCACAGCGGATGCTAATAGTGTGGCTGAATTCGTGCTCGATGGGGCAGGCCAAGGGGAGCGACAGTTTGGCTTTGAAGAACCAACTACAGGTGAGGATAAAATATATCTTAAAGAACAAAAGTGTGGATATTGATATTATTGTTTCAGGTCGCCTCTTGGCCAAGCAATATTTGCTTCCGTTTCTCCTTGGCTTAAAGTTCAACCTGGTGGCTTTGGTTCCCCTGCTCTTTGCCGGCATTTGTCTGCTACTCAAGAAATCATTATTTTTGGTCAAGTTGGCGGTGTATGTGAGCAGCTTCCTAGGACTAGGCGGAATAATGGGCTCCTTGGGTGGTTTGAGCGGCGGAGGATTTGGTGGTTTCGGTAGTTTTGGTGGTCCCAACTTCGGTTTCGGTGGTAGCCTTCATGGTGGCCATCGACCAGTCGGACATTTTCCGGGTAAAACCACAGTTTTTGGCCACGGCGATGAGTTGCATCATCAATACGATGTTCATGAGGCATCGCCATACCGCCGGACGGAGAGAAAAGTTCGATTCGAGCAACCGCGAGTGGCAGAGTTGATACCGTCTCAAACGAATCCAGTTCATAAGTCTGTCCACAAATCACCAACCGAAGACCGTTTCTATGATTTCGAAAATCAACGAAGGGCGAGCAACAAATTACACGCAGCCAGCTTGGAACAGGAGGGAGATCTTCTGATGCGAAACTTTCAGGATGCCAGTGGCATGAAGGGCTGGCAGGCGGTGGATGTGCGGTCGCTATAGGGCACACACTCGGAGAAAAAGTATAATTAAGTCAGAAGAATTAGAAAATATAGAATAATTTATAAAACAAAACAATACTGCGAAGCACTTCTTAAAACCAAGGCACATCAATATATATTTCTAGGTGATAACAAATGAGCTCAAAGGAAGGAGTATCATATAAAACCCCGGCTTATCCCAGACACTTGTTGAAACAAAATGCCTGAAGACAGGTCCCAGATGAATGTTTTTCTATGAGAAAAGATAATAAATATTATATTTGAGATAAGCAAAAATAATCTTATTTTATTTACAGTGAACATTTTTTGTGTGCTCATTCCATAATTAAATAGTACCCGTGTTGGAATGGTTTCCCAAAAACGAAAGTTTACTTAACCGAAAAAAAAAGAGTGCGATTTGGTTTCAGTTTTGGTAAAGTCAAGGTTCAGCGAGTTCCCTTCTGGAAGCTTTTCTATTTCTATGTGATTCCTATCGAGAGTGCAGTGTCGTGCTTTGACAAGCGTGTTAATTGCTATCCCCGGAGAAAGATCCGAGCAATATAAATAGCACAGTGGAGCTGCTGCCTGGGTTATTTGTGGTTCAAGTAGCGATAAAAGAGGTTTTATTAGAGCAAAAGTTGGTGCGACTCAAACAAAATGTGGCGTTTGCTTGTGCTGCAGTGTGTGCTTTTCTCGGGTTGTTCGATCCTGGCGCTCAGTCACAAGGGAAACGAAACCTTCGACTCCTCCGGGACTTCCCCATGGAGTCCCAGGGGTTTGGGTCACATCATAGCCCAATGTCTGGGCGGGCAGGAGATGTGGGGATGCTTGACCACCGAAACGGAGCGATTAGTGGATGCAGCCGCACGGGATAACAGCACCTGGGAGATTAGTGATTACCTAAGCGTTGAGCCGCAGACCGTGCAGGAGAGCAGCAGAAGACGAATGGATACGGATGGATTGGCCGGGAAGCTACTGGAGCTGGTCCAGGGAAGAGCTCTGCGAGTCAAGTTACCACGACAGCTGACCATTTCCAATGCCATCGATGACTTTGGCAATGAACTGGGCCTTGATCAAGGTACTTATACCGTAGATGATAAGGTCGATAAGTTGATAGGAGGATGGGGTAGTTTCGAAGTGATTCCAGCCACTCCAGATAAAGATAAAGATAAAGATAAGGATAAGAAGAAAAAGAAGAAGAAAAGAAATCAAAGAAGAAAAGAAAAAGGATAAGGATAAGAAAAAGAAAAAGAAGAAAAAGCCTAAGAAGAAGAAAAGAATAAGAAGAAAGACAAATATAAAAAGAAAAATAAATACTGCTCCAAAAAAACAGGTCGCAAAAAGAAGGACAAAGACAAGCACATGGCCATGATGGGCGGCATGATCATGGTGGCCACTCTGGCCCAAATGTTCCTTGGCAAGGTCATCCTAATCGCCGGCTCTGCCTTCATAATGGCCAAGATTGCTCTGGTCATATCACTGCTGGTGAGTAGATTCCCCCCACCTAGAACAGTTCCGTCCAAATTGTTGGCGCTACGCCTCTCTCCGCAGGGCAGTCTAAAAAAGGGTTCGACTGGACACAGTGGTAGTGGTGGTGGCGGCGGCGGTGGAGGTACGGAGCACGTGGTGGTCCACTCCAGTCACGAGAGCGGCTGGCACCGCAGCATGCCCACCCATGACTATGTCTCCTCCCAGCTGGAGCAAGTGGAGGAGCCGCCATTGGGAGGACCCATGGAGTTCTATCAAGCCTATCAGATGGAGCCGCTAAAACGACGCCTGCATCAGGCGGAAGTTAATCCCCAGCATCCAGTGCCGGAGGCCACCAAACCCACCCGCGGGTTTCTATAGTCTTCCACTAGAATAATCCTAATGTGTACAAACGAGGGATCAAGCACATTAAACTAGAAGTAAGCTAAATCTATAACTAAGACAATTTTGTATTAAATATTTATTAAAGCCCTTGTTATGATGATATCTGAAATACTTTGCTCTAGAATTTAATCCTCCCAGTAAGTGCAACACTTTAAATTATTTTCATTTAATGCTCGCTCTGTGGTAACATATTAACTATGATAACTAAACTTAAACTGGAGGAGGGCTGTCGAGTATAAATACAATTTCATATTGATTGGACTAAGCGGGGGCTGCTGTGGGATCTTTGGATCTTTGGTTGTAGAGCTGCCGACCCTTTGCTGATCTTATCGCGATCCCTTGACGGCCGAGGAGGCGGTGGCGCCCACCTGGGGCATCCAGGCCTGATAGGCCTTGTCCTGCATCATCATCTCGTCATCGATGCTGCGGTGGTAGGAGCCGCCATCGTGGCCCGTGTCATACTCGCCCTGGTGACTCGAGGAATAGGTGTGGCTCTGTTGCACCTGTGGATGCTTCACAATCTCATAGGTGGTCTTCTCGCTTTGACCGGCCTGACCCACCAGCCGCCTCAGACCAATTATAGCACTGATAATCAAGGCTATCTTGCCCACAACCAGAGCCTTGCCCGCCACAATGGCGATCGAATGATAGGCCATTTTCATGATGGCGGTCTTAAGCAGAACGGCAGCAATGAACGGCCCCAAATATTTCTTATCGTCCTTTTTCTTGCGACCCTCGCTCTCACCCCTGCTGGCGGGCAGGAAGTAACTCAACAGGTGCTGCAGCCAATCCTGGCCATTGCGCTCCCCAAATCGCAACAATCGCGGCAGATTCACCTGCAGCTCATGGCTGTGCACAAAGTTGAGGAATCGATCCAGCAGTAGGGCATCCAGGCTCTTACCAGACATGTGCTCCAAATCGCGATTGCTCAGCTGACTTTCCACCAAGCTGGCACGACCACTTCGAGTGTCCTGGCCAAAGGACTCACGTCGCACCAGACTCACACCATCCACAATGCCCAGTTGCGGCACCTTGAGAGCACGTCCCAAGAGGCGAACTCCCTGAATCTTGCAGCACCAAAAGACATCCTCACTGTCGGCACACTGGCCATACACGTGGCGTACCGTTCGAAGCAATCCATTTTCCGAAACATTTGGATTTGTTGGCGTTTCCAGGGCTCCAAAGGCTTGAACCGCTGCCAGCAGCAGGGCAATGAGTAGACCCAGACGAGAATCCATGCTATAGCGTGTCCCAATCCTTATAATCGATCTCTCACACTCTCTCTTCAGCTGTCTTTTGTGCTGTTGCAGCTGCTGGAGAATCACTTGGCCAACTGATCTTCTGCGCCAGTTTGTTTGCCAAATTTATACACTTTACCTTGCCACAATTAGCCAGGCACCCGTTGCAGCCAGTTTTGCCCAGGTAAACACTTGGAGAAAAGAAATGATGAAGGCTAATGATGCTTGGAAACTGAGTTTACTTGAAGGCAGCAAATAAAAAGAGATCAATTTCTCTCAGTGCAACAATAGCTGTTGGCTATTTAGAGCGTAGTATGCATGATGAGTGCGCAGGCAGCAGCTGGGGACTTGCCTGCAAGCCGTACCAAAGGCACTAAAGCAAAGCTTCGCTGCAGATTTAGTGCATTCGACAGAGGCTGGCCAATTTCATTGCTCATTGCCGTAATTAGCAGATCTCGGCCTCGGCAATTATTCCACTCTTTATATGCCCGGCTCGTCTCATTTTATATATATTTTCTTCCAGCGCCTTCGACGCCCACTTTCATCGGGAAAAGCCTGTCTCTCTCTCTCCCTAGCAGGCGGCTGACTGGCTTTCGTTTGCACACGCGAAGATTTTGGGCATACATATTTATTAGGCAAGCGCATCGAAACTGAAATTAATGCGGATTTGCCGGAGGAATTATAGAATCGCAGTGAGATCTGTCGCCAGCAGCAGGAGGAAAGTTAATGAAAGTGCAAGAAGCTAATTATCCTATAACAAATTGAATTTAATACGCTGAATTCAAGCCAGAAGCATGAAATTACTATGCCATTAAGGATATTAGTTGGTTTCAATTCCACCAATTAAAATAAGGCTGAATATGAGGTCGCCTTGAAAGCATTCTAATTTAATCCCATTATTATTCATACAAATTCAGATTTCTAATGACTTAGACAGCAATTGTAATTAATGACCATACATTTATTTCCATCTAAGCAAATGCATCAAAACGTGAAATTATTGTTATGGCTTGAACTATTTAACCAAATAATAAATTATTTAAATCCAGTGTTCTCCTTTTAATTGAAAACCGTTGAAGCCAACCACAAGGACTCTGTTGACATTTCAAAACATTAAGCTGCAAACACGAGCTTAAGCTTGTCAAAATAAATTATGTGTTGTTTTTTGACAACAATTTCAAACTACAAATTACGCATATGCAAATAAAAACTAATTGCATTTTATAAAAGGTGTGTGGTTAAATTGAATTTAAATCATATTCCAGTGATATGCTTAAAGAGATCTCAAAAGAAACACAAGCCACACACTCTGTCAGCTTAAACATTGAATTTATTAACCGACACCAAAGTATACTTTTCAGATGAAGCTCATTGTTGACTTAAAGCACAATTTCAGGCTGCCTGAAAAGTTGGCAAAGTTTGACCCATAATTTTCGGCAAGTGTACGTACTGAAAACAACAAACAGAGCAACACCTCCGTTCGCCACTCATGCATAATTTATGCTCGACGCCTTTCATTTATGAAATATTAATTAAAAAAGCCAAGCTGACGAACATCTAATGATGGGATTTGCGAGTTTATCGCGCCAAAACATGATGCGAATCCGCCGTCACGAAGAGTGTTTTTCATTTCTAGCGGGAAAGTGCATATCTCTGCATAAGTTTCGGTTCGTTCTACAAAACCTCAGCACAGACATAAACACACACACAGCCGGAGGAATACCAATGCGAATTCAACAATGTAGAAACACTTGCCGATGCATAATCCGCCGGCGATAATTTATGATAATTCACGTTTTGGCTCACACGCAATCCTACTTTCCACAAACCATCATCCATCTATCCATCCAGCATCCGCGCATCCATCGCTAATAGGCCGAAAATGCGGGGCCAACTGTCAGGTAAAATGCGCCCGATGCTGCAGCAGCATCCAACAATTTGCAGTAATTGGCATTTTGTGTTAACAGAAAGCAAACAACCAAACGCTTAGTGATCGAAGTCAATTGTTGGCCAACACACAGAGAAAATGATTCTAGCAGTAAAAAGATGTGTTTGGAATTGAGAAAGCACCAATAAATCATAGTTATATGATTTATTTCGCTGAATTTTGGGTTTTTTAATATGACAAATTGATTAAGAACATTTTTGTAATTAAAAAAGCTTAATTTAACATTTATTTAAAACAGAAAAGTACTTCTCACTTTGTAGTTAGTAGCTGTAAGTGTTGTATTGTTAAATCCCTCATTCGCTATCCAAACTATCTAAAAGTAATTATAATATAGTTAGTTAAAATATTTAACAATGTAACTTCTTCTCAAAATACATTGTTAGAACTTCCAAAGATGAAAACAAATTCTACTTAAATGTCTTTCAAATATGTATTTCTTAAAGATATTTATGGAGTCCATCTTGAGAGCAGCCTTGATCCCCGAAACCCATCCAAATATTAACTCCATAAAAATGTAATAAAAACTACTACTCCCATCATATATTTTCCCAGTGCAGCCTCTGCTAACCTGGCCAAGATCAGCCTGAAATTTTCCCCAAAGCCCACGCGATTTATTTAGCCTTTGTCTCCGCGTTCGACTCAAGCTCGATAAGGCAGAATACACAATTCTGCGGCTGGGAACTCGTTCGCCACCAAAAAAAAAATAATAAAAAAAAAAAACAAAAACAATTGCATAAAAGAGAAGCTCTTTCGGGTTTTGTTTTGGTTTTTCCATTTTTCCATCACTGGCGAACTTTTCACTTTCACTTTGCGTTGACATCCGAGTCGCCCCCGCCAAGAAAAGTACCAGAGTACCTGAAATCTGCGGCGGCCTGGGACACAGGTTGCGATGGATGGCCGGAGGCCCAAGCCAAAGTTGCAACTCCCACTCCGAGTCCCACTTCCAAAAACCCTGCCCCTGACCCTCTCCTCAATCAAATTAAGTGCCGCGGGCCAATTACGTTTCACTCTGACCCCCCGACAACTGATGAACTGCACTGCACTGCGGCGAGGAAAGCCGGACCGTGACTATCTGATGTGATCGGCCGACCGACTGCCTGATGTCTTGATGAATTTATTATACGCTTGTCGCAAGCATTTTCCTTAAATTATACATTCGTTTGTTTGCCTTGGCCCTACACAAAACCATTTTCACTTGCCCTCGGCGAGAGAGAACACGACCGCGAGTCGATTCAATTTGATGTCTAATATTTCTCTTGTAAATCTCTTTGCAAAAAATATGTATATATATTCTGCGGCAAATTTCAATTTCATTTGGCTGCAGGCCTGAGGGCCAGCAACAAGGAACTTACTTAGTCGTCAATGTTCCGTAGCTATTTTTGTTTTGGAAAATTTAGAAAAATAAAACGCTGCTTTTGCATTTGTTTGCCATGGAAATTAGCGACTAAACCCTCCAGGCGTGTGGGCTTGTCGTTATTATAGCATACTTTGTGCACCGAAAAATATAAAGTTAAAATGTTATGTTAAGGTTAGTTTAAGGGTCGTAATATATTACAAAAAATATGAAAGGAAAGCTATAAGAAATAATCAATTCTTTTAATACAAAGGTTTCTGTGCATGTCTAGTATATAATATGAATATCCCAAGACATTATTATATTCAAAGTATATTCAAAGTATAAAGGATATTCTTCCTTCTTTCACACTTCTCTTCACAATATTTCTCTCTGTGCTTGGCCCAAAATCTGTCAGTTTATAAATACATCTTTGGCTTAATTTAATCCACCGCATGACACTCAATTATGGCGGCACCTTAAGAATACTCAAGCGACGTTTTGGCAATTCCTCACTGCATATTTGCGGTGAAATTCGAGGCTCGTTTCGTCTTAACTAACCGCGACTAAGGAGTTGGAGATGGAGCTGAAGCTATGGAGTCCCCTATGAATGACAAGGCAAAGTTCACAGCCATGTTAAATGCCAATCAAGATGGTCGCTGCTTTGTTGCAAGAGTCGGCATTTGGTCATCAATCAATGTGGCATGCCACAAACGGGCAACAGGCGATAGGCCGCAATAACAACTTTGACATGGCCGCCGAAGAAGAAAGTGCTTTGTGGCAGGCAAAGTCAAGTGATTCTGCAAGACACATCCCCAAAAGTAGCACTTGCGCACTTTAGGTGAATTTAATGCCTGCCATTGTCATTTTCATTTTCGTTTTCATTTTCGTTTTCATTTCCATTTCCAAACCGGGCCACAGGCAAAGGCATCACTCTGGCTAGCTGCTGTCCATGTCAGTTGGTTGTTTGACTTTGCCAAAACAAAATTTCATTTCATTGTCCGCATTATTATAATTTTGCGGCATTTTTTTTGTGGTCGACTCAGACGAACTGGCCCCCGGGGCGTATACTTAATCCCTGGCGCAAATCTCACTTGAGGAATTTGCTCAAATAAATCACCATTTGAATATGGTTTCGTTTTTGTTTTGGGTGGGTCTGCACGGACCGAAAAAGGGATGGCCGAATGCGTTTTCCTAGGTCGCCTACAATACAAATGACCAGGCTTAACCCCTTCGCGTACCATTTTGTTTTATTTGCCACAGAAACGTTTTTCCAACGCCAGTTCAATGGCCTGCCCTGGCCATGGCCATGGCCATGGATGATGATAAATTGAACAACGCCAGGCGAATGCGAACGTGACAACGGCCAAAAAAGTGAAAGCATCGGAAGCTGTGGCGGCGATGGCGGTGGTGAAAATGCTGGCCCAGGAATGAATGGTTCAGGCGGCATTTTCCAGCAACCTTTATCGCCGCCACCACCAAGCCGACTCAGAGTTCACCGCAAAGTTTGGTGCATGTAAACATGTCGAGTGAGATCGTAGATATTTCTGCCTGCCGTTGCGATTTTTATTCCCCTCTTGGGAAGGCAGACTGCTTTTCCTAACCATTTTCCTACCCATTTTCATCTCCTCTTGAATTAACCCGAAATCGCATCTCAGACGAAACTTTCGCGCTTCAATGGTTTAGGGCTCCATTCGAACTTGAGTCTTTTAATTATCCGATGGCTTTAATTAGAGCCAAGCTCATTGGGGTCGAGTGCTCGACCATTACGCACTTTCGCGTTGTAATTGGCGACACCTGAGGATTTAATTGTCAGCCATCAAAGATCACACACACAAGTGTGTGTAGAGTGTGTATAGTGTATAGGCCAGTGGTCAGTGGTCATCGGTCACTGTTCACCGGTCACCGGTCACTGTCTGCAGATGGTCTTCGCTGGGGTCTCACTGTACGGTGAACTGCGACGAGTGGCGCCAAAGAAAGCGAAAAGCAAACGCATAATAAATGCTAACGGTAATGGTAATGAGAAAAATGCTTATCCACGATCTACTGAGCGCCACACTTAAATAGAAGAAAATAGGAAAAAGTCTTTATAAAGATTTTAAGCATAGCTAACATTATGCAAGAGAAATACTACTGGCTTTAATTATTTTTCAGAGCTCTCTAAATTGCTGTTTTTTGAAAATTCTTCAACTTCAAGCTATGCTTCTTTGATGTTCTTTCCACGAAAATACTTTCAGATCTTGCAATTGGCCAACACACCTCCACTTTCCACATTAGCGGCTGCCACGCGACACCCAAGCGGATGGACGGACGGACAGCTGTGAAAAATGCTGGCGAATTTTTCTCGCAAACTCCCCAGAGCGGGCATAACGCTTAAATAAATTGTTCGCAAATTAAATGAAAATCAACAGACAAAAAATATAAGAGCCAGTATTGGCTCGTGACTGCCGTGCCGGAGCGGATGTCCAGCTGTTGGCCAACTGGGTAACTTGGCAAGTGGACAGACAGATGGTGCGAGGCTGTTGAAAGTCAGCGGCTTATCGCACCCGTCGACGCTCATCCCATATAAAAGTTAATTAGCGTGAGATTTGTGCGAGCGTTTGGCGGTTAACTTTGATTAACGTCAATGTGGCGTCAAAACAAGCGATAAAAACCAACAAAAACAAAAGCAGTGCCAACAAGCAAATAAAAATAAGAAAAAAAGCTCACGCACACACATTAAGGCAATAAACATTTTCTTTTCGCTTTCCTTTGTTTTGTGAAAATTGCAATTTTATTGCACATTGCCCAGCCCCCAACGGCATGAAATAGAAAGTCCGGTGTGTGATTCGGGTTCTTAGCAAAAAAGCAAAACGGTTAACAAGTTTAAAAACTGAAAGCTAATTGGCCTTCCAAAACCTTTAACCTGAGCCAGAGGTTTTCGCTCTCGACTCCCCAGAATTCAGAACGAAATATGTAGCTGTGTGTTTTAATCGTTGCGGTAGGTTTCCTGCATTTTTATACATTTTTATATACTTTTTATATACTTTCTCTGGGTGCCCAGCTTCACTAAATTTCACACACACTAAAAACCACAACGACTTCCATGAACCGAGTGCAGCTGCTGCTGGTGCTGCAATTGTTGTGGCTTTTGTTTATTAAAGCGCAATTATTTACCTAGCCTTAGTTGTTTTCCTTAGTAATGAGTAATTTCACTTGCCTTCTTAGGTGCTTGAAAAATTTGTGCTTATTTTTCAAAGAACCAAGTTGGTTTAAGAGGGAAGAAATTAAATGTAGGTTAAGGTAATACATTTAAAGCTTCATTCTATTTCTTTTTAAGAGTTTCATATTACTATAAGTCAATCTTAATAGAATTTATAGTTTATTTAGCTTAAATGTTCACCAATATTAGGTAGTAGGATGAGAGATGTCATAGCTTCCTCTTCACTCGCTCTATGACACAGAAAAATCGTGAAAAATCTTTCGGCCAAGAGGAAAGTGTAAGGCGTGGCGACAGCTAAGCTAAAAAGAAAAACTGCCGTGGGGCAGAAGGAAGCAGACATTTTGATGTTGCTGCTGCAATTGTTGCTACCGCAGCTGACTTTGGCCTTGCCCGTGGAAAAACATTGGCACGCAGAGGAAGGAAAACAATTGAAATTGTTTCACATGCGCCTGCGCAGCTCAAAGATATGACCGTTTTGATATGGATACAAGTCTGAGGCGGCACATGGTGCACATTATGACCCTGGGGGTAGAAAGAAAGAGAGACCTTGGATGCGGATGTTTTCAAATGCAGCTGCACCCGCACAATGAGATGGAAAATCATATGTTGGGAAAATCGAGTGCTTGATGGACAATTTGACAGCTTGGCTTAACGTGGAATACCAACAATGATGAACATTAGTTTTGTTACCAACAAACCGAGTGGCATTTTGGAAAGGCGAGAAAAAGAATTCGACACGAAAGTGTCCCAGGAAAACCACGCTCTTCACGACGTCATGTAAGCGTGTCGAATAGTTTTCAATTTATTCATGAGAGAAATAGATATTTACCCACAATAACAATATTGAAATGATATATAAAAGGCTTGAAATACTCAATCAATTCAGGCACCAGGAAAATAACAAGTTATGAAAGGTTGACTGCATTTGATTAAGACTCACAAGTACAATAAAAAACGGAAAATTAAAAACTTTCCATTATTCACAAATTAAAGGACACCCAACACTCATTCAAGGGAAATAAATTAATGCTATGCAGGAGCTCTTGAGGACACCCAGCTTTTTAGGTTCACCGCCTCTTGGGGGGGGGGAAACCCATAAATTTCCATTTGGTTTTTTGGGACATTTATGACGGACGGCTCCCAAGCGGCCACTGAACCCAAAACGCTTTAGTTCTCCATCTTCATCTCCATCTCCGGTTCCATCGTCATTGTCCATCATGGGCGACACCTAAACGGAAACAAAGCTGTGTGCAAATAAATACTTGCGTCGCCACTCGAGAGCTTTATGCAGATCGATGAACTGAAACCGCCCCTGGAAAATTTCATCAACCGTCGCCATGACCAGTGAAAGTGGCGTGAAAAAAGGCGGCGTTCGAGGGAATCAAAATACAAATGAGTGGCCCAGTAAAAAATAAAGGCGGATAGCCGCTGGAGGTAAGAGATACTTTTTTTTTTTTTTATCTTGGCCAAGGTGCCGGCACTTGAAGTGCTGCTGCCCAGCTCCCGGTGGGCAATGTTTGGCGGTAAGTAGCAGCCATAAGTAGCAGTAGCACTTAAAGATTTCTAGAGCCGGCGGGGCATTAATTTGGTAGTTTATTAGCTGAAAATCGACATTGGAACCCCGTCTTTCCTCACCCAGAGGGTCCGGCTCATATTCCTTTTTATGTCCGACTGCCACATAAACCGATCGCAAAGCGAAAGGCCCAGCGAAAAAAAAAATAACACGAAGAATCCAGAAAATGTAATTTCACCAGCTTTAGTTTTTTCCCCAAGTTTTTGGTTTTTTTGTTTTTTGGCTGAAAAAGTTTAGTTTTTATTGCAAACAGCATGGTTGCAAAAGAAAAGCCACAATTATGCGGCACACAAGCTTTCCTTTCCCTATGCCACTCGCATATGTGGAAGCACGTTCTATCAGATACAGATACAGCTATCGGTAGCAGATACCAATTGCAGAAGCCACACAAGGCGAAGTTTGATTAGAACTTTATATTGCAAAAGATTAAAATGATTTCTATTTATATGTTATATTAATATCAATTCTTATCACTTTTTATAGCTATTCAAATCTTTAAAGTCTATATGATCATTATAATATATTTTTAAGGAGAAAATGACCTGCATGTCATCTTGGGATGCTGCCCACCTGAGATACAACAAATCTAAATCCCACCCCCAAAACAGTGTCTGCTATTTTTTGCATAATAAAAAGAAACATGGCCATTGGCCACTGTTTAGTGGCTGGCAATGACTTTCTTTGCAGCCAAAACTCGATTGGCGAAAATTGCTGAAATCCAAATTGAAATTAAAGTGTCAACGGCAACGGCAGCCAGTTGCTGAAATGGTCAGAAGCCAAAAATAAAAAACATAAAAGTGAACTCCTACCAAATGCCACTAATGCAACTAATATGTTTGGCCATAAACAACGAAAGCTATTGCTGGAAAAACAAGTCGAAACCCGTTGGAAATGCTTTCAGGCCTCGCCTTCGCCTTTTGCTGCTGGGCACTGTGCTTCATTGAAGACTCTACTACTTGCTGCCAATGATCATCAAGGCAATGCCAGTGCTGAGCTAAAAGCTTTAGCATAATTTAGATTTTCATTAAATATGAAAAGAAAACTGGTTTCCCAGACAAGAAAAGAATTTCCAAAACTGTTTGAGATAAGACCTTCTCCCCGCAGTTTGGACTATCAAAGCTTAAAATGTCTTATATTATTCTAGGTTTCTTCTTAGGAATTATCTTAAAAAGAAGGAATATTTAATAAATAATAAGGCATTCCATGCCAAACTTAATTTATAACTTGATGCTTCTGTATAAATAAATAACTCTCTCAGTAATAATGTAGAAACTGCGCTTTGTTGCATATGGAAACTCATCTCTCTTTTGGCACCACTGGCGCACAGATTTTCCCACAGCGCGGTGGAAAACCGACTGGAAAAAAAAGAAGCCCGGCACGAGCAGAAGCTGAAGGCCCGAACCCGAAGACCACGAGCGAAGCCGAGGAAAATCAAATTGCGATTAAGACGCCGTCGAGCGAGCGAGCGAGGAAAGAAAGGTCTATAAAAGAACAAAGCGCGCCAAGGCTGGTCATCAGTTTGATTTGAGACCGCAGCCAGTGCAAGCTGCTCCCCAGTGCCAGTGACAAACAGAGTAGTATATCCTGGACTCGAGATCCCCGTCGCAGGAGTAATCACCTGAAGCACCTGTCGCGTGGTGTGCCGCGAGTGTTGTTGTAGAGAGAGTGGGACCGACCCCGAGAGCGAGTGCAAAAAGTGCCAAAAATGACATTCAAACAGCGGCCTAGCCAGGCTCTGACCCCGATCAGCCTGCTGGCGGTGTTCCTTCTCGCCGGCAGTTGTACGGCGGCCACCGAGCAACTGACGCATCCCGTCCAGCCCAATCCGGCACAGAATGCCGGAGCACGGACTTTGCTCCGGGTCTACGATGAGTGCACCCGTGCCGAGGCCGGGTTCGTGCCATGTCTGAAGAAGAAGGCTATTTCCTTCATTGACCGCCTGGCACCGATCGATGCCATCAATGTGGCCGATGGCATTAAGTTGGTGCGCCTGGAGACGGCACCACGTCCGCCGGCGACCAGTGAGAATGAGCTGGAATCCTCGTTGCCGCGATCCGGCAGTGATCGCGATGCCAAGCTCACCAATATGCTGATCGAGCGACTGAGCTACTTCTTCAATGGACATTCGCTGCAGGTCAGCTTTCCCAAACTCACATCCGATGAGATTGGACGTGGCTTAGAGGAAGGTAAGCAAAAGGGTATCAATTCGGGAAGGATAGTATTTTCAAGGGTCTTTTGAAAAGGTTTTTTGAAGCTTGTAGCCTAGTTTTATATTGAGTAGTATTCATATTGAGATTAAAAGTCCTAAAAAGTACTGCAGTGACTGCATTAAGCGATTCATTTCATTTTCTAATAAGTTTGAGTTCTTTCTCTTCTTAGTAAATTGTTTAGATATCCATAAAAATTAAAAAAGAAAGACAAACTTACAGTTTCCAGATGTTAAACATGTATATCCAGTAGGACTTACCTTTATCTGAAAATAAATAAAAAGATATAGGTAAATATTAACACATAACAAATATCTTTTAACAAATGAGATACTCTACTTGAAAGGAATTATACTATATACCTATAAATCATTAAATAGACATTAATAATCCCATATTTTCAACTAGAAAGTTAGTATTAATACTAGACCTATGGTGAGTTGCAAATAAAACCCATGTATCGTATAATTAAGCTCAGATTTCTTGGACAAACAAATCGATCCACCACATCAATCATCACTTTCTGTGGGCGGTCTAATTGCGGTTACCGCTAATATACCCCAGTATCCATAGCGCGTAACAGTGACATAATTTGATTGCAACTAAGACTGTGTGTCTCTTGTGCTCTTGTGACTGGTAATTGCCAGGCAATTATTAGAGCCAAGAGAGACGTGATAGTGCTGCCAAAGTATACCCTAGCCGGCAATGACATTCGCACAACTACTGCATCATCAGCAACCGCTGGCTGGCCCACTTCCTGGCTTATCATTCTGCATTGTATGTAAACAACTGGGGGCCTTCATATTGGGTCTGGGAAAATGTGCAATTGTTTTTATTTTGCCCTCCCCTCCTGATCCCCCTGGAAACTACTGGCAAACGCACACACGAGAAAACCCGTTGAGCAACTCAGGACTGACCCAGAAACCTTAACCAACGACATTCAGCCATCAGACGGTAGCAAACGAAGTCGAAAAAAGTGTCATGACAGAATTTCGTGTTGTCCAAAATAAAAAAGAGCCGAAAAACAAGACAATCGGGGCAATTATGGGATCACGAAACTGAAACACTCTTTAGGTTTTTATTAAATTAAATTAATTCATTTCATTTTCGAATTATATCTGAAATTAGTGTAACGTAGAAGGTACTATTTAAAGGGTATATAAAATTAAAGAAATTAAATGAAATACGTTTAAATTGTCGTACGTATTTTGTATATATTTTTATAACTTCTCTTTAAATATGTTTCTAAAATATTTAAAATAGATTTCAGGTTAAGATGTAGTAAAAAAAGGAAGATAATTATTTCTATTCAAGGTTCTAAGCTTATTATAACCTTTATAAAACCATACTATATATATTAGTAAGTATTTAGATTTTAATTAAGATCACTGGACTTGTCCCAAAGTAACTAACCCTCTACAGGGCAGAGTATGATGAATAAAAAGCGAAAAACTATGCCACGTTCAAATGTCATGACCATGTCAAATGTAATGAAAGTGCCCGACCACATTTCTCCACCGAGGCCACGACCACGAAAAGGCAAAACTCCTCTCGTCTAGGCCATTTGCCATTGGCATTTCCATTTTCAGTTCGAGCTGTCGTCAATTACAAATTTGACACAAGCACTTACTGCAACATCCACATCAAGATCGTAGATTGCAGATTGCAGATCGCCGATCGTAGATCGCAATGCAATGTAATGCAATGCAACGAAAAGTGAACTTACTTTCACGCCACATGAAAATTTTCTTTTACTTTCAAATCATTGATCAAGATTTTTAATCGATGCGAGGCTGTTTGCAGTCAACAAGTTAGCCAACACTTTCCCAATGGCAAACCCATTTTTGGCTAATACTCGTTGCCAGCGATCGGCCTGTTTAGAGCTTGTTATAATCATTCATCTTTTTGGGCAGTATTAGTGTCCATTTCCATTGCCATTTCCATGTCCCCGGCCACATCCATGTACGTGTCCATGTCGAAATGCAATTTTCACCAGCCAGGCAGCAGGCAGGTGAAATCGCCTGGAGTGTCCCTAATGAAGGCAGAAAAATGAAAGCCACACACGCTGCTGCCAAAACGGAATGCCAGTGCCTCAGAGAAAAGGCTGGGAAAATGTTCTCACATTCAGCCTTTGAGTTAATTGAGCTGGCACTTTCACCGTCTTTTGATTTACCAACCAAGTCGGAAAATTTACAAGGGTCTCATTGAAATCTCTTCAGAGATTTTGTTAAATCTGCAGTCCATTGTCTCTTCCCCAGCAGGGATTTTCTTTCTCAGGGAATCATAAATAATTATTTGATCATCTATACTTTCACTTGTTGGTATATTTACTTTATGAAATAAGTATTTTAATCAAATTGTATGTATTTTTTGTAATATTATTTCAGGTCGCGGCAAAATGAAGAAGATGATGGGCATGATGATGATGGGCATGGCCATGAAACTGATGGGCATGATTCCTATTGCCATGGGAGCCCTGTACATTCTGGCCGGCAAGGCGTTGATCATCTCCAAGATTGCCCTGCTCCTGGCAGGCATTATCGGTCTGAAGAAGCTTATGTCCGGCAAGTCGTCGGGTGGAAGTTCCGGCTGGTCATCCGGAGGAGGAGGAGGCGGCGGTGGAGGCTGGTCCTCGGGCGGCGGTGGCGGTGGAGGAGGCGGTGGCTGGGATCGCCGTTCTCTGACCGAAGCCCAGGAGCTGGCGTATCGGTCCCATATACAGGAGCAGGCGGCAAACCATCCGCAGATCCATCAACAGGTGCAGCATCTACATCCAAAGGCCGTGGCGCCACAGGTGACCAAGTCATAGGATGGACGACGACGGAAAGGAGAAGGGAGGTGTGACACCAAGTGTTAGATAGCTGCATTTATCTTGTGGATAAATCACGGACAGCGGACGGATTGTAATTAGATATATGTATACATAAACTCTCTTTTTGCACTTGCACTGCGGGGCAGACAAGAAGACTTGATGCATTTCCAACGGTTCACTCTACGCGCAGTGGCACCTATGGGTACATCGCCTGAAATGTATCTAGAACGTGCGTTCCCACTGGGCATGCACATTTTTTATAATGATTAATGATTAGTATTTGCTTTAATCGATTATGTTTTGTTTGTATCCCACTCTGCCCTGCTCTGTTCTCGATCCGCGTTTACTGTTACTGAACTCTGCCTCTGTATCTGCATCTGCAACTCTGTATCTTAGCATCTGTATCTTTGGCCTCACTCTATGCTAACTGCACTTGCTATTTTCAATTACCTCTCGTACTTCCGCTTCTGCAGCTACGCTTTCATCTCATTCCCCAGCACACAAACCATTAACTCTTAGCTTGACTAACTGTATGTAGTAATAATTTATTGAACTTATTTATTTACTAGCCGTAAGTGTAACTCGAATGTAAGCAGCAAATGTTTTACAAAAAACAGAAAAGCTACAAAAAAAATGTATACAAATAAATCATTGATACACAGAATTAACACAAAGTCTTTAATGGTTTCAAGTGTCTAGGATGTCTTCTCTTATTTAAGGACACAACTAAGTTTCTTTCAGACATTTAATCCATATTAATTGAGAATCAAAGTATCTTTAGCCTTCAATGCTAGAAGGTCAAGTTAAAGATACTTGGCTGGTATATATTTAGATGTAACGCCCAAATATGTACACTTCCTGTATCCATTTGATGAGGCTTCTTCCGTTTCCTTTGGGCCAAATCCCAATAAAACTTGCTTACCTCCGGCCCCATCTCCGTCTTTCATAAATTCCACTTCTGCAATCCCAAGGCATTTGTCCCATATTCTGTTGTATTCTGACCCACGTTTATTGCTCTGGCCCTTACACACAACAGAGATTTGAGCTAAGAAACAAGTTCAGCTGTGTAAACATTTTCACATTGCCATGAAAACAAGGATGAAAGTTAGTTGACTGTAAGTACAAGTACACTCTCTGTCTGAATTTAATCAAAATAGCATGCGCTCGAGATTCCGGATGGGAACAACAATAATGAATTACGCAAAATGAATCATCATCCAATTAGTCGGCTTCAGAGTTGAGTACTCTATTGTGGATGCAGATGAAAAGCTGTAGGTGTGTGGGTTAACAAGATTAAAGCACCAGAACTAACTAAATACATTTAGTTCTTGTAGTATTTTCACATTCATTCTTTCTAGGAATGTGTAAGTTGGAAAAGAATATACAAATATTATTAAATTTTCTGATGAATGCAGCAATTAAAGCGGCAGATAAGAACAGTATGCAAATCAAGGGATTGTAACATTTACAAGGTAAGCATAAAATATTTAAATAAATGTATTTATCAGATGATGTATGATAAATTGTAGCTGCTACATAAATAATCCGGAAGCCAGCTATTAATTTATGGCTTAAAAAACAAATACATTAAATACAACTAAATCCCCGCATTTGCGGAATAATTTTCTTTTATCTTACAGTTTAAATTTAAAACACAAAACCAGAATTTAATTAGTTGTTTAACCAATTTCAGAATACACAGCAATTAATTCAATCGAATACCGGGAACGTTGAGCTTATGTTCTCCCCCAAAAAATATGCAAATAAGGGAATTGTAAACTTACAAAATTAAATCCAACGCAAATGCTAATTAGGCTTTAGCCAGTCAAGGTTAAACAAAAAAAAAAAGACAAAGCATATTATTTAATTTAAATATAATTCACTTTTACTTTTATTTGTGGATTCGCCAAGCAGTCTGCCGATTATCTCAAACTCGTTTCCTTCATTTAGGAAAGAAGTCATTTAAAGAGATTTCAGATTGCGTGACGATGGAAGATTTTTGCAGGTACAATTTAGAACGAGTTTATATCCGGATTACAGCTAAATGAAGTGCGGTTCTAAGAAATGGAGGGGTTTTTTTTGGGAACTTTGGGTAGCATCTCTGGTGCTTACTTCGTCTTCCACCAGCCGGACTGTCCACCATAACCACCTCCGTAGCTACCTCCATAGCTACCTCCGTGTCCACCGCCATAACCACCTCCATAGCCGCCTCCGTGTCCACCGCCATAACCACCTCCATAGCTACCTCCATGAGTGGTTGTAATCACCTTGTAGACATCGACGCGGGAAGCACCTCCGTGGCCACCTCCGTATCCACCTCCATAGCCACCTTCGTAGCCTCCTCCGTAGCCTCCAGAGTTCCACCCACCGCCGTGGCTATAACCACCTCCTCCATAGCCACCGCCTCCATAGCCGCCTCCTCCGTAGCCACCTCCATAGCCGCCGCCGTGTCCTCCCTCATAGGTATTGATAACTTTGACAACCTGGACTCCACCGCCACCGTGACCGCCGCCGTAGCCACCTCCAGAGTAACCACCTCCAGAGTAGCCACCACCAGAGTAGCCACCTCCAGAGTAGCCACCTCCGGAGTAACCACCGCCGCCACCACCCTTCAGCAGACCCAAGAGTCCTGCATTGGTAGTGGCCAAAGTGGTGGCCAGAGCCAGAAGACACACAAATACCTAGTCCAAGCAAAAGGGAACTCAGTTAAATGTTAATCCTTTATCGAAATCCTTTTTCCGGCATCCACTCACTTTCATTTCGGACTGCTAACGCCTGCAAAGCACAAGTAGAACTAATGCCAAAAGGCGAAAACGCTTTCGGTTTAATAGCCGCTTGGCCAAGCCCCAACAAAGGTGGCTTAGTGAGCGGCTAAATGCCGGACAAGCTTATGCTCGGCTTCAAAAGCAAGGTCTTCTAGTCACTGGAGTGCCTTTTGTCTCATAGTCAAATCTTCAGCAGAATCAGCAGAAGCGGTCTGTTCCCGAAAATTAATTTATGATTTCCATTAAAGCAGGGCGTAGGAAGAGTTCTGAGTTGAACTAGTTTTACAACTAAATAAACCGGGCACGAGAAACCAATAGAGTGCAGGCTGTGACACAGCATAAAGTCGTTGAAAATAAAAACCAATTCAATAACTAAACTCTCGTTAAATATGCTTAGAAAAATACTTCATTAAAAGGGGAAATTTATGAATAAGAAATATGAATAATATATGTGTATTTCAATAAACTTTGTTATATATAAAAATATATTAATTATAATTGTATTATATTATTCAATATTTTTTCATTTCCATCAAAGTTTGTGAAGCTAATCTCAGTGTATTATTCCCAAAGTCACCCCACGAGTTGTGCGAAAAAAAAATATAAACTGCAAGACTGCTTGTCCCAGTTGTTAGCTCATCGAAAAGCACCGGCAAGCCGCTTTAACCAGCCACATGCAAATTTGTGGTAATAAAAAATAAATGCTTTATATGTCTTAAGTTGGCTTGATTCATGTTTGATCTTCTGTTGTCTTCCCAGTATACAGACTTGCGTGAAACAAGCCAAACAATGTCGAATGAAATACGGGCTTTAGCCTTGTGCAGGAATGAAGAGAAATAAGCCACAGTCATCCTCCATTATGGATAAAGCTCACCGAATGAGTTCCTTTTGGCCACTATCAATCATAGAGCTACCCATTAATGTTCGTGTGCTTGGGGGGAAAACCATTTCAATTGCCACTCAGTGCTAGACCACAATTTTAGCCTGCCACTAGCACAAAATCACACTAAAATTAGAGACCTCAAACTGCCATTATCGCCAGGGGTAATCTCTCTTATTCAGTGCCATAAGTCCTCCCCATACATCATTCTAAATGGGGATAATGGAAAAAACAAAGCCAAAACATGAATTGAACTGGGTATGTGTGCATAATAATTGAATTCATTTAAATATAGCACAAACTATCAATGAAGACTTCTTAATAATAACATGAAGTGTTATAAGAGATCCTAACTATAAATGCAAGTTGAAAGTGTAGCTATAGTATTTATTTGAATTGAAACCTATGTGGAACTTATTTATCACTTTATTCTATATCAAAAATTTAATTGAATCTTGCTATGTGACTTTTGTTGCATTTCATTCTTGCTTCTTAAAATCAAATCAAATCAGAATAATGCAAAGCAATAGTGACAAGAGCACTCCACACTATGTCCCCATCCAAGGTAGTTGTTTTCTTTTTGCATTTTCCTCCCCCAAACCACAAGCCTAAAAGTAAGCTTCACTAAAAGGTTGAAGCTGGAAAACGAGGTGAAAAGCATGCTCGGATTTTTTATCTGCATGCGGGAACTGACAACTGGCGCCCAAGAGCATGTGACAGACGACAGATGGAAAGCAATAACGTGAGTGCAACGTAACAGAAAATGCAAAAGAAAACTGTGGGCCGCCCACACCTGAACCACCTGTCTACCACAGCTCTGTGAAAATAATAAATAACAAGGAAAATTTTAAATGATTGTTTAAATTGCGCATGTAACAAACTCTCATTTAAATTTCCATTTAAATATTTGTTTATAAACTCATCAAGTTATATGATTTATTTTGAGTGTACCCACTGAGAAGATTAAGTGTATGCCAACTGAGATGCGGCATTCAAATGGAAGCAGAAACCAACTTTACCTGCCATAGCAACCAGGTTGCAATTAGCACGCACGGGACTGCAATTACGCGAATTTACCCATTGGGCACACTTTCCCAGGGCCCAAAAGAAAAAAACATATATAGAATAGTGGCATCAAGTGCAAGGCCACCAGTTGAATCCGGGCCTTTGGTCGTGCAACAGGGCCAATCAAAATCAGTTGGTGAAAAGTGAAAATAACCAAAATGTGGCATTGTTTTCTAATTAAAGTGGTCATGCCGCACGTGTTATGGTCACTGAAGCGTTAATCTTCGATCTGCCACCCTGCACCTGTGAACATTTTACATAAGTGGGAACTGGGAAGTGGCCCAGCCAATACCCAGTTACGCCTGACGAACCACATTTCGATATTGTATATGTGAGGTAAAAGTCTTGTGATGTGAAAAGCTATCTGGAAGATAAACTGACCGCTTGACCGCAGGCCAAAAAAAGCCGCAACACTTTTTTCGGCGAAAGGCCGTAAAATCGCTCGACCGGAGAGCACCATAAAATGTCGAATGCGCCCCTCTATAGAATTTGGTCTACAAAGATTTCAAAACACTCGTCGCCTCACAGTTCGATTCTAAACGGCGTGCGGTGTGCGTGTTGCGAGGTGCAAACATTTCGTAAAAGTCGAACCAAAAAGGATCCAGGATGTGGTCGCGACAGGTGCTAGTGCTCGGCATTTACGTGCTCGTAACAATGAAAGTGACGTGGAGCAATGGCAGTCGCTTTAATGGCGGCACTTCCGCCGGCAACCAAAATCCACAACTGAAGCTGGAGATGAATGCATGGCAGCCTTTTACGCAGCACAACAATTGGCTCATCCTTCAGGCAACCGCTCCCAGTTTAATGCAGCGGCAACGCGAGGAGATCCCTGAAAGACGGACGGAGCCGGAACGACTTCCTGTCAATTACTATGCCTACAACCATCGTTACAATAACAGTGTGGCGTCTCCTTCGGCTGGCGGAAATTACAAACCGGTTCCACCCACCGATCCAGCCAGCTATGTCCTGGCCATCAGCCAGCAGATGCGACGCGGGCAAATCCTGCGACAGCTGCCGCCAGCCAAGGAAACTCAACCGAAGCAGGAGATGGAGCCAGAGCAGGAGCCGGAGCCGATGCCTCAGCCTCAGCCGGAAGTTCGCAAGGCGGCAGCAACTTTAACCCACCAGGCTAATGGTGATGATGATGGTGATGGCGAAAACGCGAACGAAATCGATACCCTGGAAAATGAAGCAGGTGGAGAGTTGGTGTCGCTCCGGGGAATCGAATCCTACTTGGCGCCCTTTGAGCGGGCTCTGGTGAAAGTGCGCGACATTTGCGACACGCTCAGGATGGCAATTAACGGGGAGGAAGGTGAGAAATTTTCCTGCGAATTTTCCATCTAACTAAGCTGGCAGTCAGCGGAATAAAACGGATTATTAAGATTAATATAATTGGGAAGTTTGAAGGATTGTGATTTAAGTTAACTAATATTTTAAGATGCAAATACTATGAATATACAAGCTTTCTTTCTGATAGAATTGCTTTCTTACAGACTATCGAATTTATTTGTTGTTTCCTGTAAATAATCCCTATTTATTATTCCAAATTTTGATCTTCTTCACTCACATTAAATTAAAGAGTATCATAGCGACCCTGACAAACCGCCTGGGGGCACCGGCGTCTGTGACTGACCACTTAATTAACTGGCTAACTAATGCTTCCGCTCCTTCACTCACAGACGAGTTCGTGCCCAATAATTTGGATGCCACCACAAGCGATGCGAAGGCATCGCCATTTACTGTAACATCAAAGGAGCTCCTCGTCCAAGGTCGATCCCAGCGTCTGGCAGCTGAAACCGAGGGCCGCAAGCTCAAGAAGCTAAAGAAGAAGATCCAGAAGCTGCTACTTCCCCTACTGATAGCCTACAAACTGAAGTTCCTCACCCTCATACCGGTGCTCATTGGCGGACTCACACTCCTGGTGGGCACCACGGGTTTAGCCGGCTTCTTCTTTGCCCTTTTTACGGCCGTAATGAGCCTAAAGAGCTCCGCGGGCGGTCATGCCAGCAAGGCGCTGGTCTTGAAGAAACTCTGATGGGTTTAGATTTTAAGCAAATTTCGGGGATTAAGCAGTTTGATTTGGGTTTGGTCGATGGTCTGGGACTATAAACGTGCGATGCAGCGATGGATTTTCAAGCGATAGCCACGTCGCGGGCCTCAAGTGAAATGAAGTGTGTACATAACAGCCAAGGTGCCCAAAAAACGATAAACAAATGAGATGTTTGGTCAGCCGTTTATTATATACACTTTATTTTAAAGACACTTTGTTTAATTTAAATTAAGAAGGTTGAAGAATCCTGTCATTTAACTTATTAAAATTGTATCATTTTTAATGAATTTATAATTCAACTTGTTTGATGGAATGCCTGGAACATATTTAGAGTTAAACGAAGGAAGACTTGGACTAAGAGGATAATTTAATATAGTTTAAAGTACAGAAGAAACTTATTGCTTATGTATTTCCTATGAAAATTCAAAATATAAATCCTTCAACACAGGCTTTAGCTTACTCACACAACCTTCTTATTTATCTGCCTTCCTTTAAGAGTTATTACCACCAAATTCCTAAAATACCTTGGGCTGACAGGGTATAGTTTTAACAGCAAACCGGATGCCAGGTAAAATCAAAGCTGACACCCAGCAGCAATAAATTCCGCAGACACTCTGCCATGAGCAGTGTGACGACAGCGAAAAGCGTTAAAGTTGTTGACTGCTGACTGCGATTAGTTCCGTGGCACGCGTGTGCATTTGAGTGTGTTTTTTGAACGCCAAGTGAATATATTCGAGTGTGGAGTATGAGTCCGAGTGCCCAAGATAAGTCCATTTGTCTCGTCTGGGCCGCGCCTAATTCAGTTTGGACGTTATTCCATTTCCCACCCAATATACATACAAAAAGTCCCGGGCAAACTTGTGTAATGTCAGAAGCTAACTTCATGTTGGTGAAATTTAATTAATCCTATTTCTGTACGAATTTCGTGGGCCGATATGGCCCTTCGGCATTAACGGAAAAATTTACATAAACAAGGAAGGCCTTTAAATTGAATTCCAAATATTTTTCAGGGTTATTCAGGTTAATTGAAATATTATTAATGAATTTTTAATAGAATTTTCATTGGGTGTGCTGTAAAATAGATTTTATTGAATTTGCTTCTGACAGCTTCTGGGCCAAGCACAAATTATATAGAAAATTTTATGTTCAATTAATAAAGCAAATTAAATTTCATTAGCTACATCCAAGGTTGTCATAGGAGAAAACAATAGACCAGAAACAATTAATATTTATAATTTATTTCTTCTAAAAATCAATAATAATTTGATTTCTAATTTTACTATGTAATAATTTCTACTTTTATACACTTTAAATATAATTCTTAACTCATTTCCCGTTAACTTAATTAAAGACTTAACTTGTTCCTGGAAAACACAATAGTTTTCATTTCATGATGAGCAATATTACAAAACTTTTCAGGCAACTGTCTTCATTTTAACAAAAATTAATGCACTTGCGACGTGCTAACGACGTTGATAAGAACTTTCAAAAAGGGGGAAATGCCTCTGTGAGTGACGTCAAGCATTTTCCCTCCCCAAAAAGCTTTTCTCTGCACACACATAGTTTAGAAATGGAAAAACGTTGCCAAGCTTTTGCCAAGCAAAAATGGCAAGTGAACCGAAACGGACCCACCAACGATAATGAAGAGTTTTTACTTGTTGATGGTTGAAGCAATTGACCCACGACAAGTGTGGTGCACACAGGCATAATAAAGCGGCCAAAGTTACAGTGAAATGTCTGCGGTGAGCCATTCATTAAAGCAGGGAAAATTTAATATGTCCGTTCACGCTCAAGTAAAACTGAATCGGCGGAGCAAAACAGAATCAGCGAAAACAAGTTAGAACACTTGGGAAAAGGCTTAACAAAAATATATGAAATGAAAATGCACTCTTGTTGAGTGTGTACAAAATCGGAAAGTCATTTGAAATGCTTGTGCTTGTTCGCTTTTCATATAAACAAACTTATGTTATCCTGATTGCAGGCTATTGTCGAGATTTATACAAGTCCTGACAGCAACATTTTATATATAACAAATGTATGCTCTTTAGAAATCAAAGAATGTCAATACTTTAACATCTTTTTACGTTAGATGTTTTAAAAAGGATATGCTTTCAAATGCTTTAAAACTTTCAACTAATTTTCCGCTGTGCATCCAGAAATGTTAGCGGTACTGAGTGGCCAAGACCAATTGGCCAAGAACATACAGATACCCAATTGAATCTACTAAATGCAACGAAGTGCAACGAAGAGAGTGCCCCATTGGCAACAAACTGCAGTTTGGCGCCCGTTTTTTGCTCAGTCGTCTCGGAACTTTGAAACGGTGAAAACATGCTTAAGATTTCGATCTCAATTACAATTATCCACCTGCTCTGGCCAGTGTCCTTTGGTGGAGCCTATAGCCTTCCACCGGTGGTGCAAATGGGTGGCGCCATTGTGGCAGCCGTGGAACAAGATGCGGAACAGGAAGCTGCCGCCGCAGAGCAATTGCATTTGGAACGAGAGTGGATTGCAGTGGCCGAAAACCAATTACAGAGATTAATTACTGAGGAATTAAGTGCCGAGCAGGTGAGGAACCTACTGGATGCCTGGAAACCCGAAGGTGAGTCCTTACTTTTACAAATTCAAAGGAAAACCAAGACTTGGATTGTTAGCAAGCCTAAAGTGGTTTGTTTGTTAAAAACGTTGTAAATTGCCAAATAGTGAAAGCGATTCCTCTTATCTTACAACTCTTAGCAATGTCTCTGATGAAAATTGAATTTCATTTCTACTTTAATTGGTTACATATAATACTTTACTTTTCTTACAGGTCGCGGCAAGCACAAGAAGCAAAAGAAACTCATGAAAATGGTGTATCCCATGCTTGTGGCTGCCGCTCTGGCTAAATTGATTATCCTTCCTTTGGTCCTTAAATGGCTAACGGCTCTCTCTACGTCATCGTTTATCATGGGCAAAATTGCTTTAGTCACTTCGGGATTGTTGGCCCTGAGATATATATTGTCCAATGGGAATGCCCGCGATCGGCTGGAGATTATTCACTCCTCTGCGCCATCGATTAAAGGGTATCATGCGGCCACGGATCTCTCCGGCAGCGCCAGCACTTGGATGCCTATTCGACAGCCTTATATACCCTTTGGTTTATCCAAGGATCAAAATTATGAAAATGTGTATAAGCCATTTTTATAGGTTAAACGGAAGCGAGAGTGAGATTTGTTATCAGTTAATTTTAAAGTGAAGAGTTTTAAATTTAACAAGAAAGGAAGTAAACATCGGGATCTTAAAGTATTTATACCCTTCTAGTTTCCAAATACATGATATAAATACAAACTCACTGAGTTGCAAGTTTCTAAGTAAAATTTAAATTTTCAACAGTACAAAAATAAATTACGTATACGTAATATTCAATATATTATTTTGAATAAGAATATATTTGTATTTTTCACTTTAAATTCATTAATCTATGTTGTTATTATCTCTTGACATTAGGTTGAAGTAAGCATTTATATTAATAAGATTCAAAAATACTAAACCAATGTTTATTTATTTGTATGTAATTGTTGAAGCCACCACTTGGCCTATTTATACATTTTATTTGATATTAATTCAACTCAGTTAGACTGTAATTTCAAATCACTTTTCCGGTATAGTATTAGCCAATAGACAAATACGTATTACGTAACCCCCAGCTTCATCAACGATTAATTAGCACATAACTCGCCCGACTTTGACAATGTTACGTCGCTGCCGACCCGTTGACGACTCTGCGTCTGCGTGCACGGAGCGCAAAAATTAACAGCACTGTTGTTCCGTTATGCATAAAACTGTTTATTGCGCATGCGCACCGTTGGCCGGCCCTGTCGGACCCCAAAACCCAAGACCCAAGACCCGATAGTGGCCAGCTGCCAAGCCATCAATGTCGACGCACTGGAAGCGACACTTCCGCAACTACCTGGCTGCAATAAAGGCCGACAAACGACGACCTGGCTTATGTAAAACGAACGAAGGAAAGCCAAAGTCAACAATCAGGTCGTCACAAATCAATCAACATGCAGCAGCCGATGCAGTGTCGTCAATTGAACGACCTCCTGGGTGGTCGTGATAATAAAAAATAAACAAAAAATGATTAAAATAAGTCGGGAAAATGTTTAAGCTAGTAACTGAAGGAATGTAAGGGAAAGAATTTAATTTGTTAATATAAGTCTATGAAAACCCATTTTGTGTAGACTTTAAACCTATGCGCAATATATTATTAAGATTTAAAAAAGATTAAAAAAACTAAATCTAAATCAAAAATGAAGCTCTTTGAACTTTATTTGTATTCAAATAATAAATTTGCTACAAATAAACAAAACAATAATGAAAACTAACTTAAGAAAGCCGAAGTCTATATAGCCCTACAGTATCGAATTGATAATCTATAATAACTAAGCTTAAAATATTCTTATTTATTAAATCGATATTTATTAATATTTTAATATAACAATTTTTACGACAAATTTAAATTTAAAAATCTCATAACTAAGTCAAAAAATCATTAATATGAATTCGGAAAGCATTCCTATGTTAGTTGTTATTGGGTTAATGAATCTGTATACTCAGTTTAAAATTAAAAAAAAAATAAAATTTGTATGATTTTTTTATAATTTTTAATTATGAAAACCCTTTTAAAATTTTGACAAAAATTTTAAAATTTTGACAAAAATTTTAAAACTTACATTCCTTTCGAACATGGCTAGATCGACTCGGCTGTTGATGCTGATCAAGAATATATATGATTTATGGGGTCGAAAATGACTCCTTCACTGCGTTTCAAGCTTTTTGACTTGAATTGTAATACCCTGTAAGGGGTATAGAAATAATATAAATCACGAATAGAAGGGTAACTTTTTGTAACCTCACATTTTTATATATTTTATTTTTAGGAAGTACCTTTAGATTCCTAGCTATTCAAATTATTTCAATATAGAAAATATCAATACAATTAATTATTAAAGGTTTATTTCCAAGCACTTCCTTCTTTTGTTTGCTTTAAAATATAATTTTTATTTCATTTATAAATGATTTGATTATAAATGATTTAAAATATCTTCTTTGCCAGAGTACAGCTTCATAAACACATACATCTTCGTTCAATTTAAATATATATGTTAACTTTTAAGTATAATCCATCTAAAGTCACTGTTCTCTACAAAATTTCTAAGCCGGACTAATGCCAATTTTATGAGCTAGTGACTCCATGCTTGGCTGAATTTATGTATGTGCTCGCTGCCTACGCACATCGCGCCTCCATTTCCGCGGCACAAGTGAAAGTTGTAGGGCGCGAACAGCGCAGAGACAATTGCAAGTATGGATACAGCCACCGATGTATCTACAGAGCTCTAAGATACAAGATACAAACTACATAGGTATGCGCATGCCAACCGCGTATCTAACAGATCGATCAACAACAACAGGGCGTATCTCTGTGCGCCGCGACTTCTTTCTAAGTGAGACGTTGAAAGTGAAGTGAAGTTGAGACCCGAGCTCGGGCAATTAGGCTGGGGAAAAGGGAAAGGGAAAGGGCGTTGGCTGAGGGACAGACAGGTGAAGGTGGAACCAAACGACGCGACGGCGGCCTTTGTCATCGCATCTCTGGCCCTCCCCCCTCAGCTATTAACAGCATTCTCAGATACGAAGACTGCGCAATGTTTGCGGCTCTCACGAGATTACTTAACCAGGCCATTTAGCATAGACACACCACCGCCTCGCATCGCATTTGTTGTCCGCATTTGTGTCATCAATTTCACTTTCTTTCGTGCCCAGGCGGATGGGGTTAAACAAAGCGATGATACTTTAGGTCTGACTAAGTCTGATCCCACAGGCGCATTTAATCATATTTTTCACTTCACCTGGCCAAAAAAATAAAATAAACCCAAATGGGAGAGCGGACTAGATAGGAGAAGGTGAATTGCAAATACTCTTAATATTCAAAGGAAAACTATAAACTGAAGCAGAAATATTATCAAGAATAGAACATAGCATAACATAACAAAACATAACTAAAATATTTTAAATATCTTATATATTTTAAACATATTTACAAAGTAAACATACCCTCTCAAAGGTAGTAAATAACATACAACCCAGCTTAAAAATGGCAATTGCTCTCTTAGCTCTTGTGGCAAAGGCAAAGTGTATTGGAATTTGTTTTGGGGTTGAAATGGAGAGTGCCCTCCAGGTAATAGCTATGAATTTTTTACTGCAAATACCATAACTAAAGTCGACCCCAAACCACAAATAATATATAAACATATATGAAGAAAAATCGTTTGAGCCAAAAAAATACAATTATGAATAAGAGTTGAATGCATGGAAACCGCTTTGCTGTGGCACTGCACTTTCTCAGTCGAGCGACAATGACGACTACGCACAATATTGACATTTCATATTTGCACAAATGAAAAGAAAATCAATTTCACCTGCTGGCAGCACGGCACTTTAGCGTTTAACCCAAATAGCTTACAACACAAATTTTCGTCGAGGTTTAGTTATTGTGTGCCTTCTAATGGAAATAAAATGTTATGTACAGAAAGGAATATTGAAAGGATATTGAAAGCTAGAAGGATATTTTACCGCTTCATTAAAAATTTCATGCATTTCTTAGTCTATGTAAAAATCAAATTTAAAATGATAAGTGTTTCCGCCTTCTGTCGTAATTTCGGTAATTTCCCAAACTTTCTTTGGTTAACCAAATTCCTTAAACTTAATGCTTTAAGAATTTCGGTTCAATGATCTGAGTTCAAACGCTTAGGGTTTGTCCCCAAATCCTGGCTGGCAATTCCAACTATTTTCCTTTTGCGACATTTTATTTGTCCCCAAAAATAATTCCCTCTAACCGCTGACCAATAAACATTCTGTGAAAATCACCACCGCTCCCCCACTGCGTTGGAATTCCAATAATGCCGCTGGCATTCAGATGTCTGATATTCGATGAAAAATACACGCAAATGGGTCAGTAGAACGTGAGCTGCCCAAAAAAAATGTATACATATATAAAGCCGGCAAATGTCTCGAAATTTGACTGCGAATCCGAGAGTCGGGCTAATTTGAAAAGCAAACGCACATGGAATCGAGCAACCTGCCTGCCACACCCACACTCGCCAAGGGGAGGAGGAGGAAAGTGAGCAATTCGAATTATGGCAACTTGTTGCCGGCTAATTGAATGCCACCCAGCAACAAATCGCAAATCGAAAAGCGCACCAATGAAACGAAACTAATTGACTTTGTGTAAATAACGAATGCCTACCAGAGACTGCTGTCAGAAACGCATTAAATGAGGGGCAGGCGTGAAGACAAGTCAAAAAAAAAATCTTGAGAAAGGTTATCACACAGGGGAAAAAAACGTTACCTTAAAAAAATTATATGCTTTTGTAATTTCAGTCCTAAGTTTTTCAATTGTTTAGAATTGAATTAAATGATTACAACTAGATTAAATTTGCGAGCTTAAACAGGCATGTATTATACATAGTTTAAAAATATTTAAGAAGACCTTTAAAATGATCTTATGCTGATAATGTTAACAGCTGTCAGTATATTGTTTATATACATAACATTCTTATATTTCTCATCATAATTTTATATATTTATTTCCGATCTTTTTCTCCGTGCAACACTGACAGTTCTCGCAGGCAGAAAAACCGATAAAACCGCAACGAAGAAAAGAGAAATTGTTTATTGATTGGCATTTAGAAATTTTGTTTGATTTGACAGTTAGGCGGATAATAAAACCTGACGTGTTTTATTCGCTGCGCGTTGGAGGTCCGCCCAATCCATCCATCCGGTTTAAGCACTGCGCCTTGCAGATTGCAAAATTCACCAAAAAATTACGTAACTTTCACTCATGAAAACGATGACGCGAATGTCGGCATGAATGAATGAAGTTCGAAGAAACTGGATCGTGTATGAGCCAAGGCAATGGTATGCGGGATACCATCATCATCATGGTCATCATCATCATCCTCCTCATGAATGAAGTTGGACAATGCAATCTGGACATCGGCAAACTATGCAAATTGGCGTCGCAACAAGTGAATCATGGGGTAAAATATGCTCAATATGGCATACCTAGCACACTTTCTTTTTTTTCCTCCATCGAGCCGCTTTTTTTGGCCGTTTTACGCGGCTAAAACAATAACCGAAAATAAAGGCGCGTCACTCATACGCAGCGTGTGACAAGCCGACGCCCGCGGCTCATTTGCCCAGCAACAATCAGCCGGGCAATAGCAATAACAACAGGTACAGTGAAATATCATTACAGTAAATGCATGTTAATCGGGTAACCTCAAGTTCATGCCGCAGAGACTTTACTGTATGAACAAAAAACAACATGAACCACAATAACAGCAACATTGAGGACAGCAACATTTAGTGTCGCATTTCGTTGTAATATAAATGAAAGTGAGTGAGGCCTTTTTTTCCTCTCTCTCTCTTGCCGCCTTTTGAATGGACTGCCTTTAATAAGCTGCCGGGGGGACAATAAAAATACAAATTTTGTAGCTGCCAAAAAAAAAAAAAAAGGAATTGAAGTTGTTTCGATTTTATAGAGATCTTTTGTATATAACGCCGGATTTTTACGATGCAATGCCAGGCAGAGAAACTCGGATGACAACATAAACCTCTCGTCACACAATGCATCTGGCAGAACGTGACTGGGAAAATCATCGGCTAGATGCCTAGATGTCTCTAAATGAATGATTCACAAACGGCTTGATAGACTTGTAAAAGTGTCTCAGGTCGCGAGAGAAACTATTTCGATGGGAAATCGTGTGCAGATTCAGTTGCCAGATAGCTCAAAATTTGTAGGTTTACAGACGGAATGCGAAAATAGACAACTTCTTGAAGGGAATAGTTATTTGAAAGTAAATCTACTCAATGTTCTTAAATTTTGTACTCCAAGTAAGGCAAAAACCTGGTTGATTTTATCAACCATCTAAGCTACTTACTTAATTTGTATGGTTTTATAAGATAGCTTTTAGCTGATAGCTTATAATTTCTTTAATTTATTTCTGATTAGCAGCTCTTCTTATCAACTAGAAAATAGATAATATACTATTTATTGCCTTAAAGTGATTTTGTGCAGGTTTCACACCTGCAATTGGTATAATTAGCATGAATTAATTCAACAAAACTATAAATATTTTAAATAATTCCTTAACCTTGGACTGCCATTAGCATTATCCTAATAAATAAATGTATATAGATGTGAATATAAGGTAAATATTTCAAAATATCTGTCATATATATCAACTTTTGTCAAACTTTTTGGCAAATTCCTTTAAACTTATTATATAAATGCACAGCAGCAGCAGCACAATCTTCTCATTCACCTCCACCTACTTTAGCCACTTAACTTTCAATTATTACCACATACATATACCTATTCGACGCACAGTCCAATTCAATCATCAAAGTGCTAAATACTATTTCACCATACCATACCATATATATTATCCTAACAAAAACACCAACAATATCTGTAGAAACAACAACAACTGAACAAGGGGCAAATACAAATGACCCATTTATGTTGGAGAAAGAAGAAAAACACATTTTTGGCGTTCATAAATGGGCAGCGTGAAATATACGGCAACCGGATCGGTTAAGAAGCGTCAATAAATTAGCAAATATGTGACTTTTGTGGATTGCGAGAGTCGAATGAAAGCGCAAACGCAACGGCGAACGGAGAGTTTCAGACCTCCGGTAAACACGGAGCTCCCCCTCTCCGGCCTCATTGAGGGCGTGTGCGTATCGGGGCCCAAGACCCAAGACCCAAGACCAAGTCATCATCAGACCCAGGCCCAATGCTTGGCCCAGGTTTAACAATACACTGCCGAAAAAATAAAATAGAAATTGTTCAATTACTCTTTAAAATGACAAAAAAAATATGAGCTTAATAAAAAGTAATTGCCAAAAACAATTTGTATTTGTATAATGGTATAGTTCTTAAGAACTGAGCAGTAAATTGCATTACATTTTCAATAATCCTGAAATAATCTACATTTTTAGCTACACTATTGTTTTATTGAATTGCAGAATCATATATTAAATAGCTTAAATTATTTCAATGAGCTTGTTTTGTCGTTTATTTTCACACACAATTTTAGCAATTTAAGCCCTGATTATCAAATATGTTTTTCTGAAAAATGTTTAAATACATACTGAGTTTTATAATTCCTTGAATAAATGAAGGGAATTAGTTTAATCATTGCAAATACAAATACAAATTAAATATATACAAGTCAATGATGATGATTTTAATTGAATTTGGTAACAAAATAAAGGTCTAAGTGGCTTATAATGCATTGAATAAGTTAAGCAATTTATGGTAACTAGGTACAATCTTTAAAACCTTAGTCCTAAACCTCTAATTAGGGCTGAGCTCCCTTTTAATTCATCCTTTTTTACTATAAGTAATTCTTCTCAACTATATAGTTTGATGTATAGAAATGGGGGAAGTAGGAAATATGCCAGATTTTTTCCTCCGTGCAGACTTTAACCAATGATGCCGATTGTTTACACGAGGGTGCCCCTTAACGTTTAAACGTCTTTTCTGTACCAGCGTCTTACCAAGTCCAAGTACAAGTTTCTCTCTTCGTCGACGCCGGCGACGCTAACGTTGACGTTGCCGTTGACGTTGACGTTAACGTTGACGGATAGCAACGCTGCCGAAAAAAAGGCAGCCCCCGAAATGAACATATTCACTTAACAAACAAGTTGACTTTATTTCCCCGCCGTCTCCAGTTCCGAGGGCGCTCTTTTTTTGGCGTCTTTTGAGCTTCCGCTCTCGGCCGGGTTTTTACTTAATTTACTTTTAAATTGTTTTGTAATGCGCACCGACTGCGACGCTGGCGGCGACCGAGCGGCTGAGCGGCTCAGCTGCTGCAGCTGATATATAAAAGGCTAGATGTCCGGAGACGCATACATCAAACTCATCTCAGCGCTCTGCAGAATCAGCAGCATCATTAGCAGCAGCTCCAAGGATTAACCGCGTCAAATTTCGAAAATGAAAGTGTTTGCCATCGCCTGTGTAACCCTTTTGGCGGCCAGTTGCGCCCTTGCCGCCCCCAGTCTCCAAGACAATCGTGTCGAGGGGGATAACACTCTGGGCCGGGCCGCCAGATATTTGGGCGCCTGCCTTGAGAGCGACGATATGGCCACCTGCCTGGCCGTCAAGGGAATCACCGCCCTTAACCGGGCCGCCAGGAGCAACAACATCGAGCTGGCCAGCGGTGTCACCTTCCAGAGGTGTGTGTGTTTGTGTTTTTGTGTTTACATTCAGTGAAAGTGGATTAACCTTAAGCCCAGATGTGGTCTGGGACAAAAACTTTAATGAGTGGCTAGAAGTTTCAAGTGGTTGCATCACAAAACTTAACTAATTGTCTTAATTGTGAGAAAGAGAAAAAAAGTTGGTGAGGAATTAAGATTTCAAGCTAATTGGAAAGAAAAATCAGTGAAACTGTAAGGTATTCAAGTGGAAGTCCATTTTATGTTGGCTTAAGGTATCACAAAACTTGACCAATTACAAATTGGCTTTTATTAGGTAAAAGTGGCACTAAAGGTTGAGTGATTTTTAGGATTTTTAAATAAGATTTGATCCTGCACATTTTAACTGCACTTAAATTGATGAGTCAGCTTTAATTATATACAAAATATGACATCAAATTGTTACCTTTTTGTGAAATTTAGATAATATTAGATAGTTTTGTAATGTAATCATTTTCTTTTCAACATTTAAATTCAATATCCTTTTCTTTCCACAGAGATCCAGCTAGCCCCGTTTCCCGTACCGGAAAATCCCTAAGCGAGCAGGATGTCTACGCTGAATTGCCCCAGAATGCTGATGAGCGTACTGGCCGTCTTGTGGATTTGGCCATCTCCAGTGCCACCGATTTCCTGAGCAGCCACAATCTGGAGTTTAAGCTACCCGCCGAGACCACCCAGCAGGTGGCCCGTGCTCTCGATGAAGGTGCGTTAACACATGGACACACCTTTCTAATATGATGTTGTAATCATCTCATGAATTTTCTCTTTAGGCCGTGGCAAGATCAAGAAGATGATTGGACCCCTGGCTCTGGCTATTGGCGCCAAGCTCTTCGCTGTCATTCCCCTGGTGCTCGGTTTCCTGGCTCTGCTGACCTTCAAGGCCGTGATTGTGGCCAAGATTGCCTTCTTCCTGGCCATCCTGGTCGGTGGCTCTCGTCTGCTCGGTGGATTCGGCAACAAGTTCGGAGGCAACTCATACGGTGGTGCCTACAGCTCGAATGCCTGGTCTGCACCTGCCAGCGCTGGCTGGAGCTCGGGTGCCTCCTCGTCCTATCCCTATGCCCGCAGCATCAACGATGATGCCCAGCAGTTGGCCTACGCCGGACAGGAGCAGCAGCAGCAGTGAGGAGGAGGAGCCAGGTGCCAGGATCTAGATCCAGGTCGTGCTCGTCAACCACAGATGTGCCTTCGTTTTGAAACACCCCTTAGCCTGTAGTAATTTATTCAAAGTGTAATTAACTAATTTATTGCCGCACACACAAACACAGCAAAAGCATAGTCAAGTCGAAATGTTTGAATAAAACTAAGAGTATTCCATCCAACAAAACAAATCCGCAAATCCCCACACGTGTTTACCTGCGGTGAGGCCAGGTATTCTAGGTACTTTCCCAGGGCTTAATTGAAATGCTGGCAGACCCACAAAATATCTGGAACTTTGTCGCATGGGCGGTAACCAGTTCTGGCAATTAAAACTTGTGGCAGGTTCTGTTGTTGTGAGGAGGAAGGAACCAAAAAATAGAACTGCCGATAAGCTGGGGTACGTAGTGTGTAGTTTTTTGTTTGTTACTTCTTTTTGGCAAGTTTGTGGCAGTGCTCATAATTGGAGTTTCTAGTGACCATGTGACGGCCGCTTGGCATGTTAATTGTTTACCAGAAACTTTCTACTTATGCTCATAAAAGTGTCACTTTGCGATTGGAAAGAGATATATGTATATATGCGACGATGTGCTACAATTCAGCTTTCTTTTGGAAATAGATTTTAGAAGCAATTGAAATAGAAAACGAGCGTTAAGCGAATGCCACCTGACGCCACCGGAGAATGAAATCGAAAGCGTTGAAAGCGCCGAAGCAACTAACTGGGCCAAATTGTGCATTAAGTCACCAACTGTCAGAGCATACCAAATACGGCAAATATGTCTACGTCTACCAGGTGGTATCCCCCGCTCTCCCAGATCTCCCACCGATGGAGGAACTCCTCCAAGAATCTGGCACAGGCAAACCCAACACGTCCCAAGTGCCTTCAATGCATGCCAAGTGCGGCTACACTAACGGCGGTCCCCTCGAAATTGGGCCACTTGCTTATATAAAATATATATACAAAAAATCATATTCAACCGGCAGTCTGCCAGCCCACAGTTAAAGCTTAAGCCAAATCCGAATCCAGAGCCCAAGTTGAAGCCACTTCCCTTTCGTTGACATCGCGACGTGCGTGGAAATATGGCCAAGAAATTGCCGGCCAGGTAGTATACGCATATGCTTTGCATAAATTGATTGTGGATTTTTATTTTGGGCTCTTTGGTATTTGTATTGGTATATTGGTATTGTTATTGTTATTGCATTGGCGGCGGTGCGTTTTGGCCTGCCGCGCGATTTCTAGCCACAAAATTGGTCAATCGTTGCCGATACAAAATGGTATAAAATGCGGGGGCAGTGCATTCAATTAGCCACAAAGCGCTTCCCGTTCGTCAAGCACAGCACAGCACAGCTCCAGCAGCAGCACCCGGCAGCCGTTCCCAAGGATTCAGGATTATTTTTAAACCCCCATTTAAAACTCAAGAAAAATGTGCGCGAAATTCGTTTGTGTTGTGCTGCTGGCCAGCCTCGTGTGCGGCTCTTTGGCCCTGCCCTCGCAGGACAGCGGTGAGCGTGACCTGGTCAATATGCTGAACCGCCTGGATAACGAGGAATCCGTGCCGCTCTTTGGCGGCCTGCGGATCGATCGATCGGAGACGGGTCGCAGCTTTGGGGCCGGCAAGGCCGTCGAGTCCTTTGAGGATCGCGCCGAGCGTTACCTGGAGACCCACGAGCTGAACCTCTCCTTCTCCGGCGATGAGCAGGAGGAGAACACCGAGAACGAGTACACCGGACGTGCCATGGAGGGTGAGTAATCCAACGGGATTGGGAAGAAAATAATTAAGTGACTTTTGGTACATTTGGAGTTGAAGCATAGTGTTAACATAAATGTTTTAAGTTCTTGGTCTCGACCTATTATATCTCGAATTTGGTTTAAATTGTCTTCTATTATTACTTCAAAGAAATAATTCAAGAACCTTAAATCGTAAACAACAAAAACATAGAGCAGTTCAAACTTTATATTTAAAGTAACTTTCTTTTAATGTTCATTTCGAAATTATAACATTTCTAATTAGTAAAAGTTAATTTCCTGCTTAAAGTCCTACAATAACTAAACAACTACTTCTTGTTCATTGGTATTACTTTGTACAAAATGAACTTCTTTAATCAAAACAAGCTGCATACTTCGTGGCCTTCCCATAAAGTGAAAGCTTTCTCTTGTCTGTCAATAGCTGTATACTTTTTGGTATCTCACTTTATTTCACGCTTTCTCTTTACTTTGTTTTTCTGCTTAACATAAACAGAATCCCGCAGCAAGCGCATGAAGAAGATGCTCCTGCCCCTGCTGTTGGTCCTGAAGCTGAAGAAGGCCATCGTGGTCAAGGTTATGTTCACCATCATCAAGTTCATCTCGCTGAAGGCTCTGGCCATCTCCTTCCTGGCCCTCATTCTGGCTGGTGAGTAAAGCCTTAACATGGCTTTAAGAAATGGTGATATTAAGAGTAAACTCTTTGCAGGTGCCACCTTCTTCAAGGATCTGTTGGCCAAGAAGAAGGAACATATCACCACTGCCTACATCACCGGCAGCCCCCTGAATGCCGACATTGTGCACTCCGACTGGAGCCGTAATGGTCAGGCTGGTGCCGCCGATTTGGCCTACAATCATTATGGTCTGGCCCAGCCCTTCTAAGCTGGAACTCCCTCCCAAAAACGATCCATCCATCGCTCGCTATTCTAGCCTGAAACCCATCTCCTTGCTATATCTTACCCTACCAAAGCTTCACCTTCTGTCCTTAAACATCCTTCCTTCCTCCTCTATCCTCGTCATCTTTGTATCCTTTTCCCCTCTAAGACTCATCTGAAGAATGGCTTAATTCGTAGTCAGTAATTATTTAGTTACATTTAGTTAGTTAGCTGCGACATACCAAAAAAAAGGAAAAAAGAAAATCACAAAAATAGAAAGAATATCACATCAAAACGGTCCACGACTCTTGGCTAGCTCAGGACAATGCTTAAAGGATACCTAAAGTCAATCATGATTGCGCCATATTTATTGCACATTTCCACATTCCACATATCTCTTGGCGGATGTAAATGTCACTCAGGTTCATCGAAAACAACGAAGATTATGCCTGCTCAAGAGCTTACTTACTTACTAAGTATTTATTCTGATAACTTAAAGCAATTGAATAAAAAAATGATTCAACAAATGCAGAAACAAATCCGCCTTCCATCTTCTTTTGCCTTAAACGATTTAAGCTAAAAATGTAACAGGTATATCGGTGGGACTATAGCTTCAAAGCGTTGAAGCAAAAAATTAGGGGCTCTCCTGTAGGTATGTAAAACATATTTTCCGACCTTTTTGCTTTCTTGTGGGCCTTAAAAAAATGTGAGAAGTAGCCTGCAATGGTCACAGATATTCGACAGGGGCAAAGATTAATGGCCAACCGGCAACTTGATTTATTTTGACACAACTTCCGATTTTCACCACAAACTGAAATGAAAATGTCAAAGGAAAGTCAACAAGAAATACCGATTTTAAACAAAATGTAAATACCAAATTTTCACAGTGTCTTTCTAAGGTTTTTGCTTTTTTAAACAGTTTCATTTGGGTTTCTTGCAAATCGAACCATATCTTAAGCTTAATTATATTAGCAAATTTAATTGGGAGGGCTGAGGCATATTAGCTTTCTTGGCGATAACTTCCTAATTGATTTTTAATCAATTGTCCCACTTGGAGATGGTATATAACCGCCCATCGTCTGTCCAAAGATCAACAGATCTAAAGATGAACGTCTTAAGCAACAAACTCGTTGGGTGTCAGATTAAATTTGCCCTCATTGTTGGCCTTTTGGTGTCCTTGGCCTGGACTCTGCCAGTAGACGAGGAAAAAGCATCGCTTTCGGTCAAGGATGATGCTGTAAAAACTGAGGAGTTAATCGAAACTGTGCCAGTTGTGGAAGAGGATTCTGTAAATGATGGACAGTTGCGTTTCCCTCCCTTTAATAATAATGGCACCGGTTTTTTCGAGAAATTTGGCGAGAAGTTTAGAAATAAGTGGAATTCACCAAAAACTACTACAACAACTACTACAACGACAACTACGACTACCACAACAAGGGCTCCCGCAGGAGTAAATGTATAAATATTATTGGAATTAGCCTGTTTATTTATTTTTATCAACAATGTAATATATTTACAAAAATGTTTAATAAAATTGTAAATGAAGTTTAATGCAATTAGTTGAGATAAGAAATATCAATTAAACAGAATAAGTAATTGATTTTATAGCATATATTAATGCAAAAAATTTTAAATTTAATTACAATGAGGAAACCAATTATCTCGATTATAGAATATACTTAATTAATATTAGATTTAAACCTAATTATTCAAGCAGTATCAGTGTTTAACGCATATTTTCCGACTCTGAGAACTAACACTGGCTGGCTGACAAAAAGCGAAAATCAAAATCTGGCCAACAAATTGGTCATTAGCACTCCATGTAATCTGAATATAAAATAGGCTAGAGACACGGCGTGGAAAGATATATTACCTCATGGGCAAAATGAGCAAAGAAAGTAGCGAAACGAGGCTGGGGCAAGACAGCAATGAAAATGTAGTAATAATTAACAATGAATTGTTAGTTAGTCTCAGTTAGGCAGGCAAAATGCTGTGTCTTAATTTATGGAGGTTCGAGGCACGCGACTCAGACTCTTATTCAGACTTGTACTCGTAATTACCTGGATATCTCAGACCCTGAGAGTTTTCTATTCATCTCTGGGGGGAACTCGGTGGCTGGAACCTTTTTGGTGACAGAATTAGCCAGTCCGTCTCGGTAGACTGGCCGCTGGCCGCAGAGGAAAGCGAAAGTGCCGCCCAGTTGGACGCAGCTGACTGACGCTGGGAAGAATTTCGACCACAAATCGTTTGGGTAATTAGAAAAGCACAAGAGTACAGAGCCGGGCTTTGGTGAAAGGGAAATGGGAATGGAAATGCCACCGACAGAGGCCGTAGGTATAAAGGTAACGCCATAAAATCCAGACGTTGCAGTCACTCGAACAATCCCCAAGGCAGTAGTTAGCGAAGATGTTGCTGATCAAGACCCTGGAATATCTATTTTATTTGGCACTATTTGCTTTCATGTGCAAATATGCCCAGGCAGCAAGTGTTGTCCAGTCAACGGAGGCAACTCCCGCTCCCACGGAAACCTTGAGGAAACCTCAAAAGTCAGAAACCCTGCTCAATGGCTGCGAAACATCTTCGTTTAGCTGGATGTGCCTCAAGATTGAGTTTGTCAAGATCATGGAAAAGCTGGCTGAACAAGAGGAACTCAATGTTTTACCCGGCGTTAGTGTGGTGAAGGATGAGAATGCCACCGAGCTTAAAACATCGGAATTAATGGCGGGTGTGTGCTAGAAATTAATTAGATTTAAATTTAAAATACTTAATTTGAATTCTCAAATGTTCTTTAAATTCACAGAAGTTGCACGAAGCTATCCCAGTGATCCCAGTACTCGCCTGAATGGTTATATTGTGGCCAAGTTGGAAAATCTTCTAAAGACACGCTTTTTGAGATTTCGCCTGCTGGATGACAAATCCCTGGCAGAAGGCCGAAAACACAAATTTGGCAAGAAAGGTGGCCTTGAGGCCCTGGTGGCAGCCGGAGTAATGATGAAGGGCATGCTCATGGCCATGGGATTCGGAGCTATTGCTTTGATGGCCGGCAAGGCTCTTATGACAGCTCTAATGGCCTTGACCCTTTCGGGAGTTCTTGGTCTCAAGAGTTTAGCCGGCGGCGGCGGAAAATCAACCACCTATGAGATCGTGGCCAAACCCATTTACACTTCCAGTCACTCGCATTCGGTGACCCACGAGGATGGAGGCCACGGACATAGTCCACATTTTGCCGCCGGCGGAGGTGGTGGCACTGCCAGTGGCTTTGGCTATGGCGGATATGCTCGGTCCATGAAAGTAGAGACATCGACTAACCAAATCTAATAATTCTAGACAACCACATGTAATATTCTCTCATAATTTATGTATTTATTTTATCATAAGAATTACTATACAAACAAATACAGCATAAATATGATCAAGCCAATTTAAGGCAGTCCCTTTTATTAACTACCTTATTTGCAAGGTAAGTTTTGCAAACATACTTAATGTGTAAATTAAACTGGCTTAGGAAGAACCTTGCCTTGAGAAATATAAAAAGTTTTCTCTTTCGTATTTACAAGTTAGTTGTAAACTAAAGTTCTTCTGTTAAATTTCTCATTTTATATAGGCGAATATTTTCAAATAAGAAAGTTGACTAGTGTTAATAAGTTTCGTCTAACAATTTTGCTAATTAAGTTAAAATTTCTGTGGTTGGACAGACGGACACACAGAATTTTCTACCAAAATAAGTTAATTCATTTCTCATATCTCTGACGCATAAGGTTTTGCTTGACTACCAAATCTTACTCTATGAAAACCAACTATACTATTATTAGAAATCAAATTTAGCTCTTTGAAAAAGTATTAATAAACTAAGAAAGAGCAAGATATTAAAAGAAAAGTTTGAAACAAATTTGGTCAATTAGCAAACTTTATTTATCACTTGCCAACTTTCTAATTCGAAAAAATTCGTCTATATAAGACGGGAAATTTATTAGCAGACTTTAAGTTGATTTAAGATGACCATGAAGTCGATTTCCTATGGTAGGTTATAGGTTATGGTAATTTGTGTTTAATTATTCGCAAAAGTAGTTCCATCTAAACAAATCATATTTAATTAAAAGTGACTAGAGACTGATCAATGCAATTTTTAATTTTAGCTTTACTAATATGCATCTCAAGCACATTGAGTCATGCGGAGATAAATCAAAACTCAGAAATAAGTGAAACATTTGATTCGACAGTGCCTATACCAATAAAACTCAACTATGGGAATCAAGAAATGTACTATAAAATTCGGCCTTCAACGGGCAAGCTGGAAGAGCAAATAGCTGAGACTAAGAAGTTCCTTGATGACTCCAACTATGAAGATAACATAGAGATTCCCTCAAACTTCGGTCTCAAAAAGTTATGGGGAAAGTGGCGGCGAAAAAGAAAATCAACCCGAGCACCAATAGTAGAAACAACAAAACCAGCTGACCCAGGCACCTCCACCGCTATACCGACCTCAATTGGAACTCCTTCAACTTCCACCGCTATTCCAACATCAACTGGTGTTCCAACAACATCTCCAGCTATTCCAATTTCAACAGAAAACACAACAATGACTCCTGTAACTCCAACAAAACCTGAAGAATCAACTTCACCTGCTATTCCGACTTCAGCACCGACCACATCAACAGCTGTTCCAACTTCAACAGGAACGCCAACAACATCTCCTGCGATTCCCTTATCCACAACGACAACACAACAGCCAACATCTCCAGCTATACCAACTTCAACAGAACAGCCAACAACATCTCCAGCTATACCAACTTCAACAGAACAGCCAACCACATCTCCAGCTATACCAACTTCAACAGAACAGCCAACAACATCTCCAGCTATACCAACTTCAACAGAACCGCCAACAACATCTCCTGCGATACCTTCATCCACAACCACAACACAACAGCCAACAACATCTCCAGCTATACCAACTTCAACAGAACAGCCAACCACATCTCCAGCTATACCAACTTCAACAGAACAGCCAACAACATCTCCAGCTATACCAACTTCAACAGAACCGCCAACAACATCTCCTGCGATACCATCATCCACAACCACAACACAACAGCCAACAACATCTCCAGCTATACCAACGTCAACAGAACAGCCAACAACATCTCCTGCGATACCAACTTCAACAGAACAGCCAACAACATCTCCAGCTATACCAACTTCAACAGAACCGCCAACAACATCTCCTGCGATACCATCATCCACAACCACAACACAACAGCCAACAACATCTCCAGCTATACCAACGTCAACAGAACAGCCAACCACATCTCCAGCTATACCAACTTCAACAGAACAGCCAACAACATCTCCAGCTATACCAACTTCAACAGAACCGCCAACAACATCTCCTGCGATACCTTCATCCACAACCACAACACAACAGCCAACAACATCTCCAGCTATACCAACTTCAACAGAACAGCCAACCACATCTCCAGCTATACCAACTTCAACAGAACAGCCAACAACATCTCCAGCTATACCAACTTCAACAGAACCGCCAACAACATCTCCTGCGATACCATCATCCACAACCACAACACAACAGCCAACAACATCTCCAGCTATACCAACTTCCACAGAACAGCCAACCACATCTCCAGCTATACCAACTTCAACAGAACCGCCAACCACATCTCCAGCTATACCAACTTCAACAGAACAGCCAACAACATCTCCAGCTATACCAACTTCAACAGAGCCGCCAACAACATCTCCTGCGATACCTTCATCCACAACCACAACACAACAGCCAACAACATCTCCAGCTATACCAACTTCCACAGAACAGCCAACCACATCTCCAGCTATACCAACTTCAACAGAACAGCCAACAACATCTCCAGCTATACCAACTTCAACAGAGCCGCCAACAACATCTCCTGCGATACCTTCATCCACAACCACAACACAACAGCCAACAACATCTCCAGCTATACCAACTTCCACAGAACAGCCAACCACATCTCCAGCTATACCAACTTCAACAGAACCGCCAACCACATCTCCAGCTATACCAACTTCAACAGAACAGCCAACAACATCTCCAGCTATACCAACTTCAACAGAGCCGCCAACAACATCTCCTGCGATACCTTCATCCACAACCACAACACAACAGCCAACAACATCTCCAGCTATACCAACTTCCACAGAACAGCCAACCACATCTCCAGCTATACCAACTTCAACAGAACAGCCAACAACATCTCCAGCTATACCAACTTCAACAGAACCGCCAACAACATCTCCTGCGATACCTTCATCCACAACCACAACACAACAGCCAACAACATCTCCAGCTATACCAACTTCAACAGAACAGCCAACCACATCTCCAGCTATACCAACTTCAACAGAACAGCCAACAACATCTCCAGCTATACCAACTTCAACAGAACCGCCAACAACATCTCCTGCGATACCATCATCCACAACCACAACACAACAGCCAACAACATCTCCAGCTATACCAACGTCAACAGAACAGCCAACAACATCTCCTGCGATACCAACTTCAACAGAACAGCCAACAACATCTCCAGCTATACCAACTTCAACAGAACCGCCAACAACATCTCCTGCGATACCTTCATCCACAACCACAACACAACAGCCAACAACATCTCCAGCTATACCAACTTCCACAGAACAGCCAACCACATCTCCAGCTATACCAACTTCAACAGAACCGCCAACCACATCTCCAGCTATACCAACTTCAACAGAACCGCCAACAACATCTCCTGCGATACCATCATCCACAACCACAACACAACAGCCAACAACATCTCCAGCTATACCAACGTCAACAGAACAGCCAACAACATCTCCTGCGATACCAACTTCAACAGAACAGCCAACAACATCTCCAGCTATACCAACTTCAACAGAACCGCCAACAACATCTCCTGCGATACCATCATCCACAACCACAACACAACAGCCAACAACATCTCCAGCTATACCAACGTCAACAGAACAGCCAACCACATCTCCAGCTATACCAACTTCAATAGAACAGCCAACAACATCTCCAGCTATACCAACTTCAACAGAACCGCCAACAACATCTCCTGCGATACCTTCATCCACAACCACAACACAACAGCCAACAACATCTCCAGCTATACCAACTTCAACAGAACAGCCAAGCACATCTCCAGCTATACCAACTTCAACAGAACAGCCAACAACATCTCCAGCTATACCAACTTCAACAGAACCGCCAACAACATCTCCTGCGATACCATCATCCACAACCACAACACAACAGCCAACAACATCTCCAGCTATACCAACGTCAACAGAACAGCCAACAACATCTCCTGCGATACCAACTTCAACAGAACAGCCAACAACATCTCCAGCTATACCAACTTCAACAGAACCGCCAACCACATCTCCAGCTATACCAACTTCAACAGAACAGCCAACAACATCTCCAGCTATACCAACTTCAACAGAACAGCCAACAACATCTCCAGCTATACCAACTTCAACAGAACCGCCAACAACATCTCCTGCGATACCATCATCCACAACCACAACACAACAGCCAACAACATCTCCAGCTATACCAACTTCCACAGAACAGCCAACCACATCTCCAGCTATACCAACTTCAACAGAACAGCCAACAACATCTCCAGCTATACCAACTTCAACAGAGCCGCCAACAACATCTCCTGCAATACCTTCATCCACAACCACAACACAACAGCCAACAACATCTCCAGCTATACCAACTTCCACAGAACAGCCAACCACATCTCCAGCTATACCAACTTCAACAGAACAGCCAACAACATCTCCAGCTATACCAACTTCAACAGAGCCGCCAACAACATCTCCTGCGATACCTTCATCCACAACCACAACACAACAGCCAACAACATCTCCAGCTATACCAACTTCCACAGAACAGCCAACCACATCTCCAGCTATACCAACTTCAACAGAACCGCCAACCACATCTCCAGCTATACCAACTTCAACAGAACAGCCAACAACATCTCCAGCTATACCAACTTCAACAGAGCCGCCAACAACATCTCCTGCGATACCTTCATCCACAACCACAACACAACAGCCAACAACATCTCCAGCTATACCAACTTCCACAGAACAGCCAACCACATCTCCAGCTATACCAACTTCAACAGAACAGCCAACAACATCTCCAGCTATACCAACTTCAACAGAGCCGCCAACAACATCTCCTGCGATACCTTCATCCACAACCACAACACAACAGCCAACAACATCTCCAGCTATACCGACTTCAACTGGAACTCCAACAACATCTCCAGCCATTCCAATATCTCCAACTACAACACCTGCTATAACTTCAAGTACTGCAACTACACGAAACAATCTGTGTATAAATTTTCCTCATCTTCCGATTTGCCAAAATGCATAAAATAATATAATAATGTCAAAGCTCTTACCTAGTTAAAATTATTTATATCTTACTTATCTATATTTACTTGAAATTACTTTCCCTGTCTTTTCTATATGGCGGCTCTGCTCTTAATTAAGATTGAAAATCAAATTTAATTAGCATGCTATTAAGCATCGATTTTGCCAGTGACCTACTTATCGATTCTCCTCTTCCCTATCTGTATAAAAAGCTTACTCTACCGCTTAAAAACAATAGACTTGACTATGAAGATTATTTACTGCGGTAATTGTCTATACACAAATTGAGAACTCAAAGCAATATTTTTTCTGTCTGCAGTATTTATGGGTATAGGTAGCTTTACAATAATAAATATAATAAATAATATAATGAAAACATACGATAATAAAAATGTAAAATATGAAATGTCACACACACAATTTCAATTTTTAATTAAAACCTACGTCAACATAGAAGTTACTCACTTGTCAATTAGCAAATTTATTAAGAATCGATCGCAACCTACTTTCGAAAATACGCACGAGCTCGGGAATATAAAATGCGAAAATAAAGCCAAGAACTTTAGTACATAAATCAACGCCATGAAGACACTTCATAGTGGTAGGTAGAACAATATTTTTGAGCTAAATTAAAATTTGAAAATGTATACATTATTTTAGCTGCAGTTTTGGGTCTCATTTTATGCCAGTCCTCATTGGCATTTGGTCAAGTGGCTGTTCTTGAAGCCAGTGAAGATGACCCAAAAACACCACTGATTGTGCTATCAAATCCAATTAGTCAGTCAACGATTGAGGAGGCAGTAAAATCTGAAAAGGATGTTGAGACCACACTTATTCCAGAATTGGTAACTACTTATCCACCAACAACTGATGCATCAGCAACCACAGAAAAGGTCATTAAGAAGAGACCGATGCCACCAAAGCAAAAACCATTTCTGAATCATGGCCAAAACCAGGTGCTTCAATTGCAGGACCTATTGTCGTTACCTGGAAATTGGGACAGTTCTCCTATTGTTTCCAATAGTCCATTAACCGCCACCTTCACTGCCCCAATGTCTCCTGGTCAAGCAATGTTCTACCCAATGCCCGTCTACATTTCCTACCCCATTCCCTTTGTGTTGTTAAACCAACCAATGCAGCTGATGAGTACTCCACTCAAGGACAATGTCCAAGATAAAATCGCAATGAGTTTCAATGAAATGATGACTGGAAATCTACTTAGGAGCTCTTTCCAACCAGATGCTGGCAATGAATGGCACAAGATAATTAAGAATCGGATAAAGCCAACCAACCAAAATGGCCAAAAAAAGTGGAGGGGGAAATGGCGAAAGACAACGACTACTACGACAACAACTACAACCAAACAGCCAGAAATCACAAAGCCAACAGAGCCGACAAGAATATTATTGGAGAGCAGTGACAATGAAATAAAATCTAATGAAAAACATGTCAGTAATGAGACAACTGATGCGACAAAGTAATAAATAAACAAAAATTTAAGAATTAAAAAGAACTTTGGAAAATATATACATTGTGCTAAGTCGTTTTATTAATAAATTATATTAAATTATGAACTTCTAAACTCTTTCTGGGGTTAGATTTTCTAAGAAACTCTACCTTATAACCAGTTAATTAAAGTCAGCATACTTTTAGGCTGTTGGTGAAATGCTTACACCTTGGAGAGCTCACAACTCTCTCCACGACTTGTATCTGTGTGTGTGTGTGTTTGGAAAGATTAAACTCACCTACCAACACCCAAAGTTGGCCACATCTGTGCAGAGGCGGCACCTCCGATCAGTTCGTCTTACACACTCGCCGGTCTTCCACGTTTATCGCACCTCTCTGGCTGTTAACAACGGTAAAAAGTGAAAGATGTGATTTGGGGGATTCTTAAAATCAAATCTACCAAATTGTGAAAACTGAGAGCGAAAGTGACCAGCGGACAAATAACAAAATAAATAAAAAACAAAAAAAGTGTCTTGCTAATTAGGCGTCACGCCACAACAACAGTGTTGCCTCAAAGAATTATGAGTCGTTGATGATTTGCGAGTGTTGTTCACTCAAATGACTGTGAGTTAGTTTATGTTAATTGCAGGTGGAAACATTTCCATCTCCGATAGAGTAAGTAACGTCTTCGCAATGCAAATATTTGACCTAGATTATTTAGTGACTGACTGACTGACTGACCAACTGGCAAGCCGGTTGTCAGTTGCACTTATTAACCCGAAAAAAAACCGAATAATGGAAACCTGTTTTAAAAAGGGGGAAATGCAACGCGAGTGTCCATGTGCAGCTGGTAAAAGTGAAATTTCTGCGGTTTTATTTATTTTTAGCTTCACCAGAAAACCCATAAAGTTCTCAAAGATCCGAATCTGTTGAATTATTAGCGCATGCCAGATGGGAATCTCAACGCGCTCTAATACACATTAGAATCCCAATTAGTACTTGGTCTCGCGTGCTCACCGGCTGTTAATTCTTGGAGTAAGCAAAACGCAGTCAGAATATTTCAAATGGTACACCAATTAAGAGCAGAGGAAAGTAAACAAATTGCTTGGGCTCGGCTTAAATTGCTTGCTTTTTTTCTCTCCATTCAAATGATCACACTTAATTGAAAATGAAACCTTTTAGCATTAAATGGACGCGATAAACCGCAGAATGGTTTCGTCGTTTTTGTTTTTTTATTCCGGTCTCGGATTATTTTTATTCGCCATTTTATTGTGCCACTGTCGATAATTACATTCAATTGCTGCCAGTACCTGGCAGATCATAAAAAAAAGTGCGCTGAATCCGATCTATTTGGACTTAATAAGCCATTAGTGAGTCAAGTTGGTTAACCGCAACGAAAGTGAATTTGCTTTTTGTTCGACTTGCCCATGGATTTCTCTAGCGCAACGGGCAAATAGAAATGTTAGACGAAGTTAAAAAACTCTTAAAAATATTTGCACGCTAACTCAAATCGCACCACATTGGGCTGGCCAACTAAGATACAGGCACGCATAAAGTGAAATTAGTAATCTATTAGATACATTCACCATTCGTTCGACTGAGACTGAGACAGAAACCGAAAGTTATCCCCCCCCCCGGCAGATACAATTTGATACGATTAAATGAAAATGCAAAATGCTCGACACTTTACATAACCTGCCTGCCCTCGAATGCGATATTCGGATGCGTGTATCGTCTCTCTGCCAAGAAATTGTCACATAAAAATGCAATAAAATCTCCGAGGAAATGCTGTGACAGAAACAGCAGCGTACAGCGAAAGCTTGTTACCTTCCGAAACGTAATCTGTGCCGACTGTCAACCGAGAGTTGGCCATTTTCAAGTGCCATTAAGATAGATGTAATTGAATCATTATTAAAAGAAAAAAAAAAGAGAGCAGGAAGCATTCGAGTGAAAGCCAAAGCAATGACAGAACCGAAATCGTTGAGTCTTGCATAAGTCCCGAAATAATCTTTAAAAGTCATTAAATGCTTTGATAATCAATATAAAATAATATAACATTTACTAAAGAATAAGTATAATAACAAAAGAACTCTACATATTTAAGGCTCACTTGAAAATAATATTATGTGTACCTGTCTTTAATTCTGGTTTCTAAGCCGCTAACCCTTAAAGACCCCTAACGGTTGGTCTTGGGTCTTCGACTTGGCTTGAACTCGCAAAGAACTTACATCATATTAGCTCTTGTCTAGGGTGAGGAGCGAGTTCTTCAGCTCCAGCTGCTGCCTCCCAAAAAAACTTGATTTAGCTGTCCATTATTTTTATAGCAATTGTGTGCTCACAACTTTATGGGTATTTCTTTTGGCATGACATAAGCCGCCATGGCACTTTAATAGAATGTCTTTAATGTGAAAAGCCATAACAACGCGACTTGTTACATCAAACATACTAATGTATGTCGTTTATGCACATTACGCATATGTACTGTATGCCGAGAGCAACTTAGTCGAAGCTCGTTAAAAAATAATAATCATAAGTCGTGATACAGTATGCAACTGTGTGTGCGTAATGTGGACTAATTGATTGCATTGGAAATATGATTATAAACGAACCAAAAGCATTTTGTGGAAAAGCTCTCATGTCTGGGCCCAAATTAGCAGGTTCTCAGACTTGTACCAATTAAATTTATAGCCACGTAGTCACTGAAATAAGGTCATAGTGTGAGATTGATATCTTGATCACAGATAATGGCTACAAATATTACACGAAGCCCGTTCAATGGCTATGAAAACAACAAAAGAAGAATAGCATATGTCATAAGTGTGCCACCACCACAAACATCTTTTGTTGAAAGTGGTTCAAGTAATGGCGATTTTATTTGACAACTTGATTGCTTTCCTTTGTCACCAAGCACCGCTCTTTGATTCCGTTCTCAATTCAATCTTTTCGAATAAACGTTAACTTGGCTGCTCACTTTTTGTGGAAAAGTTATAAACATACATATATATTTATATAGATAGCTAGGCCAACAGTTGACCCATATTTCCCAATAAAAAACTGGTATGCCCAATATATTATGCCACTTAAACTGGTCGAAACTATGAAAGAAAGAAATATGTAAATATTGTTTAATGTGTGACAAAAAAGAAACAAGGAAAAAGTGCATTTCTAAGCCCCCAAGAAACTATAGAAAGTTTCAAGTCCTTTTAGTTAGTTATTATATAAGATATTAGATATTTCTAGTTATTTTACTATTCCAACTCTTTCCTATATCCCCGAAATATATTTATATTGCTTTAAGAATACGGCTACCTTCACATTTCATAATTCTTGACTCGTTTTCTCTTTATTTTAAGTTGCCGCAACAATATATCGAACTCTGAAAAACCAATAAACATAAAAACACTTTATAGTAATGGGAAAACTTAAATACTAAATCCCCTGATTGGCCGTGAAAAACGTCAAAACGTCAGAGCGCAGAGAAACAACAAATACGCGGAAAATTAACGCCAAGACAGCAGACATACTGCACTTGAAACAATCTAAAAGCTAACTGGAAAATGTATAAACAAACATAGAGGGGAAAGGGAGGTGCAGGGGCTGGCTAAACAACTTTCAGCCGCGGCAAAAAACTACAGTTAAGAAGAATATTTGCCAGAGCAACGTGCGAATGCAGAGGAAACCATCAGATACAAGATACAGCCGGTATTGCAGCGCAAAAAAAGTCAACGACAAACTGAACGAAACTGGCGAGAGGGAAAAGCCAGACAGAGAACGAGAAAGATACAGAGAGAGAGACAGAGAGAAAGAGAGAGAGACCGGTCCCGACCATGATCTTGGCCATCAGTTTCGGCCACAACACGCTCAGTTGTCCGCCAGTCGCGCACGCATGCGCACACGAAACGCGCTAACAGGTGATTTGCATATCCAACAGATACTAGATGCTAGATACGAGATACGCGAGAGACGGAATAAATACAAGTTACAAGATATGCGAGCTGCAAACCGTTAGGCCGTAGGTGTGCCGCGATGAAGTAATTGGTAGCTATAAGCCAGATAACCAACTAACGCAAATAGAAAACGCGCTAAATGCGACAGCGAAATTCCAAACAAACGACTTCAAGGTAAACATGCGAAGAAAGTACTCAACAAAAAAAAAAGTAAACCAACAAAACTGAATTAAGACAGAAATCCATTAACAATCAATGGAATTGTGTTTGTGTGCTAAATAAATTGACTTGTCAATTGGCTTACGATTTCGCCAATAAAGCCGGTCATTGTGTCCGCCGCAGCTCAAAGTTCCTGAGCACGTAGCTAGGGCGAAACTGTCTAGATAAATTGTTTAAGGAACACGTAAATTGCAGCCACAATTGCAGGTTGAAGGTGTGAATTGCCCGTCAGAGCAGTGCTAACTGCTAACTGCTAACTGGAACTGGGAAGAAGTGAAAACGAGACCCGAAAACGAAACTGAAAACTGAAAACTGAAAACTGAAAACAGAAAATGCCCAAGACACACAGTGGTGATCTGCTCCGTAATTGGACCTCAGGTGAGAGCCGCAGGCCATGGACATCCTCTAGTAGAAATCGCACCTGCAATTGCAGCAGCAGCAATCCAAATCAGAGACGCTGCCTCCCATGGTCGAGCATGGTTGGATCAAATAAAACCAGCCTGCTGATTTTCCTTCTCGCAATCTGCCTAATAAACGCGGTCGCCAAGGCGGATGAGACATCTCGAAATGGACGTCTTGGTCGTCATCATCTCGCCACCACACCGCTGAGTCGCCTGGAGACAACACAGACTGCCGATGAGGTGACAGAGTCCGAAACGGAGTCCCCAACGACGGAACTACCGGCGGAAGAATGGCAACCAGTGTTGAATGCCACAGATCTGCCGGCAGTCAGGAAGCAGCTGGATAAGTTAGCTCCCACAGATTCCCTGCTTCTCCGTCTGGCCAGGAGATTTACCAGTGGCAACGAGCTCTGGGATGGACTCGTTCGGGATTGCTATCTCAAGCCGGACATCTCGTGCTTCCAAAAGAATGTGTTTAGCTATTTGGATGGTGCTCTGGATGTGCAGGATGTCAATGTGACACAGAGACTTAAGTTCTTTAAGAACCAAGTTCACTACGAGATCGAGAAGGAGAAGGAGGAGAACTCGGAGGCACGTGCCGGTAAGTGGAATTTAAAGAGTCTTTCTTAACTATCAAGATAGTTCTTATGAAGTGACATTACTTGCAACATATTCTGTAATTCTCAAGACGTATTTCCCGCAATTATGCCTTCCCCTGACAGAGTCTTATGTAACAAACCCTATATTTGTTCGATTTTGTTTGTGCGATCAGTTTTCACATCTGTGAGTTGTCGGTATTTCATTCTTTTCTTCGCTTTGTTTACCTATACCTGAGCACGTTCACAACAAACAACAACAAAAAAAATAAATAAATGCCTCTGCCAGTTTCAGTAACTTTCACTTGCCGCATTTTGATTTGATTTTTTACGTATTTTAGCTGCGCCGGAGAGCAGTAAAATATCTGCTACGGCAACGATCTCTCGTTTATGTGAGTCACGGCGCTTTGACTGCGCTCAATTATGCGGTTTTTTACCTGGCCATCAGATGTTTTCTTTTGCCCACGGTAATCGCCACATTAACAACCATTCAGACAGACAAGACTTATGTAAGCGGAGATAGATTGCTTAGAAGTTTCTTAACAACGGAGAAGTTAATGAAGTCATAAGCTAAAATGAAATGATAAATAAGCAGAAAAGTAAATATTGTACTTTGCAAATATTTTAAATACTTCATGATGGAAATTTCTATAACCCAATGATTTTCTTCAAAATAAATACATAAAATAATGATTCAGAAAGTTATTTTCATTGCACTGTATTTATTTATTTTCTATTTTGCTATTATTTATAAAATTTGAAAGGTAAAAGTGAGAAATCATCAACACTTTATGACATTCATTAAGTTATTTAACTATTATAAAAGAAATATAAATATATAACCTGAAGGCAGGAAAAACTCGCAAGCTAAAAAATACTTTTGTTACATCTTTGTAAATTCTTAATTTTCCGGCTGTGACTGCCTTAAGACACATAAAAAATTTAATAAGCTTCGCCAGAATATTTTCCAACCGGAAGCAAACCCCCCTCTCTCGCTACCAAGCTGCAAATTTATTTATAGACACAAAAAAACAAACTCAACTCTCAGTTGCGCAAGAGATGCAGCATCCTGAGCGGGGGAAATCGCTAGAGACACTACTTTCATTAACCCAAAAGCGTCACTCTGTGCAGATTTAACCTCGTTTGCGTGCAACTAACTCTCTGTTTCTCCGATTGCCAAGCAGCCAGTCCGGAAACACCGATCGAGGAAGTGACCAGCGCTCTATATGGCAAGAGCATCAAATTTGCCATGACCCACGATCTGGAGGTGGATTTGCCAGAGGTTATGTTCAACGGCGCCACATTTCGCATCTCGCCGCGAGCCATCGAGGGAAATGGAATCATTGCCAAGTTGGAGCTGATACCCAAACAGGTAGTCAAGGCCCGACTGGCTGGAGCGATAATCCAAAAGAAGATACGTAAGTAATACTCGCAATTTGTTTCCTCCATCACGCAGCTAAAGATGCAGATGCAGATGCAGATGCAAATGCAAATGCCGATGCCGATGCAGATGCGATTCTGCTGCTGATGAAAGCGCTTTCACTCTTGCATCAAGAGTCTGATTCCGATTGCTACTTTCGTTTGTCCAGAAAATTTCTACGCAGCAAACTGGTGTTGTCATTCCTTGCCTTGCTCCTCATCATCAAGATCATCAAGATCAAGCTATTCTGGCTCCTGCCGATCATCATTGGAGTTGGAGCCGCCAAGAAGCTGTTGCTGAAGTTCCTGCTATTCCTGTTCCCAGCGTTGTCGCATCTCTTCAAACTTTGCTCCTACTACCACCAGTCTTACCACGCACCACCCAAGTACCACCACCACCATCATCTCATCGATCATCATCATACGGTGAGTGCCAATTGGGGAAGATATTGCACAAATTGCCTTGTTTTCACAGAATTTCACTGCGTGAGTTGTTAAGTCGTTTTGCGGGCAATTTTCTCAACCATATAGCACACAATTTCGGTAGAAACTAACTAGTGTTTTAGCTTAAAATCAGTAATTTTGCTTCCAAAAGTTAAGAGTTATTGGTTTAGATGGGCAAACATCGACTAATATATCCAAACTATTATACCATATTCAAGGAACCTACGTTTTCTGAATTAATTCCGACCTAGTTTACATAAAACAACTGCTTTAAACTTTATAAAACACATATCAATCAATAATCAATTACATTTCCTTAAATCTTAGCAAAGAATAAGAGAAATGTATTATTGCTTAAAGAGAAAAATGCTTCAATGACACGAAAAATATGTGATTTAAAGGCAAAGACCATCTTGTGATACCGTCACTAACTGGTTTGGGTTAGGCCGATTATATTTTTTCACATCTTTGGCGTATTTTTGGAGAAATTTCATTAACAATCTGGAGATGTGATTCAGTTTTGTCTATACGCCTGCCGGTCGGAAGTTGTCTTTTGTTGTTGCGCGTTCTCTCTCATATCCATGCTCCCGGAAATTCAATTAGAAAAGTCTAGTAAAGACGCGTTCTTTACCGTCAGTTGAGAATTATTTCCATTGAAGATTTCCCTTCCCTACTCTAAGCACGTGTCGCAGCGCCCTTGTCATCGAAATGAGGCTCATGCTGACACAGACAGCACCCAGCTTGACATATCGTCAAATGAAATCCTGTCGCTTGAATGGCGCCCCTTGGCAGGGATTATAAATGGCTGTAATAGCACAGGGAAAAATAAACTAAAAATTATGATTTTATACTTTACTTGTAGTCTTAATCAAGGTAAAGCTATCTTTGGGTAAGGAAACATCCTACACAATAGTTAGAAGTCTTCCTTTGGAATACATTTCTTAATGTAAACCCTCATCTCTAAAGTTTTTCGAGTAAACTCAATTGAAAATCTATCCCATTTTCTCCCTGTGCATGACTTATTCTCACAAATACTTGTGTGCGAACGAGTGCACACGCGTAGATACTCGTATTTATGAGATATTTATGTTCGCATTCGAAAATGTCGCCAGGAATGCCATTGAACAGTGTCTAGGGCCTGGCATTTAGCCAAAAGCTGCCGTGGATAATCCGGGTAGCCATGTTTGCATATCGCATTCTTTTTAGCTGAACAGGATTTCCTTTTAAATTGATTCAATAAAAGTAGCCAATTTAGTAACTATAATTCTTTACAACTCTCTGTCTAAGAAGCTATAATTGAGTTTAGGACAACTATCGAAAGATATTTACAGGAGAAAGCTAGAGTCCATGGGGAATACGTGTCGTTAAACTCGTTCTTCAATGGAATATATGAATATCTTAACAGCGGATAGAGGAAAGCTTCACCGGATTCCAGCTGTAAAGTAATAAAAACTGTGAACAATCAATAGGGGAGCGCTTTATTGAATTCCATATGTGTATTGACACTCGGATGTCGCATTTTCTTGGCTATTCAATGTCTTTAAACTGTCTGCCATTGCCAATGCCATCCCTGGCTGCTTTTGCAGTCAGTGTAAATGAAATTAATTTGCAGACGGAAAGACTTCCCCATTCGAGAGCAAGAAACACGCACTTGACGTGTCACCTCTTTACTGGGGAAAAGTTTCTGCTGCTTCTGCTGCCGCACAGCATGAAATATGATTCCGATTCCGATTCCGAGCACAATAAACAGCACAAATAATAGAGCCAAGAGCATGAACCTAAAGCACCCAGCTAAGGCAATGACACAGTCCCATATCTTGGCATCTTATACTTTATTCACGGCTATTTGGCAGTCATTGAACTGAGTTAAGGGAGCCCGGAATGAGAGGGCCTTCCCACCCAGACAAAGTCGAGCACAGAATGCGTATTATTTGGTCGGTTCAAACATTGCCTATAAATAGCCTTAAAAGATGTCATGATGAGAGCTCTCGAAAGCGAAGCCCTCCAGAGCAGTACAAAAAAAAGTTTTGCTTCACTGCCGAGTTTATTAAATGTCAAGCAGAAATAAAGAAGCCTTGTAGCCTCGACTGCTCCATTACTTTTTCAATTTAGGTTTATCATAGCTCCACACTCGAAGAAATCCAGAAACTAGGGAGTGTTATTTACAAACTTGATTAAAATATCTATCTCAAACTTTAACAACCTTTATTTTTTAGGTGGTTCCCACATGGCACAGTGGAGAGCATCACTCTGGTCCCGAGCTCATATACACACATCCACCAAAGGGACATCCATCTGCCTATCTCCATGGAGCTCCCGTACACGAGAGCTATGGTCCCGGGGGATTCGAGCATTTTGAGGGAGCCTGGGAGAACAGTGGTCCTGGATTGGGTTCCGAGTAAGTGCCGTCTATCTGCTTTTGCACCTCCTTAAGCTTTCTGTGTCCACTTTAACTCTCTGTGTATCTGTCTTGTCTCTAAATCACACTCATTACACTCACTCTCACACAAAACAATCGACTGGCCTCACTCTATAGATACATAGGCGATATAAATCGCGCTGCACAAATTGAGGATAATGCGCATTACTTTAAGCCCAATACGGCTAACGATGCCGGGGTATTGCATGCATGGGGCCTGGGCACCACCACACAGGTACAACAACAGCAGCAGCTTCAGCAGCAGCAGCAACAGCAACAGCAACATCAACAGCATCAGCAGCAACAGCATCAACGATGGCCTGCCACCCAACAGGCCAGGCCACCAACAATTCAGCAAAAACATCATCAACAACAGCTAAAGCTACAGCTGCAACAGCAATTAGGTGCTCAGAAAGTACAGCCCTCTAGTCACAGTTTAAACCCATTTCAAAGTCAGGACAAACAAAGGTACATGCCACTTAAGGGCGCTTCCAAAAACACAAACAAACTGTACACCTACGCACATGAAAACTCACTTGCACCGAGAAAAAGAACACAATCGCACAAACATAAATTAGGTCTCAACATAAGCTACTAACCCGATATTCCTTAAAGTCAGCCAGCTCTCCTCCTTATGTTTACATACGACTTCATTTGCTTCTGTTTACTTTCCACACACTCTGCACGAAAAGGAGGTAAATTCGTGTTTGCTACCTTTGTGATATAACTTTTCATTACATTTCAATTACAACTTGTTAAATGAATCACTAAAAGAAGCCTATAGATTAATTTTCCAAAGGGAACCTATCATGATCTTACTCACAACTGCTTCCTACTATCTTGTACATTATTTAATAAACCACTTAAATGGTAATAGATTCCTTCCTGAACGCCTGCTGTTCTATTTTGCTTTCCCATTCCCAATGTCCTTGGTTGCCGGCGCATGCAAATGTAATTAAAAATCTTTAATGAAACCAAAACAACACAACGTCGAATGGTTATTTTTCCCAATTAAATGGAGAAGAGCGTAACGGAAAATTAGATACACCGCCAAAAGTGTAACACCATTGTGGCAACGGAAGTTGACCCGCCTCACTCGAACCCGCAGTCGATCCCAAATTTTTTTATTTTGATTTCTTTTCCAGCTCAAGGCCGGCACATACGCAGCATCATCCGGTGTTCGTGCCAGGACATCATCCGCCACAGAATGTGCCAGGACTCACGGCAGCGGCACAAATAGCCGCACAGTATGATCCCGCACGGAACAATCAGCAGCAGCAGCAGCAACACCAAACTTTGCAGGAGCCACAACTTTCGGTGCGTATCTAATTTCACTACGTTACGTATACGCAGTGTGTTCAAACAGAATCCACGAATGTGCATGGTAATTGTAATCACAACCGCATGCAAATAAACATGAAAATGAGTGAAATCAGATAGTCTACGCATAAAACCTGACTAAATGTAGATTGCACAATATTCTCTTTAGAAATTACAAGCAAAAGCAGAAAGTAAATCTTTTTTTGGGGAACAAGTGTAGGGCTTTTCAAAAGTACAGCAAATACAAGCATGTAATTAGAGAAAGAAATTAGAGCAATTAGAAACAAATTAGAAATGTTTACAAAAAGGATTTCGAGGTTGCTTTACAGAGAAATATTTCGCAGAAATATAAAGATTCATTTATTTTACTGTTAAATATTCAATTATCTTAAAAACCACTCACAACTATGACAGACTTTTTAATAAAATGCAAGCATTAACAAAGTACTTTCACGGAACATTAATTTGTATGGCAATGTTTGAGAGAGCTCATTTCCCGTGTAGGTCAATGGGCTGGCTCCACCCCCTATTTACGGCCATTTCCTCCCATCATTAGTGACACAGTGCTGAATGTTATTTGCAAATTGCACATTTGTACAAGCAGACAACAGACACAATAATCAATCCGGCTGCCGCAGTTTCCCCAAAACAAACAAATGTCTAGACCCGGCATATGGGGGACTGCATTTATTGACACTTTCCTCCAAGTGCAGACAGATGCTTTTGCCATATTCTTTTCTCTTTTTCCGTTTAACGACAATGTTTAAATTGCAGGGCTTTTCAAGGTGTATTGCTTGGCAAACATGAATTTTGCACAAACCAACTATATGTATGACTCTAAGCCAGACTCAACGATAGTTTTCACTTTCAAGTGCGGACATGTGGACTGTGCCTTCGGGCATAGTAAGCCATAATTAAATTGCACTTTGCCATTGCAGTGCCCGGTGAGTGACAGCACAATCCGTAGGCTTTTTGCGAAACCTGACTCACCGCTGTTCACCTTAATTAAATGAGCACAACACACAGAATATGATGGGAAGTAGCTGTCGGGAAAGTCTGCTGGCTGGCTGCCGGCTCTCTAAATTAAGTTGACTGTCCACAACAGAAGGTGTGCAACATGTACAAACTTTGCCCTTTGCCCTCTCACAAAGAAGTTGTTAAAATTGTGTCAAAAACATTACCGCCTACAGATATAAATATATATTTTTTAATTTAATTGTTACAATTTAATTTCCAAAGAAAAGTGTACAATGTGATAGAGGTGGGTGCTGTATAATTCAATTTGAAACTAGTATCTAACTAAAAGGAACCCCGGATTAGATTACTCACTCACTAAATTTACATGTTTACCCTTTTCCTCTACTCTACAGCCTGAACTGGCCGCTCAGCTAAAGGAGGCCATTCGCATTCAGGCCGAACAGCGCCTAATCCAGCAGCAGCAAAAGATACTGGAGCATCAGCCATTTGTGCAGGATGGACAGGTTTGCCCATCTTATAATCCCATCCCATAATCTCCTTTCATTGTGAATAAATTGTGTTATCCGTTTTATGCGTTTTGCAGCCACTATATCCGCTCAACTATGATCCCTTCTACAGTCCCATTCTGCTGAAAATAGACAAGATTGTGGAGCAGCTGGGCGTAAAGAATGACCTGTGCAAGGAGCGTATTGTTTGCAGCATGTACAAGGATCCAGCCACCTATAGTCCGCACAGCAATTTTGTTTCTGCCGAACTAAGTCGGTAAGTTTTAATTGGAAATTTCCTAAGAGTGACTCCAAAAAATTGAGAGAAGAATATAGATAGATAGAATATAGAGTCACTACAAAATAGGATCAATTCTAGAACTTAATTGGAATGTCGGAACACGGAATGTATGTATAAATAGTTGGTACGTTTGAATGAAATCCTACTATTATAGTTTCTAGAAAAAGTCACTACAAAATAGGATCAATTCTAGGGAGAACAATAGAACTTAATTGTAATGGAGTTTTGGAATAGGTTCTTTTATGGAGAGATTAATGATGGAATGACTTGCCAGGCAATGTACAAAATAATTGTTTGGTCTGAATGAAATGGAAGAGCTTGTCCTACTCTGATAGTTTCTAGAAACAGTCATTTTAGCATAGTTTCTTTTAATAGGACTTTATGGAAAGTTGCCTCCCAGGTACTGTAAAAAATAGGGCAATGAAAATAGTTAATAAATTCAAAGCTAATCGAAAAGCGCACACTACTACGACAGTTTCCAGGATCAACCACTTCTGAATAGGTTTTATTACAACGACTTAATTGACAATCACTAATTAATATTTGTTTTGGAGGTCGTCATAGACGACTTTTGTTATTTGTATACAACATTTTTTCTCAACAACTTAAAGGCTTTAAATGTCATAAACTAGGACGTGTCATTAGTCATAAAAATGTGTTATTTTTTGCTCTAAATGCTGCTCCCTGGCCATGGCAAATTGTGATGTCAACGCTGTCAAAGCTTAGATTCATTTTTCAGCTCTCGCCATAAAGCTAAAAACCTTTAATGTCTCAAGGGGTCTCCCGTTTTCCGTCATCGCCTTTCAATTGATAGGCAAAAGCGTGAAAAAGAAAGTGGAACTTGGAGCTGTCTAAACGCAGTTTGTCATTGCAAGTTCGTTGCTGTCGGATCGCGTCGACTAATTGAACTGCACACTGCAGCACACGGGGCAGCCAAGTGGAACTCCCTGCCACACATGCCACATGCTGCATGCCAGCTTGCGCCATCATCATCTGCAGAAGGTTCCACCCACATCGGTCACTCTGAGACGCACTCAAGCATGTCACAGACCAGATAAACTCACATTTCGTATTCATCATATTTCCTACGCCTCATTATCTTTTGAGGCAGCATGCCTAGGTTTTTTTAATTTAATTTTTCTTTTATTTCCATCATTTTTTTTTTTTTTTTGCGCCCTGACAACAATGAGTGCCAAACTGGCCGACTTCTCGCTGTCTGGCGAAGATAACTGCTTTGACAAAATTGTGAGTGACGTCCAGGAAAAGTCAGGAAAAGCCCTTGTGCTGTTCCTACCAATATTCTATGATTTATGAGTTCGTGTGCCCGTGACATTATTAATTGAGTGGCCCAAAAGTATATGCTTAATTGCCTTATCGGAGAGCCAATGGCAAAAAAGGCTTGAAGCTCAGGTTTTCGGTCATTCTTAGTTGAAAATTAATTAAAATAAATGGGCCTAATGAAAGGCAGGCAGAGTTTTGTTCATAGTTAGTATACGCGTGCCTGCCCTTAAATTCATTCATAATTATTTGATGAGAATACATTTGTGTTTCTGTCAGTTCAATTTTAATTGATAAAGGTACAAGTTTTAACATAAAAATGTGCTTGTTTGATTAAATATTAATTTCGGTTTATTTTATTAAGTGAAAACTGTACACGGAACTAAATAGTGTTTTGTAAATTTAAGCACAATAAATAGTTAACGTTTTCAAAAATAATTATTAAATATATTATACTCTCTATTGAAATTAATGTATTAAAAGTATTACATTAATTGTATTAAATTATAAATTCTGTTTTTTTAATAGTTCTTATGATTAAAAAACAAAAATATAATATAAAATATTAATTAAACTTTATAAAAAATGATAGCTTATTAATTAAACGAGATATTCCTTACATAAGAACAAGATTTTACTTGAATGTTGCGCTAACGAAATAATAATTATGAACATTAAATGGCATACAACATTTTCCTGCATCAGGTCACGTCCTTTCATTTCATTTTCTCCAACAAGCACTCCTTTTCGGGGAGCGGGGGGAAAAAGCTTAGAAAATCAGTTTGACCTTGGCTTATGTGGGTGGCATTTCCCGCCCACTCACTAGTCACATGAAATCCATTAGCAGCACTCCGCCCCCAGAATCAATTGCTTCAGACGCCTTCAATTTAAGCCAGAATAGCTAAGTAACAAGGCAGGCGGATTTCATATTCCACTTGAAATAAAATACTTGTACTTGTACTTATCTATTCATTAGATCATAAATATCAATAGATAGTGGAGGAGTAAATGTGTAGATTTAAATAGAAGTTGTTTTTAGTAATTCCCATATAAATACTCTATTATAATAGTTAGATTTTCCCCCAGTGTGTGAGTTTTTCGAAGGCACACAAAGGGCGTATGCTGTTAGAACACATTAAAAAAAGGCGTAGCGATTCGACCTGCTTTCATGGAAACTTCAGAGGCAAAGTTAATTAGTCGACTTCCTAACATCCAGCAAAAAAGGCCTGCCGAACTAACTAACTACCTAACAAAATAAAAAGGAAATATTAACAGAATATCATCTGCTCACGACAAAAAATATAAAGAACAAACACATTTAATTAATTTCCCAAAAAAAAACGATTTTATGATAAAGTTTTTCATTTTGTGTCTGTTGCAGCGATACCAGCGAACTGGAGCCCGTAACGCATGCGAATGAGGCAGTGCGTCGTTTCTACCGGCTAATTCAGGCTGCTCGAGATGGCCAGGATCAAAAGGATTGCCAGAGCCTGTATCCACAGTGCAATATGCCGGCCAAATGAGTCGGAGGGAGTCTGCAAGTCGAGCAGTCACTTTGAAGTCAACTTTTTTCCTTGTTAAAAGAAAAAAAAAAAAAACAAAAAAGAAAAAAACCCGAACTGTAAATAGGATAATAATCGTACTTTAAGCATAATTTATTTGTTAAACTCGTATTTATTTATTTATTGTAGTCTAATGGTTTTCCTAGTTGCTATTAATTAAGGCACATCTGTTATTCGACCGCTGAATTAATATTTATTCTGATTTTGTTGATGATTACCTACAAAATTGTTCATTATTTATTATAATTGGCTGCGGTCAAAACACTTTTTAAATTTCTCACCCACAACGAACACACACATATGTAGAATTCTCTTAAAAAAAAAAAATCAAAAAACAAAAATAATGAAATCAGAATATTTTTTAATTTTCGGCCAAACGGATGAGTCTGCAAATTCAATTAGTCAATACGCAAAAATTGTTAAAAGAGTACATACAGAGGAAAATAAATTGAAATTGTGTTAAATGTGTATCAAGTTGAATTTTCAAGGCAATGCAAATGGGAAATAAATAATATTTCATAAGAATTCTGGCATTATTAACACTCGTATGGAGCAAGCACATGAAAAGTCAGCCAATACAATTAAACAAAGGCCAACAATTCAAGCATTATTTATCTTTCAATTTCGGGGAAATTCAGAAAAATAAAAAAAAAATCTATCAGAGTTGTTAACAATTTTAACAATTTGAACTGCCAAGCAAGCATAATACTAATATGCTTAATTTTACAATTAGAAATCTAATAAATTCAATTTCAATTCATGTTCTATTTTATGTTACATGTTATGTTATGTTAAAGGTCCTTTACAATACAATTTAAAAGGCAAAATGGTTGTGGAACCTTAGCCAAATTAAGCACATATATATATTACTTCTTCTTTCTTGATTTCTCGAAATCCCTGCTATTGAATCAATGCTGTATTTATTCTGGTATTCCTCCCTAAATATTCCAGGAAGTCTGAGCAAACCCACATGCTGTGAAATCATTCACACAGACCAATAGGCTCTCTAATAACACATTTTCTTTGCATAAATCAAGGCGTTTTTGGGCCCAGCAGGAATGGCGAAGCCAATATGTAGGCCTAATTGTCGCCGGCAAACAGTCGAAATGGAAATGGAAACTCGTTTACATAAATATATATTTATTTGGCCGCACTTTGATGTCTCCATGTTCGAGCACGAACTCATCTGAAATTAATATTTATGTAAATTCCAGTCGCAATTAACACGCAAATGGCAAAGCTTTCACTTTTCTTTCAGTACACAAAATAAAAAATTCCTTATTGCCCAAACACAAAACAAAGGCAAAAAAATTACAACAAAGAGCGGAAGTATAAGTAAGACATTAGGGATTCGTGGGCCCGCTGTCTCGGCCCAACCAACTGCACTGACATCAAAACACCGATTGCCAAATTGGCAGCTCATTAAATGCCAAAGCAGTGCGAGTACTTCAAGAAATGTCAGCGTCACGAAACATTTTTCCCCTCTCAGTCCCTTTCCTGCCCCTATGTGTATAACTTTGGCCTATGAAAATATTTCCGCTAAAGAGAATAACATTTTTTAAGAAATACTCACCCGCTTCAGCCTCACAGCTGTTAATTAATTCCAATGCTATAAGTATTGATTTTATATAATTCGGAGAATTCTTCGACTCCTCCTTGGACAGTGTCAGGCTGCTGGAAGAACAAGAGTTAATTGAGACAGGTATTTAATAAGATGAGAATTTGGGAATGAATCTATAGGATACATTTGCTTTCCCTTAATTGCACTTAACATATAGAATCTTTTTGCTGGACTTATGCCTATACAATATATTGGGAACTTTTGCATTCCTTATTATAAAAAGATTGATATTTGGGAATAATAATAACAGATTATAATTGAATAAAATATAGTTATATTTTTTCAAATGTTCCTATATTTATATATTTTTTTTTAATATTTGTTAGAATACACAGAATGAATGCACAGAATGCACAGTCTTTTCATTAACTATATTCAATTTATATAAATATAACATTCAAGATATTTAAACAAATCTTTTTTACCCATTTCTATATAACGTAATAATTAAACTTCAATTCAATGTTTAAAGCCCTTTAACAAATCAAAATTGTTAAATAAACAAATAAATCGACCTTTTCACGGCTCCATTTCCTTTAACTTGTTTATTTTAGTTAAATATTAGTTATTTAAATTCAATTATTACAATAATAATAAATTTAAAGTTCCAATCGTTCCCAGAGGGCTTTTATTTGAATTATTTTGCTAATGAATAATGGAAACTAAAGGATACTTCAAGTATACTCGTAAACTAGTCGTTTCACTGTGTGTTCAATGGGTTGAACGAAGCTTTCAAAAACTCGTAAAATACTCACATTGGTGACCATTCATTTATACACTTCAATCTCAGGAACTATAAAAGGTAAACCCACAACATTTAACCCGCACACACTAAGGTAGATTCAGGAATAGTGTTTATTTTTCACACTGCCTCCTTCCCCTAAAAAGAAAAACAACTGTTAAACCTATACAATAAAGATACATTTTATGGATGCATCTGTCAGAAGAGGACCAAGATTGCCATTATTTAGGATATTTTCTGACCGGATCAATGTGTTTTTCTATTCTACATTTTCATTTGACATCATTAAAATATAATTAAATAATAAATACTACATATAATACTGATAATTAAATATTATTCAATAAAATTCTTTGGAGCTGAATACCCTCCGCCTTTTGTATAAGAAATCAAAACGTTCTTTTGCCTTTTCCCGGAGACTAAAAGGAATACTTTGGCTTCTTCATTGGTCAGCAGGTGCAATTGAGTGCCCAATGCGGGTATTTCGTTAACAGCCAAAGAAATGTACACTGGGAGAGTCGCATTCTAATTGTGATTTCCAGGCACGCACATCAAATGGCTGGGCACTTGATTTTACGAGCGGTAGAAGCCGTCCAATAACTTTCAATTATGTGCGGCATATTATGGCTGGTATTATGCGGGAAATCGTCATAATGACGAATTCCGAGAGCCTAAAGAACGGCATGCCCATAAAGTACCCACTTGACCCAATATACACCATCGATAGAACACAGAAGCCAAAGCCAGTTTAGGGCTAACTCCCGCACTGAAGGTGAAACTCGAACGACTTGGTCAACTTGCGCTTTCCATGGCATTGTGGCAAACAAAACGAAATGGCCGCTAAAGCAGGAGGCCAAAGCGATGGAAAAAGAAGCTCTGTGGCGTACCTGGCATACGCAATTCAATTAGGAAAAGTACACTTCGTATAAAAACCAAGCTCTACCCGTGCGACATTTGCATAACCCACTGAGTGGCCAACGCGTGCGCACCACCAGAGCCAAAGTCAGAGTTTGAGAATCGAAATATCGAAAAAAGGGGGGAACAACCATCACTAACCAAGGATGAAGAGCACCGCCGTCTGTCTACTGGTCGCCCTGGCGACACTGGTGGCCGTCGCCCACTCGGCACCCGCCGAGGGTCAAAAGGCGCCACAATCCGCCACCCAATTGGCATTGGACATGTACCACGGCTGTCTCAAGGACCTCAGTGTTTCGTGCGTGAGACCCAAGGCCCTGCAGTGGTTCAACTCTGCTCTCCAGCAGCCGGAAGTGCGTCTCACCGAGCGCCTGTCCATTGTCCGCACCTCGGAGAAGATGAAGGAGTCACGATCCATGGATCCCCAGGAACGTATGTTTGATGCCATCGATGGTTACCTGGGTAGTCATGCCCTAAGGATCCTGGCTCCGGAATACTTCCGCACTTCGGAAGCTCGCTCTTTGGTGCCCGATTTTTTGATGGAGAACCCCCTGACCCAGGGTGGAGTGATTCCACTGGCAGCTGCCAATGAAGGTAAGTGCTAAATTCATTTTGAACTGCCAAACATATAGTTTGTTTAATATTTTAGAAATTTTGTTATGTTGAATATTAAATTTTAGAGTTGAAAGTGTGAAAAATATGAAAATATATAACTTATTACGCTTTTCTAACATAAATGACATGTTCCTGGCATTATATATTTACATTTAAGCTTAGAACCGATAAAATATTTCCTGGTTTCATAAATTCAATTATAAATGATATGATTACTTTAAATTTGTAAGAAAACATTCTCTATCATATATACAATATTATATTATATATTTCTATTGCTCTTCCAGGACGCGGCATGATCCGCAAGGCTGTTCTTCCCTTCCTTTTGGGCCTGAAACTCAAGACCACTGTGCTGGTGCCACTTGCCTTGGGCCTGATTGCCCTGAAGACCTGGAAGGCTATGACTTTGGGTCTACTCTCACTGGTCCTTTCCGGAGCTCTGGTTATCTTCAAGATTGCCAAGCCCAAGATTGTCAACTATGAGGTGGTTCACTATCCCCACCATCATGTGGATCATGTGGTTCCACATCACATTGAGCATGTGGTTCCCCATCATATCGAACATGTGGTTCCCCATCACATCGAGCACATTGTGCCGCATCACATTGACCATCATCTGGAGCACCACATCGATCATCATGTGGACCTGCCAGTGGAGCATATTGAGCATCTGGAGCATCCTTCGCCCGCCTGGGATCCCCATGCTTGGGCCCGATCCTCGCAGGAGGGACAGGATGCCCAGGACTTGGCCTATGCGGGTCAGAAATGAGGCTGAGAGACCACAAACCCAAAAACCCTATTCGAAATTTGGCCAAAATGCAACCTTATTTATTTCGCTTTAAGCTAAGTAGTTGAAACGCTCGGAGTTTGGCGTATTGTTTATTTATTTATTTATTGAGAAGTGTACAAAACAAAACAATGCAAAAAAAAAAAAGAAAAGAAAAGAAGAAGGAACCCTCTGGGGTGTTTTTAAAGGTACTAAGTGGGTTGGAGCTCTTGTATCCTTTGTGTAAATATTTCTGCAATAAAAAGCATGCCAAAAATTATGTGCTTAATTAAGGACTATTTAAAGAGGGTTGCAACCAACAATAATTAACCCAAAAAGTTTTCCAACGTGGCAAGTTACCTGTCAGTCGGCCAAAAAGCATCCCAAGGGGGAACTTTCAAGTTGAAAACCGTCGAATAATGAGTGCAACTTCCTACCAAAGTGGCCAATAAAATTTTCAAGAAACTTTCATTTTAAATTCAACTAAATTTTATGACCTCGGAAAGGGGAAACTTTAAAGGTGCTCTTTAAAAGAATGAATAAATTCTTTAGGGGAGTATGAAAATATTTAAAAAATACTTTGATATTCTGGTAACAATTGTATATAATTTATACATTGGAATGAATTTAAAAAGAAAAAAAAATTGTATCTATAGTAGAAGTAACTTAAAAACAATATTAAATACTTCTTAGAATTTAGAAAAATATTTTTAAACAAGTTCTTCGATTAGAGAAAATTTTTCTACTTTTAACTTTAAATTTTCTAGGCATAAATTATATATAGCCTATTTATATATTAATATCTTGTTTCTATTTATTAAATTTTATATTCAGCTCAAAATTCGAAGAATTCATGAAATGTTTTAATGTCAAAATATATTTTCATTGGTATTCAAATTTATTCAGCTTAAAGCAAACTCGTGTTTAATTCATATTTTTAGCATACTTTCCGGAGATTCCTTTGATGGGTACAAAAATAAACTTCAAATGAAAAATATGAAAACATATATATTGTCTGCATTCTTTTCTTATTTGATGGTTTGCCATGCAACCGCAAAAGAGAAAATCGATGGTCATTGGTGCGGTCATATCAATTGGCAATGGCCACCCAGTGAAACCCTGGATCCACCTGACCCAGGTGTGTTGTGCTGGAAAGCTGCCACAAAGTAAACAAACACACACACAACTTGCAGCCAAAATGTGGACAGCGATACCGTGAAGCAATGCAAAATGGCAATGGCGCCAAACACAAACAAAAAATCAAAAATAGAAGAAGAAAAAACCGAGGAGAGGAAACTTCGGTAGCAACAACATAAAAATTGAAAAGCAATAATGCCATTGAGCGACGAAACTTCATTTATATTTAACGACATGCACTTGGCCGCCATCGCTGGGCCATCGTTTCTACGCAACAATTTGGAATATGAAAAGGTTTTCCAATTTCATTGGCTCGAAGAAAGAAATGCGACCGGAATGGCAATTGTCGGCCCAATGAAACGGTGAAACTTTTGTCCAAACGATATAATCGAGTCCCCCAAAAAAATATACGAAAAAATACGAGAAATACTCTTCCACAGTCAAATCAATTTTCATGGCGAACAACGCGTAATCAATACACGAGATTCATAATTCAGTCGTGGACTTCAATTGCTCTTTAAATTCAGTGCATGCCTTGGATTCACGGAGGTTCGGGGGATATGTCACTTTCGCTTTCGTTAAGGAAAAATACTTTCTATTTCGTTGACATGTAGGAGGCCATTTATTTGTTATTGTTTTTGGCCATTGTCCATTGAGCCATTTCCATATTCCTTGCCCAATTATTAATTAATTATGACTTGATGGTGGCGTAATTAGTTTTGCGCAATTTGTATAAAATTAAGTGTTTGCGATATTTTAATTGTTAGTTCCTTGTGGGCAATAAATGGTTTATGACTGAGCCTCCTCGGCTTAGCCACGATTATGTGTGTATTATTTATATTTCTGGCAAACTTTTCCCTTATTATGACCCATTAAAAGTTGCTAAAGACCTGCTAATCGATACAACTTTGGACTTTTAAATTTCTACAAGAGAGGTCAAAAATCTGAAAGTAAAGTGGAAGGAAAAAGCATTGTTTTTACAAAGTTTGCCAATTTACTTTATTTGCTTCCTTTTTTGTTTGTCTTTGAACTTTTTTTCCCTATGCAAAGAAAAGACTCTTTGCTTGTAATTAGTTGTTCTTTATGGTCATTAGAGTGTGGTACTCCAATGTGGGGTCGACAAATAATGTGCGGGATTGCTTATGTCCTTCTATTACTTCAAAGTAAGCAAGTTCTCCTGACTAATTAGTAAGAAAGTAAAGTCTCTAGTTGCAACTCCATTCTCGCAAAATTCAATCAAGTAATGACCGAGTTTACTTCCCATTTGTGGTGTTTCAATAGGAATCCCAAAACTAAGAGCAAACTGTTGATTACACTCGGAGAAAATTAGAGTACTTATGAGAGAAATGATATATGAATCTTTTTTGGTAATATATGTCGTTGCATTCTTATTCTTATATGTATTGTATATTTTATATTGTATTTTTATATTATATCTGTGTCTTATTAGTTTTACAATCATGTAAATATTGATTCTTTCTTCCAATATTTGTAGGTATAAATATTAATATTAATTTATATATATATATATAAAATATATAAATATTAATATTAATTAATATTTGTTTTTTAATATTAATATTAATTAATATTTATTTGTTAACGTTTAAATTTATATTTTGAATTATATGTTGTTTTGTGGCGACCCTTTGAATGATATTTTTAGTCGTATTATTTAATACATGAAAATTTTCATTTATTTTTAAAAAATATGACAATTTCTGTAAGCTTCTACGACAATATTTTATAATAAATAGTACAAATAAATAGTTCAAATAAATTGAATTATAAAATACATTAACAATAAACGATTCTTTGGTGTAAATTAAATGCTAAAGTATTTAAATTCCTGTATTTACTTCTCAACAGTCACCAAACAGTCCCAAAATAAATTACAGGTTAACCAAAAAAGCCTTTTTTTCAATCAACATCTTTATATTCCAAATTAATGTTCCCTTGTTCCCTTTATTCCCGTCACCCTAATTATTTCGAGTGCATTATTCCGCCCACAAAGAAAAACTCTTGGATGCGTTGGGCACGCGTTGGAAATAAAGCCACATTAAGTATACGACACGTGGTGCAGCGCGGCACGCACTCGGGCAAAAATAACAAAAGTGGAGAAGCTCTTGCGACGTCTGCTTCATTCATGTCTTCTCCACCGGCCATTCCTTTTGCACCGTCATTCGCCAGCGAACGAGTTAAAGATCGAGTGAGTATAAAAATCGTGAACAATAGAAAAACGATTATTAAACGCAATTGTGCCAGCAACGAGGCAAGTTGTGGCAAGTTGACCAGCGGCGAGTTACGAACCGGACCAAGAAAAGAAACGAATACAGCAAAATGGCCAAGTTGCTCCTTGTGATTGTCGGTGTGGCGGCCTTTGTGGCGGCGGGACAGGCGGCAGCTGGCATCGGATCCACCGAGCAACTGCAGCGGCTTATTGCCGAGGAGCAGAGCAAGTGCGCCAGCGGACAAGATTCGATGGCCTGCATCAAAGAGCGTGCCATGCGCTTTGTGGACAATGTGATGAGCAAAGATAGCTACCAGGTGAGCTCAAGAAAGGGGTTTAAGTTTTAAGCTAAAATCAGTTACTAAAATCAAGATGTCATATAGGGAATTTTAAGCAAAGTTTACTTGAATTTTTAATACGAAATTAACTCAGTGCAAGGAGATATTCTATTTAAAATCACTTAAAGAAATCTATTCTGGCAAGAATTTATTAAATTAATTCAAAAGAACTACTAAAATATTCAATTTTTTGGGTAGCTTCCTAGATAAAAGTTTGATTAATTGTAAAGGCAACTCCTTAATGTTAGAATTTTAAAAAAGAATACTTAAAATACATTCAATAAAAAGCAATTATAAATTCTAAAAGAGAGGCAAAGACCGTATAACCTTCTTTGCTTATATTTTCAAATTAAATTCCCCTTCTAGTATATAATATTAAAGTGCTATTTTTAATATTTCCTCCTGTTTCAATAGGTCTCCAATCTGGAGGTGCATTCCAATGGCCAAAAGTCAGCACCCATTAGCGAAGCTCGTGCCAGCAGTGCCGATGGTTTCATTGATGCCATTGAGAACTATATTAGGGGACATGATGTTAGCATGAACTTGCCCTTGGCCGATGCCAAGGTCACCGTCTCGGCCCGTAACCTGGCCAACAATCAGCTGAGTTTGAACCTTCAGTTGAACGGCGATGAAGGCAATGATGATGCCACCGATATCGAAGCCAGGGGTAAGAAGGGCAACATCTTCAAGAAGGGTGGGTTCACTTTCTGCATGCCTTGTTTCCACGAACAAAGACAAGAGCCTCTTTATTAAAAAAACACACAAACACCTTTAATTATTACAGGCAAGAAGCATCGTCTCCGCAAGCTGGCTATGCCCATCCTGGTGCTCATCCTGCTGAAGGCCATCACTGTCATTCCCATGGCCATTGGCATACTGAAGATCAAGGCCTTCAATGCTCTGGCTTTGGGTTTCTTCTCCTTCATTGTCTCGGTTGGTTTGGCCATTTTCCAATTGTGCAAAAAGGTAAGCCTTCAGTGATATTAAAACGCATCTTCAATTGTCTTCCAGGCATTCGCTGGATGTGGTAATTAGTGTGCGTTTGTTGTGTGTTGGGATGATGTTGGGATGCGTGGCGAAGGCGGTGGAGCTCCAACTTTAAATGCAATTAAGATTAAGAGGCATGTATGTATGTATGTAGAAGAAGTCTAGAGGGCGGCAGGAGCAGCAGGGTAAGTTCCGCCAGAATCCTCGCCCACACTCTCCCGCTCTCCCCAAAAACCAAACCACAAAACTGACTACCCAAAACCACAACACTAGCATTTAGAAATTATTAATTATTAACTTGTATAGTATAATGAATCTTTAATACCATATCTATGCTATATCTCCACAGATTGCTCATGATCACCATCACACCGCTCACATCACTGCCCATGGACCTTGGGATGGTCGCAACTTTGGCTCTGTTTCCGTCCCCGTTGTGGATCAGCCCCAGAAGTTGGCCCAGAACCTGGCCTATAAGGCCTACGCCTAAGCAAACCCATCAATCCTCCACACAGAAGAACCAAGAGAAGCGGGAAAGTCCCTGGATGAGAAGTGGTCTCGAAGAGCGCATAATTATTTGTTAATTGTTAGACATAATCTGCAACCTTCGACCAGCTGTCCCCCTGTCCGTGTCTCTAGACTTTATTTATAATATTTATTAACTATTTATTGAAAACAAAGAGATTAAGCAAAAGAGAGAAAGCAAAGCACCAAAATAAAGTAGCAAAATAAATGCCTTAAATATGCTAAATTGTATCTAATTGTATCGAAAGCAAGTCCGGAGGTTAGTACTTAAAGTTGACTTAAAGATTAAACCAGAAGCTTTTTGGCGCCAAAGGCGGTTAAAATCAAGCCGCTTGAATTGTTAAGCCCAAAGGCCTAATTAACGTTTCCGCCACCCCCCTGGCTGTGTTATCAAAGTCCCGAGCAATTTCACTTGGCATACAATATGTATAAGCCATCGCCCGCACGGCAATTGTGTCCTAATTAGCCAAATTTAATCCACACAAAATGCCGACCATCAACAGAATCGTATTAAATATTCAACACAAGCCGCTATTGGGGCCCGGTTTTGGGGCAGACAATTCAATTGATTAACTGCATATAATTTAAAAATTTAAATTTCACTTGTGCGAAAGTCGCCAGCCATCACAGAAGGTGAAAGTCTTTCAATATTCTTTGACCCAATGGGGATTGGTTCGGTGGGCCAAGTTCCCAGAGATTAGGGACATTTGCAGTCCCAAATGCGATTCACTGAGGCGTATGGCATAAATCGAAGTTCGTTCCAAGTATAAAATTTAATTTCACAAATATATTCCTGGGATACTATCGAACCTTAAGCTCAAGTGCATCACAATGGACTTCCTGGAAAGTCTAACTTGACCTGATAAAGTTATTCACAACGTGTGAATATTCTTGAATGGGGATACGATTTATCTTGAAGGATAAGGTATTGAGAGAGATTTCGTTTTTAGTGAATGATATGCATGTTTTACACTATACTTTTTTAACTATTACAAGGAAAACTGTAAAAGTTTATATATTTAATATGATTTTTGTATAGTATATAAGTATGGAAAACTATATAAGCTAGCTTCCAAGAATACATAAATATATAATTTTATAAAAAAAAATAAACTTATTCTGTAATCAATAAAGAAAATATCACTTCCTTCTTACACCAAATTAAGTATACGTAATTATTAAATGTTTAAACCTAACAAAATGTAATTATGTTTTTAACTGAAACATACAAGACAAGAAAAATAACATATAAAATGTCAAGATTATGAATCCTTTTAGTTTGCAATTGAATTAAAAAAGCAAAATTAAATTAAAAATATTGGCATTCTTTGAGTCGATTTTAATAACATTTTTATATTAATATTATTTAACAAATCAAAGCTTAAAAAACTCATAACTAAGCCAAAAGAGCATACATTTTAATTCGGAAAGCTTTCCTATATTAGTTTTTATAAGGTTTATAAATCTGCATACTCAATTTAAATTTAAAAAATTAAAATTTTTCTTGATATTTTGAAAATTTTAAATTTTAAATTTAAATTTATAATTTAAATTTTAAAATGTTGAAAAAAATTTAAATTTTTTTTTCCTGTCTGAGCTGGCTAGATCGACTCTGCTATTGATGCTGATCAAGAATATATATGATTTATAGGATCAGAAATGACTCCTTTACGGCATAACAAGCTTCTAACTTAAAAAATAATAACCTGCGAAGGGTATACAAATAACTTGGCAAATCCCTTTCGTTTTTTGATAATTAATATTTTATATTTAATGATTATTACTTCGCTAAATATTTTTGCAGCAAAAGTTAAATGTACAATGCTTATATGTAATAACTTTAAAGAAGCAATTTTTGCATAGCAAATGTACATATTTACGTGTTAACAAATACCAATTATGTACTTCTTAATAAGCATCAATATTAAATATAATAATCTACTCCATTCCTATTAATATCTTGTAATGTTTTTTTTTTTTGTTTTCAAATACATTTACACTACATTATATTTTAAGACAGTTTCTAAGCATCCTTCTTACATTAATGATTTTAATCCAATAAGTTGTGAAAATACGTTTTATCTAAGAATTTTCAGGACAGTCCCTACACACAGGATCCAGTCTGAGGTCAAGGTAGAGTGGATAAACACCTGTATAAATGGTCAGGTGGACAATCAGACAGGTGGCGCCGCTTTCATAATCGCTTGGCATGCACGAGGACGCTGTTTTGGTCATCATCATCATCATCATCATCATCAGCATCGGAAATTGGGGTCTGAAGCCAAGACACGAGCTAAATGGAAATTTATATTGCCGCATAAAATTGTCGGCTCTTTGACAATTTGGCACGATCTGAAGCAAAAGTGTGGCGCTAGTGAAATAAACATGAAGCTGTCCACCAATTTCTTTAACCAAGGGATAAGATTGATACATATAAAACAAACAAAAAAACATGTCACTGGTGTAAGCGACAGCCTTTGCATTATTTAAGCTCACCATTAGGTAATGTATATAAATATACAATGATTTTGGCAGAGAAAAAAAATATATCAAAGATTATATAACAGTGAGGAAGAGTTTTCCAAAAAGTATTATCTAATCAAAGCACTTGATTATTAGAATATTATGAAGGATTTATTTGGATTAACCAAGAGTTAAGAGTTTGCTTTCTATAGAAAGTATACTCAGAAGTTCAAGTAAAGAAAGGGTTTCATGTTCTATTAATTATATAAATAAAGGTTTACTGAAATATTATTATAATAAATAAAGGTTTACTAAAATCAACCTTAACGCAGGTTTATTTATTACGCGCTTCCATAGAAAACCTAATACTATATAGTCATTCTTCTAATTAGAAACTCCCTTCCTCATCGCATTCCCTTAAAAACTGTGTCACCCCAAATCTATGTGGCACAAATAAAATCGAAACTACATTTCGTAATCTAAAACAAAGAAAAAGCAAACAAAATATTAATTGAGACCACTGCGAAATCGAAACAACAGTTCCGTGTTTAACAAAATAAAAAATAAAAACAGAAACATATCAAATGGGGAGTTCGATACCAAAGCGTAGGTGAGTTCCGTACTGATTTCTTGTATCGAAATTTGACACAATACGTTGAAAAATGTACGTGTCTTCGATTTGGCTTTCTTGCGGATGGTCGCGTAAGAGTAATGGGCCTGCATACTAATTGGCCAACATAAAGTTATTTCCACCGAGGCGTCAATAATGCAACTTTGGCCACTGGAAGAAGGGTTGGGGATGGGTTTAAGGTGTCTCTGTGGCCAATATGGAAAGCGAGAAAGCTTAAAGGGGCAACCCAGTTAACAGAGGGAGAGGCTACTCTTTTTTTAATACCACGTGTACGTAAAGTCTCAGGGTATATGCATTGACTGTAACAGGGTATTATTTTAAAGTAGACAACATTCACTTAATTAGACTTGTCTAAAGATTTAAAACATATTGGAAAGAGCGTTGAAAAGTATGCTATATTATTCATAAATTGCAAGTTGCAGAATCCAAATACTTTTTTACGTAATTTCAGTTTCATTACACCCTTAAATATTAACTTTATAACTTTATAACTTTATAGAATTTATAACAAATTATTTATACTTTTTCTTAAATATTCTAGGTATTAAAAACGAGAGGTATGCATAAGTCGTGACCTATAACTATTGTGTTCTGGTTTTCTTTTTCAACTATTGTTGGTGAAAAACTTTGGCCACTTGCTTTTCGTGGACTTGGCCCAAACCTCGCCGACTTTCGTCGCTCGTCACTCGCAGAGTTTGGCTGTCCAAAAAGCGAATTGTGTGCACTCCAAAAAAAAAACAACTCTTTGGCCCTCTCGGGGAGCGGCCAGTATAAAACTCGATTCGATCGTCAAATCATCCAACATTGTCGCCGCATCGACTCCGCTGTGAACACTACGCGCTCCTGGTAGTGTCCATTTAATAATTGTAATTAATTCGATTGGGTTCACACAATGGCCTTCCGTTTCTCGTCCTTGCTCGCGTCCGGTGGAGTGGTGCTGCTGCTGCTGCTGGTGGTGGCCTCCACGTCGGTGTCCGGTGCTGCCATCGAGAATGCGGTAACTCCGCGCATCCACAGCTCCGATGAGCTGATCTCGACCATTGTGGATAAGTGCTTCCATGCCAATGCCATGCATTGCCTCAAGGAGAAGGTGCTCAGCTATCTGGACACGGTGGCCAATGTGGAGGATGAAGAGGTCAGCGGTCGCGCTTTGAGCGACGATGTCATCGACAAGGTTATTGTGGACCGTCTGGGTCGCATTCTGAACACCAACGAGATGAGGCTTCAGCTGCCCCAGACTTTCTTCGCTGGCTCCGTGGTGACCTATCGCTCGGATCGAGGCTTCGACCTGGAGTTGCCCAAGGATGAGGGTCAGTTGTGATGGTGAAAAAATTTCAAAGACAAGTCTTAATTTTCCCAAATCTCTCAGGTCGCGCCGAGAAGAAAAACAAGGACAAACTGTTCCTGCCCCTGCTGCTGCTGATGAAGCTCAAGCTGAAGGTGGTCATGCCCATCCTGCTGGCTCTGATCGGTCTGAAGGCCACCAAGGCTCTGATTCTGTCCAAGATCGCCATCAAGCTGGTGCTCGGTTTCCTGATCTACAATCTCATCCAGAAGCTGGGTGGCATGAAGATGAACATGGTGCCCATGCCAGCCCCAGTGCCGGCCAGTGAATATGGTGTGCCCAGCACCACGGCCTCATCGTATGATCCCAGCAGCTGGGAGCCCATGAGCGGAGGTCCCTATGCCCGCTGGGACTCGCAGAATCTGGCCTATAGCTCGTACCATCCTAGCAGCTCGTCGTCCTACTCCTCGGGCTCCTCCTCGGGATCCTCGGGCTCATCGTCCAGCTACAGCTCATCCTCTTAAAATTGGGGAGGGGAAATAAGCCGCCCCCGTTGTACATACCAAGGATCAGTTGTGTCTTCTCTCAGGAGGAATCACTGCGAGTCGCACAGACCAAACCGGAACCGGAACCTGCCCAGGCCATAATTGTAGTCGTTAAGGGTTAAGCCATGCGAGAGAGAGAGTTTAAGCCATTCTTCAGCTGTAATCACTCCCCCCACTTAGCCTGATTTTTCCCGAAAATCATCCTCCTTTCACTTTCCCTTTCACTTCACTGTCAGCACATTCTTTTAGTCCTTTTGCCTACGTCACATCGACACAAATCGACCAAAAATCAAACTGAATTGAATTTATATTTATTTAATTTATTAAAAATGCAAAAATTGAAAAGATTAAAATCATCAAGCTTGTGTTTTTATTTGTATTGTGTTCAGGGGAGGTTTCACTTTTATTTGCTTAATATAATTTAAGCAAATAGCGTGCTTGAATCAATTAACTATAGTTTAGTTTGTGGGAGAATATCAAATGCACTATGACTAGATTTTAAATTGAAATTAATCTACGTGGGAACTTGAAGTCTGAACTGAACTGACTGAACTGAGTTTCCGATTCGTAATGGTTTCTGTTACTAAATTTAATAACTATAGTTAACAGCAGTTTAAGTCACATGTGCATGTGAAAGAACAGAAATTAATATATTAATGTCTTAACTGGAGACTACTTAATATTTGTCTTTAAGGTAAGTTTGCTGCTTTTTGCTGATCGCTATGACTAGCTGTCTTCTAAATACTATTCTAAATAAATATAATGAAACATTAAATGCTCAATAAAATAAAATATAATTATGCCATCATTCAGCTGTTTTTGTCGACCGACCATGTAAAAACCAGCTGCTCATGGGTGTCGCTGGTATATAAGAAAGAGCCCCAATGCAATCTGTAGTTAGTGTAAAAAGTTGCTATACCATGTTAACCAGTCTCTGGTTTCTTATCGTTTTGAGGATAAGCCTAACTATAAGCGTGAGATGGCCACGGGACAATCATCTTTCGGATACGGAAGTCAGCAAATACATGAGGACCATGGATGTCATACCGGATGTCATTGATATCGGACCCCAGGAGTTTCTCAATGTAAGTGTTTTAATTTATTATAAAATAGAAAAGAATAATACATAATTTATTCCTCCTTCAAGGTCACATATCATGGCTATATAAATGTGGATGGTGGAAAGCAATTGCAACCCATGGAGGTGAGAGATGAACCTGCAGTTCAATGGCCCGCAGTTATTGAACACTATTACACGCTGCTAATGGTTAATCCGGATGCACCCAATGTCCTGACACCATCGCATCGGGAGTTTCTCCATTGGATGGTGCTAAATATTCCCGGAAATCATCTGGGTATGGGAGATGTTCGCGTCGGCTATATGGGCGCCGCTCCACTCCCAGCAACCGGAACGCATCGGTTCATCTTTCTGCTCTATAAACAAAAGGATTATACCAAATTTGAGTTCCCAAAGGTGCCCAAGCATTCGGTTCAGGGAAGACATGGTTTCAAGGTTCAGGAGTTTGTTAAAAAATATAAATTGGGTTGTCCAGTTGCTGGGAATTTCTTCACCTCCACCTGGAGTGAAGATGTTCCAGCGCTTATGAAAACCATTTCACTTGGATCCAGCTAAACAGTTAAGAAATAAAGCATAACTAGAATCTGAATCATAACACCTTTGAGAAAATTGTATATTCGAAACAGGGTTTCAGGTTGTTTACCTATACTTATATTTCGGCATTTCAAATTTAAATTGATCATTTCCTTCTTCCCCAAAAATGTCCGACGATACCATATGTTTCTCAGATCACAAAATCGTACCGGATGTATTGCAATCATGTCCCTACAAGATGCTTAAGGTTGAATTCTCCACGTAAGATTTATTGTATCTCACTTACAATTGGTTATCCCCTCAGGTGACATATAGCGGTGGTCAAAGGGTGGATATGGGCAGAGAACTAACGCCCACACAGGTAAAACAACAGCCAACGGTTGAGTGGGAAGCGGATCCGAATACACTCTACACACTGATCCTTACGGATCCGGATGCTCCCAGTCGCAAGGATCCAAAGTATAGGGAGTGGCACCACTGGCTGGTGGTCAATATTCCGGGAAACAATATCGAAGAGGGCCAAGTCTTGACCGCCTACGTTGGCGCTGGTCCCCCGGAGGGCACTGGACTTCATCGTTATGTCTTCTTGGTCTTCAAACAGAACCAACAGCTGAATTGCAATGAGCCGCGTATTCCGAAGACAAGCGGTGACAAGCGATCCAACTTTAGTACGGCTAAATTCATTACCAAATACAAGCTGGGAAATCCCATTGCCGGAAACTTCTTCCAGGCCCAGTGGGACGATTATGTGCCGCAGTTGTACAAGCAGCTCTCTGGCAAAAAATAGGAGGGAATGTATCAAGCTTATATTCTTATCAACGGATTTGGAAATATTGAATTTGTTTTCCAAAATTTTGCTGCTGAATGCGCCCCTTGTTCTGTGAAGCGTGACTTCAAACTAATCACTCGCTTTAATTACTGTTGTGGCAACGCTTTTTTTCCCCCAGCAGCTGTTTATGGAAATAAAAAAAGCTTTCCAGCTTTGTCTTAAAAGTAAGGCATCATGGCAAACCGGTTTCAGTTTTAAACAGACCTTGTTCGCTTGTAGATCACTTTAACTTCAAAGTCAGACACTTGGCTAATTAGTTTTCTTAGCAAGATGTTCTTGATTCTAATACCTTTGATTAGCTGTGTGCTGGCTATCCAAGCTGGCTCATTGGAAGAAGTCTTCAGGAGCAACCAGGTGGTGCCCGATGTTATTGCCCAGGCACCAGATCAGTTACTAAAGGTGAATATTTAAAAGAAAGCTAACTAAAGAGAGAGTTTAAAGGTGTGAGAATCCCATACATAGTTTCGTCTGTCTATTATCTTATAATAAATATAAATTTCTTTTCATTTTAAACTACTATTTCCTAAAGACATAAATAACAGCAAAAAACTTTCTGATCAAAGGTCATTTTAAACGAAAAACAAGAATAGTAGTGGTATAAGAGACGTATCAAGAAACAAAATAATTATTGATACTCCACCTAGCAGTTAAAAATCATCAAATAATTACAATAACAATCAATTTACTTCGCATCAACGATTTCATGAAATCATTTCTGATAAACAAACTGCTCTTAAAATTGGTTACACTTCCTCTTAATTGCCACAAATGTATTCAAAACTAAACTAATCAAATCTTCTTGCCTAATAGGTGACATACAACAATGGTCTGGTGGCCAAGGATGGTGTGGAGTTTACGCCCACCCAAGTGAAGGATCAGCCACAGGTGGAGTGGAATGCCCAGCCCGGTGAATTCTACACACTCATTATGACCGATCCCGATGCACCCAGTCGGGCTCAGCCCAAGTTCCGGGAGTTTAAGCACTGGGTTTTGGTTAATATTGCTGGAAATGACTTGACAACTGGTGAAGCAATCGCCGAATACATTGGATCCGGTCCACCCCAGGGAACGGGTCTGCATCGCTATGTCTTCTTGCTGTACAAGCAACCTGGAAAGCTGGAGTTCGATGAGGAGCGGGTTAGCAACAAGTCAAGAAGGGATAGACCCAAATTTAGCGCCTCCAAATTTGCCCAAAAGTATAAGCTGGGCAATGTCGTAGCGGGTACTTTTTACCAAGCTCAATACGATGACTATGTACCAAAACTGCATCAGCAGCTGTCCGAAAATTAATTAATTATACACAGATAATTCTTTCTGAGAATATGCACACTCTTAAGGAGCTAAAAATTAAATTGATTTAACTATTGTAAAGTTCTTAGTGAACTAAAGTTGCCTTAAACATCTTTAAATAACTATTTGGGCCTTATTGGATTCGTTTTTTCAGACAACAAATAAATAATTCATAAATAAACTATTCACCACTTCCACAGAATGATTCTGATACCTTTTTTTTTGTTTAACTTAGAGAATCGAATTTGTGTTTATTGATTGATTGAATGATGGCTTCCATTATTTGCCTGCCGCCGTGGCTAGGGGATTTCTGAGTACCAGGATTACCGAGTCGCCGCGCAGGAACATCTTCGATATGAAACGATCCTTATTCACCGGCTTCACCTTCTTCTTGCCCTTGCCGGTGCGCGGTAACTCTGTCCACATCTCCTTCACATTCTCCAGCACCATATTGCAGTGGCGATCAAAGGCCTTGACTCTTCCCAGAAGTTTTTTATTGTTGCGGCAATTGATCAACACCTGGGTATTGTTCTTCACCGACTGCGTGAGCACGGACAGTGGCCCGGTGTTGAACTCCTCCTCCTCCTGGCGGGCCAGCTCCTCCGGTGTTAGTTCTGATTTCGGTTTCACAAGAGCCCTACAGAATTGCAACAATAAAAACAATAAGCCGGAAAACTGAGAAACCAACCAATCCAAAATGCCGGCGCACATGTTGCCCGCTGAAGTAGCATTTCTGGCTGGTTGGTCAATTGATATTTGTATTACTTACATGGCAAACTATAGGTATTATTAGTTAAATGCAATGCAAAGTCTTATTTTATGGTTTTTCAGTGCTTTTTTGAGATATTTTTACGGCAAACGTTTTCCCACCGCGTCTTGTTTTTTTCTAGAGATGGTATAAGAATGATAACCATAATATCGATAACATGTAATATCGATGCATGGTATATTTAAGTTTGTAGTATTTTCCTTCTTAACTATTTTGCTATTTTCTAAGAACCATAGTTGGTCACACTGCCACGCACGAGATTTATTATTTTTGTTATTAATTTTTAAATGGCAGCCAAGAAACCAAAAATGAACACTGACGAAAACAGTGGCGACAGTGTGTCCACCACCTGCTCCTACTGGGTGCCACGCAAAAAGCGCCGTTGCAAAATGACGGCCAACAAAGGCAGCCCATTTTGCGGCGCCCATGCACCGCCCACCGCCGTCGCCACAGAAAATGTGGATGGAACCGGTGAGGATTCCTTCCAAGAACGGATTCCCTGTCCCTTGGATCCGAAGCACACAGTTTTCAAGAGGAAGCTGGCCAAACATTTGACTATCTGCAATGCCAGGGATCAGGAAAGTGTGCTGCCTTACATTGTGAAGGGGATTAATTCTGGAGAGGATGAGCTGGAGGTTGCACTGGAGAAATACGACCAAATAAAACTGCACGAGCTGCCGGATGAAGAGTTCTATGGTTTGATTGACAAAGTAAAGCAATTATACGATAAACATATAAATTCTAGTATCCAGGAGCTGAAGTTGTCGCATGAATCCCTGAGGGCAGAACTGAATCGCTCGGATTATGGCCAGGAAACGTTACGGCAGCTCACTCAAGCATCCAGCTTGCTGGGCATCCTGCAAAGGGATGATCAACTCGCAGATGCCACTAGCTACGTGGAATTTGGTGCCGGAAAGGGACAATTGGCCTTTTACTTAGCCACCGTCTTGGAGGACCAGAAACTCACCCGCTCGCAGGTCATACTCATTGATCGCCTTTCACTGCGCCATAAAAAGGATAATAAGCTTACCAACAAGGAGCAGGTGCAGCGCATCCGAGCGGACATTGCCGATCTGAAGCTTTCCGCTTTGCCGGAATTGAAGAAAACTCAGCGAACGGTGGCGCTATCGAAGCATCTATGCGGTGCAGCCACAGATCTGACCCTGCGTTGCATATTGGGTAAAGAAGGTGGCGGCGCCGCCACTGACTATGTGCTAATCGCCTTGTGCTGCCATCATCGATGCTCCTGGAGTTCCTATGTGGGACGCTCCTTTCTCCAAGCAGCAGGCATTGGGGCACGAGAGTTTGCCATTCTAACCAAAATGGTCAGTTGGGCGGTTTGTGGCACTGGTATGAGTCGTGAACGACGCAAGGCTATGGAAAAGGCAGAGGAGCAGCCAACGGAGCCGAACACGCAGCGATTGAGCCGCGAGGAGCGGGAAAAGATTGGTCAGCAATGTAAGCGGATATTGGACTACGGAAGATTGGAGCACCTGCGATCCCAAGGATACCAGGCGGAGCTAAAGTTCTATGTACCCAGAGATGTGACGCTTGAGAACGTAGTTCTGCTGGCCAAGCGATGCACATCCAAAAACATAAATAGTTGACTTTTCTGTATTGAATTATATATGCAGAAGTACCCTTTAAGGGTATACTGTTTTTTAAATATGTTTGAAAAGGTATTTTCTTTAAATTTTAAACAAAGGATGATGCAATCTTTAAATAAAATGTAGATTCTTTAGAAAACCTCAAACTAGACCGACCAATGGCTTAGTCATTCTAAGCTAAGATGTTACTATGGTATTTTTTTCGCTAAAATGCCAGAATTTGTTACATTATTAATTAATTTATTAGCTAAAGCTGATCGAAAAAACTTAATTTGATGTTATTATACCCTTGCAGGGTATTATTTTTAAATTGATTTATGCAATCTTTAATTAAACCAATTATCTGTTTATGAAAAATAAATAAAATGTTAAACCAAAATCTAGCTTATAATATAGCTATAATAAATTCTCTTAGTACTGCCTCTTAATAATAATAAGTTGGCAGTACCGCCAGCGGGTATTATCACAAGAGAACAAGTATCCAACAGCTGATCGTGCGAAACCCGTAGAAAAATTGGAAAGAAAAAAATTTAAACAGAAGGTGGAAAAGTACGAATTAAAGGCAAAAGTCAAAGAAAACAAGTTACCAAAATGGTAAACATTACATTACCAAATCGGGAGGAGCGGTTGGAGCTGCTGGGAGAGCGCATTAAGAACCTTTCTATCTATTTCGAGATCGGCGACGACGTGTGTCCAGTGCAGATAGCCGAGTTCACGAAAAATTTTACAGAAGACGAACTTTGCCGATTGGTGAGTGAAGCCGCCAATTGGGCCATTACTCGTTCCCTTAATGGAAATCCTGATGGCTTAAAGATTACCCAAGGCGATTTTTTGCAATCCCTTTCGGCCATTAAGCCGCGATTTGGTGTACAAAAGGAACGACTCGAAAAGATGACGCCAGGCGGCTTCTTTGAGTCGGTACGCCCGGCTCAGGAGATGACGGAGACCAAATTGTTTAAGATCGCTGGTAATATTGTGTCGCACTTGCAGACCATTATTTTTTTGGAAAACTCTCGGGACTCACGAAAGACGCAAGGTGGAACAAGAAACGTGGAGCTCAATGGAAGGCGGGCCAATCTCTCGGTCTCTTCTCATCCGGAATCGGTAGAGGAGGCAGCAGGTTGCAGCATAATGAACACTGAGATTTCGGATATTGCGCAATTTGAGAAGGAGTACATCGCCGAGTTAGCTGAACGTGGCTTCATCCAGATGCCACCTGATCAGGGTTTGTTTAGCCAGCTGATCGAGGGTGCTCCAAAGTCGGGAAAATCGGCAATTGCGGCTCATTTCGCACAGAAAAGTGATGTGCCCTTTGTAAAGGTCATCTTGCCGGAGGACTTCCTAGAAGCTAGACAAGCCGAAAAATGTAGACACATCCGTGAGCTCTTTGAGGATGCATGTGTCTCCCATGACAGTATCGTAATTCTCGATGATTTGGAACGCCTGCTGGAGTATTCGGCATTGGATAGGAGTTACTCAAACGAAGTTCTCCAGACACTAATGGTGCTCTTAATGAAGCAGCCACCAAGAGGTCACAGACTGCACATCCTGTGCACTTCCAGTCGTCGAGATATCCTAGAGGATCTGGGAATGCTGTCAGTCTTCACATCGGTGATCCATGTGCCAAATCTCTTTGATCCGGACCAAATACTATCCGTGGCGGAGGCTTCACAACGCTTCGAGAAAGAGGAGCTACTAGCCATAGAAGCTGCCATCGTGGACAAACCCATTTCAATTGGGATCAAGCGACTACTGGATCTCATCAACTGGGTGAATCCCCTTAAGCCGGATCGCCGGGTTCCCAAATTCCTTGAGAAAATGGGTGCCGAAATGGGATGGGAGTAGCCAGCCGACCAACTGCAGAGACAATTCCTTTGAATTTATTACCTTGCTAACTCCAAGTTAGCCTTGTACGCCTTAAAGGAACTATGCATTTCAATTGTATTTTGTTCTTATTCTTATTTCCTCTTTTTTAGACAAGAAAGTGAACAGCCAGCTGAGATAACAAATGTATCATAGTTTTAAGAAATATTTACTCAAACACTAAAATGTTTATATACCTCTTAATCGTATGCTCTTTAAGTTTTGGGTTTTATTTTGATTAACAAATAAATATTAATCTTTTTTCTCAAATATAGAAATAGAACAAATGGGAATTATACATAACTTTATTCATTTGACCCGTTTTTTCATGTTTGTTGTAGAATGTAAAATATAGATTTCAAATTTAATGCTGAACTAAGTCAAAGGGAAGTTTATGTATTTAACAAAAGCTGAAAGTGGTCTCTCTAGGCATTAAAAAAAGGGTTTATTTAAAAAACAGAACTGGAAAACATATTTAAATCCCAATTAGTTATATAGTTTACATTATCCCTAACTACTATGTCAAAATTTCCGTGGACATTTTCTAGCTTTTTTTCCAAAAGCTTTCAAAGCTTTTGTACATCTTTAAGAGTTGGTTGGCATCACTGACCAGCTGTGCGAGTTGAAAAGAAATTCATGTTAAATCGAGTATTAATTATTTGCTAATATTGGAAAGATGGCAAACGAAATGGCCCACCGGATGAGGGCAATCAAGTGCCCCACGGACGAACTATCGCTGACCAACAAGGCAATTGTGAATGGATCCGATTTCACCGAGGAGGTCAAGTGAGTGTTTTCCCACACAGGCCATATACATACGTGGGCGTATTTTCCCCATATTACTATATACAGATTCACACATATTTCGCACTTATCCGTTCTCAGATATGTTGACATCTCGACGGGGCCGGGACTGCACTTTATATTTGCGCTGGAGAAGATTAGCGGCGCAGAGCTGCCACGGGGCCACGTCGGATTTTCGCTGGTCCAAAGAAAGTGGGCCACGCTCTCCATTAACCAGGAGATAGATGTCCGACCGTACCGGTTCGATGCCAGTGCGGATATCATTACCCTGGTGTCCTTTGAGACGGATTTCCTGCAGAAAAAGACCACCACGCAGGAGCCATACGACTCGGATGAGATGGCCAAAGAGTTTCTCATGCAATTCGCCGGCATGCCCCTGACCGTTGGACAAACACTTGTGTTTCAGGTAAACTAATTTATGATTTCTTAAAAATAATTTGAGTTTTCAATATCTAAAATAGCCAACGATTTCGTTTTCTTATAAAAATGATTTCTTTATGTAGCTTATATCCCAAGTCTTATGATTAGATTCCAGAAAGTATTATGAAATTAGTTACGAAAATATGATTTCCTTACGTTGTTTAACAACAAAACCCCCAAAGCATTTTGAATTATTTACAATATATATCGTAACAAACGCTGAACAAATTTCAATCAATTTAACAGCAAACTAAGGTATTTGCATAAGTGACGTAAATATGTATGACTAGCCTTTGGTTGATGACTAATAATCATAATTGTAAACTGTGCAATATTAGTAAAGATATGACAAAAGCCATATAAAATTATGTATATTATATGTATATATCTAATATATTTAACGTAACAAAATTTAATTGGCTTTCTGCCATGCCTTTTTTTCTATACATAGACTCTAAGGGTATATTGATATTAATATAAAATTACATACAAATGAATTTTGAAATTAATTATCCTCTCTTTTAATCTTTTCAGTTCAAGGATAAAAAGTTTTTGGGTCTGGCGGTGAAAACCCTGGAGGCTATCGATCCCAGAACCGTGGGAGATTCGGCACCCAAAGCCAGAAATGTACGTTTCGGTCGCATTCTGGGTAACACTGTGGTGCAGTTCGAAAAGGCTGAGAACTCTGTACTAAATCTTCAAGGACGCTCCAAGGGAAAGATTGTCCGCCAGTCCATCATTAATCCGGACTGGGATTTTGGCAAAATGGGTATCGGTGGCCTGGACAAGGAGTTCAATGCGATATTCCGGCGAGCCTTTGCGTCGCGTGTCTTTCCACCGGAACTGGTGGAGCAGCTGGGCATTAAGCATGTGAAGGGCATTCTCCTGTACGGACCGCCTGGCACGGGCAAGACCCTAATGGCCCGCCAGATAGGAACCATGCTGAATGCCCGCGAGCCAAAGATCGTTAACGGTCCACAGATCCTGGACAAGTATGTCGGCGAATCGGAGGCAAATATTCGACGCTTATTCGCGGAAGCCGAGGAGGAGGAGAAGCGCTTGGGACCCAACAGTGGATTGCACATCATCATCTTCGATGAGATCGATGCTATATGCAAGGCTCGTGGCTCGGTGGCTGGAAATAGCGGTGTCCACGATACGGTGGTCAATCAACTGCTGGCCAAAATCGATGGTGTGGAGCAGCTGAACAATATTTTAGTGATAGGTATGACCAACAGGCGGGACATGATCGATGAGGCACTGCTAAGGCCCGGACGCTTGGAAGTCCAAATGGAGATTAGCCTGCCAAATGAGCAAGGACGCGTCCAGATCCTCAATATACACACCAAGCGGATGCGAGACTTTAACAAGATAGCCAGCGATGTGGACAACAACGAAATTGCGGCCAGGACAAAGAACTTTAGCGGTGCAGAGCTGGAAGGATTGGTCAGAGCGGCTCAATCCACAGCCATGAATCGATTAATCAAAGCGGACTCCAAGGTATAGTTTGTTGAAATGTTTGTAATTATAATTACTTTCCATTAATTATTGTTTTTTTGGACTATTCTTTAGGTTCATGTGGATCCAGAGGCCATGGAAAAATTGAAAGTAACCCGCTCCGACTTTTTGCACGCCTTGGAGAACGACATAAAGGCCGCCTTTGGAACCGCCCAGGAGATGCTGGAGAATATGCTGGCACGTGGAATTATCAATTGGGGTCCACCGGTCACCGGACTCCTGGAGGACGGGCTACTGTCTGTGCAGCAAGCCAAGGCCACCGAGGTCTCGGGATTGGTATCTGTACTGATCGAAGGTGCTCCCAACTCTGGTAAATCGGCTTTGGCCGCCAATCTGGCCAAGATGAGCGATTTCCCGTTCGTCAAGGTCTGTTCACCGGAGGATATGGTAGGTTTCACCGAATCCGCCAAGTGCCTGCACATCCGCAAGATCTTTGACGACGCCTACCGCTCCACATTAAGCTGCATTGTGGTGGACAATGTGGAGAGATTGCTGGACTATGGCCCAATCGGACCACGGTACTCCAATCTCACGCTGCAGGCCCTGCTGGTGCTGCTTAAAAAGCAGCCGCCCAAGGGCCGCAAACTACTTATCCTATGCACTTCCAGCCGTCGAGATGTTCTCGAAGAGATGGAAATGCTACCGGCCTTTACATCCGTGCTTCACGTGTCCAATCTCTCAAGACCGGAGCATGTTCTTGCCGTGCTAGATGATTCCGATTTTTTCAGTCCGGAAGAACTGCAGAGTATCGCAAGGAAAATGGCCGATAAGCGAGTGTGCATCGGTATCAAGAAGCTACTGGCTCTCATCGATATGGTCAGGCAATCGGAGCCACATCAACGGGTTATCAAGTTCCTCAGCAAAATGGAGGAGGAGGGCGGCATGGATCTAGTGTCCAGAACGGACTAGCTACCGCCCATCTCCGAGCTGAGGCTATCCGTTGTGGAGCTAAACGATGCCTTTTGAAAGCCAAGTGTACATTCCACAGCACAGCATCATCATGCAGCGGGGGTGGGTCGACTTGATTGCCAAGACATTAATAGCTCATTAATGAATCGTTTAAGAACAAATTCTCCATTTAAAAATAGAAATCCTAAATGTCAAAGTTCCCTTAATTCATTTTTAAAATCAAAGGACTCTTGATAAAAGGGTATAATTCCAAAAATTTTAAAATTTTCGAGTTTCAAACTAAATTCACTGAATCGGCGATTCACTGGTTTCAGAGCTTGAAACATTAGAAACTTGATTGATTTCTGGAAATGTGTAATTTTAATAAGAGTCGATTACTGTAAAAATATAATATTTAATATATTTCTTTGTTATGGTTTTCCTAAGGCACTGCAATGGTCGACCCACCCTAGAAGCACCTATTATTTTTAATACTTTTTCAGTTTTAAAAATACTATTAACAAGGAGCTGAAGTAGCGTGGATCATCATCAAATCCCGAGTGTAATTAGTTTTCCCCTTTAGGTATATGTGACTTTATTACTACAATTTATTATTTTATTAACGTTTTATTAAAACTATTCAAAGGCACACACAACCAACAACATTTATTTGAGTTTATTGGACACTTTTTTAAACCAACGAACTTTAACTAAGGATCAAGACACATAAAAAAACCTCCAATTTAGATACGACAAAATAGTTACGCACATAAATATACAAATTTATACAAAAAAAAAAATAAAATAAACAAAAATCCTTGTATTTTATACGGTTTTACAAATGCTGATCTTATTGACAGAGACGAGAACCAAAACGAAACCGACTTGAAAAAGTGCAGATCCATAAATAATGTCATAAGCATACTTACTTTTTAAATGGTAAAACAATGAAATGAAATTTAAATACTTTGATTTTATGTTAGATAAGTGGTGTATTTTATACATTTTTATATTATATTGAGGACTTTACTTGAAAGATCCCAAGATAAAAACAAGTTCAGAGAAGCCAGAGAGAATTCAATTGAAATTAATCACGAAAACTTAACCAATAAAAACTTTCTTGAAAAATTGTAAAACTATTAATAATGGAGGCTAAAAGAATTTAAATTGTTTAATACCCATTGCACAAAATGAATTAACTTGTATCCTGCTAGAGAATTCCACTAATTGAATGATTACAACACAAATGTATTTGATTTTTCTCTTTAACCAAGAATATATTAAGTGATTCCTAAACTAAATCAATTTCGGTTTCAAAGCTAACTTAAGGAGGTTTAGGTCTCGACTTGTGGTTGCAAAAGCCGATTAAAGCTTTTCACGATCCCTGATCGGATCTGGCAAATATATATATGAAACGTATTGTTTAATTAAGAGATTTGAATGTGAATGTATGGTACATGTAAAGGTCCCAATTAAAGTACTAAGACAGTACATAATAATCCTTAAACTAATATGTATCGAGCATATTTTCAAGGAGTTATAAATAAATGGAGTTGAGTACTAATTTTGCTGTGTCTTTCTACTTATATTTGTTTAACTTTTATAGTTTTGGTTTAGTGAACCAGGTTTTCTCATCTTATTACCAATTGCTAATTAGTATTAGACTCTTACAATTTTCTGCACAACTTGTATGAAATTCTTTTGAAAATTCCATTAATTTGAATCTTGTTTATGCTAGACAATCGCTGGCCAGACAGCTGTCCAGCCGAAAGGCGTCAAGTGATTATTACCGGCTGCCGGTGTCTATTCGTTATTTACATACATACTATACATATATGTATACTATATATACTATATATATTTGGATCGATCCATCGATCAGCTGTTTAGAGCAGTTAGTTATCCCAATGTAGTGAGCACAACAACCAACCAGTTGCTCTAATATGTAATTTGAATAAATGATTTATAATGAAAACACTTTAGCCGAGCGTCGTCTGCGTATACGTAATGCGGAGTGGAGCAATGTATAGTAATTGATATATGGCGCTAATTGCGCTCGACGCCCATTTGTGGTCCAGTCCGTCGGAGCGACGCTTTATCAGCGTCGTCGCCTCAGGAATCCTGGGGTAGCCAGAGACACCAGAATGTAGCCAGTGAAATAGCCAAAGCCATGGCCATGTCGAGACGGTGTCAGGTGGTAGCCAGCGCCGCTTATTAACTAATTAAAGCTGCATATTTCTTGAGATCTTTAAATGGATTTGCATTGCCAATTGACGCCTGTGGAGTAGTGTAGAAACAACAGGGTCGTCGACAGAATATCATGGGATACAAAAAAGAAACAGTTTTCCGTAGAATCTTAAAGTAAGTTATTTTAGGCTTCCCGAAAATATAATTATATAACCGAGTTATATTGAAAACTCAACTGAAGAATGACCGAGTTAAGTTCGCAATTAACCCCAAATGTGGGAATTGCGTCCGAATCCGAGGAAATCCAACCGACTCATCATCATCATCATCATCACACACCCACCCACCCGGCAGGCGCTGTGTAATTATAATTATCAAGTTTTGGGCCTGGCCAACGCGTCACCGGCGGTCACTCACGTATGTTAAACTTTTCATGACGAAAGTCCACTCGGACAAAAGTTCACTGACCAGGCCAAAATAAAATAATAAAAATATAAAACAAAAAAAACTCATTGCCTGCAGGAGCCAAAATTAAAACTGAAACGGATTTTCATTCAACTGACTGTAAAAATAAATGCAAAACTTTTACAAATTCATATTTTTGTTATTATTAATCGAAGTCAGCAGAGACGCCCCCCGACGCCTTCCCACATTTTGCACTTGGCCAAAATTGAAATTGGACAGGTACAGTGAGGAAAAGTTTAACAATTGGTATTATTGGTAATACTTTTAACACTTTTATAAATTGTTTTTTATATTATAACAATTATTAAAAAGTAAAGTAATTTTGAGTTTATTAAGTTATGCCAGCTTTCATTTTACCATAATTTCTTCTTCATCTATAAATAATATTCATTTCACAATTGGAATCATGTTTATTAGACTTTTATATGTTGTTTTCTATGTAATAATAATAATTAAAACGTTTTTAATGTATTTTCAGTTGAATAAGTTATGCCTCTGTTCATGTCTTATCTAGAAATAATATTTATTTAACACTTGGAATCAAGTTTATAAGACTTTATAAATTGTTTTACATATTATAAAAATAATTAAAACGTTAAATGTATTTTGAGTTGATTCATTTCATTGAGTTCCATTCATTTCTTATCTAGAAATTATATTTATTTAACACTTCGGATTAAGTTTAAAAGGCGTTTATATATTGTTTCATATACATATTATTATAATTTTTAAAACGTTTTAAAGGTATTTTGAGTTGAGTTTCATTTCTTATCTAGAAATTATATATATATTTAACACTTTGAATCAAGTTTATAAGACTGTTAAATTTAATAAAAATAAATTTAATATAATATAATGATTATTATTTTGTGTTGAGTGAGTTGTGCCACTGTTCACAGTTCTTATCTAGAAATTATATTTATTTAGCACTTGGAATCAAGTTAATAAATTGTGCATTTATTCCCATTAGATTTCATTAATTTACGGTGAGCTTTAATTTAAAAAATTGTTTTTTTCAGCGATTATTATTTTACGGAATTCGATCCACTGTTTGCCCCTGTCGCGCCCCTCGTAAACTTTGAAACCGGCCCGGCTTCGTGGTTTTTGTTATTGTCCAAAAGCCCACACGCCGGCAGCAAAGGTTCGATTTCACTTTCGCACGCTGTCCCCTTTCTCCCCATTCACCTGTCCCCTCTCTCCCCATCCACCACCTGTGCCCCCCCCCCCCCCCCTCACTGCTCCCTTGAAGCACAAGGAGCAGCGGGAGCAGGCGCATCAGAGGCGTCACGGCTTGAGCGTTTTACGAGCGAATGCCGCTCTCACCTGCTTTCTTCCGAACGGTGTGCTTTCGCTCTTCGATCTCTGACGCTCCAAGAGAAACTTGTTGTATTGTTTTTGCAGAATTTTTCAACCTGACTGTTTTTAATATTAAATTTTATAAATTAATTCCTAGACTTTAGGATCAAGTGAAAAACCTCCTAAAATTCAAGCAATTAATTGAAGTTCCTTGAATGAAAAATCGGTCAATTTAGAATAAATACTAAGAAAAAACATTGTAACCTTTATGGTTTACTTACTTTATAAAACTCTTTGTTTCTCAAATGATTAATAATATTCTTTGATATTAATTGCACCCAAAATCTTCACACTATAAACAAATATATGTAGTAATTATAAACAAAAGAAACCTATGGCTTATAGCAATTTCAAAATCAAAATCTTCCTATATTGCACAAACGCGGAAGATTTTCACTATACACATTTCATGGTTTTTCCAGAGTTCAACCTGCATTTTCATGCCATGTCCATTGATATTTTCCGGCGACTTCATGAGTGTATGTGTGTGTGTGTGTTAGCATGCGAAACTAGCAGTTAAATTAGCAGTTTTTGTTAAGCTACAATTTTACACTGCAACTCTGTTTCGGGGTACTTTTTTTCTTGTCTTTTCCCGGTTTCGCCTTTTGGGTTTCTTCGCTTTTTCCACTCTTGCAATTTATAATTGACTTGCAATTTGGCTTTGGGCACAGCCCCAACTATTTGTGGAATTTCGGGGAGGCTAGGGGATTTATGTCGGTGGTTTTCGTGGAACTTGCATGCGTATTCGTCATCAACTGTGGTTGCACGATAATAAAAAAATAAAAATAAAATAAAAAACCAAACAAAACATGAAAAATTATCGCATTTGTGGTATGATTTTTCGGGATTAACCCTGGAAATATGGGAAAATCTCTAGAGAAATATGTCTTGTTTTAAGTATAATATTTAAATGTAAAGTTGAAATTTAATTTCAGGATCTATGAAGTTACAAAGTATATAAAATATTTGTGAAAACAAGACTGAAAAAAATTATACAAAAATACAGTGAGTTTAAGCATTCCTGATACATTTACATTCAATTTTTGTTCAATATTAATATGTAAAATAAATCAAAAAGCCAATAAAAAGTAACCCACTTTAACCCGTATAGTTCACCAACTAACTAAAATCCCTACATGATCCCCAAAACCATTCAAGGGTTAAACAAAATTATGTATTTGTATGCCATTTATAGTCGAATCAGAAGACACAACCCCCAATATTACACACAAACAATAACATAAAATCGATGTAGAAAAACAACAAAGCAAAAAACGGGGATACCATTAAAAGAAGGCACAAATCAAAACGCTAAAGAAGAATCAAAAAATCTTTTGGGGGGGCGCAAAAAGTTCGAAAATTCGAAATCTGAAATCTGTGAAAATGTGGCCGCACGCGATCGAGACATTCGCATTTCATTTTATTCCATTTCGATTCATTGATACGACGGCGGCCCAGAAAACACAACAAAAAAAAAGGTCGGCCCAGTTCCAAATTAAATAATAAGATATCGTTTCTTTCGCTCCTTATTATTATTATATTGTATTCCACCCTTTTATTTTGTATTTTTTGCGTGCTGCGTTTTTTGTGGACTTCATTTTCTTAGGAATTCCTTGCAGCCTCTCTCATCCGCATCCCATGTCGCATGATCAATCAGAATTTCTGGCTTCCAGGAGCCTCCCGATTTTGATCTGGATCGGTTATCGGGATCAGTTTAAGTTCCCTTTCATTTCAGAATATGATGAAGCCCCTTTTTAAAGGCAGCACGTGCCTAGAAATTGGGATTTCTTTAGTTTCCATGGTCTGAAATCTGTACTAGTTTTTATATCCTGTAACTAAGGTTGTTTTGGCATGGAAATCTAATGAAAATATACAGGTTTAAGTATATATTTTCATATAATTTCCCTTAACTACCTACCTCTCATTTGGTTCTATAATTTCCTATCTTGACTCGCACATCACTTTCCTTTTTTCCTATTTTTTTGTTTGTTAAAGATCAGCTGCCACTTTCCGAGGGCGGCACGTGCTTTCTTCACTTTCCTCAGCTACTCGGGTTACCTGCGAGTTAGTTTTCCCCCTTTTTTACCCTTTCAAGAACTCATTCCTCACCTTTGGCCCTTTCGACCGCCACGCCCCCATGTCATTAGGTCGCACACTTACGCCTGGCGGATATTGATTTCCTTGCACTTGAATGGCACACTATTCAATGCTTTCCAGTAGCTGTGATGATGATGATGATGACATCTGTGAATGCCCATTGTGTTTCACTTTTCATCAAACTTATATTAATAAGTTGTACCGAGGAGGGGCCATAATTAAACCGAATTCGATATTTCCGGCCGGAGGAAAGACATTTGGTTCACTGAACCCAAGAAAAATCCTTGAACTCTCCGCGTCGCCAGACGAAATAAAAATATTTGTATACATATGTATTTGCCAATAATCTATTTCAAACAGAGGCCAGCATAAATATGAAAAACAAAAAATATATAAAGGAAAAAAAAACTGAGTTAGAGCGGCGTCTGCTGCCCTTTTGGCGGCACCCTCACAAAATTATTGACCACGGTTCCAAGCAACCAAAACTAAAAAAATAGTAAGAAACCACACAGAGAGAAAATTATAATAAAAATCACAACAGGATTTAATGGTTAAATTTTCATTTTATTGATACGTTTTTGTACGTATTTTGTTTAAACAAATTGACCAGAATTTGAGGACCAATTTCAGTTGGAAGTTGAATTTTCAATTTCTATATCATATAGTACAATGAGATCTTTTAGACAGTTTTTCAGAGTGCATAAAGTCGGACTTTGAGTTGGACTTGTCCGTGTCTCATCGGATGCGAGATGCTACCCAAAAATATTTCAGCTAGAAGGGACAGGACAGGACTTCTGTGCGCCTTCTTCCATGTGGTTTTTTATTTTTTTTTTGCTTCTGCTGACCAACAGACACACACAAAAATACATATTTCGTTCTAATCAACATGCTGCAAAACATATAATTCGAATTTTTGATATTTCGTTCGACCATTTTGCTGAGAAAATTGCATTTAAACGCCTATTATGCGCTTTTTATTTGCAAACCCATACTTTTCTGCCCGAATGCTCGGATGCCTGGATGGACTCAGTCATGCAAAAATACGAATCATTGTATAAGCATATACCATTGGCCAGGCCATAATATTATGTCTGTCAACTAGTTGGCTTGGCTTCCTGCTTTTCATTTCTTTTATTATTATTTTGGGGAGTTAATTAAGCGAAATCGTAAAAATCGTTAGCAAATAAAATAAATTGTACTCAATTACACGAGTGACATCCAAGGCGCTATCCCAATCACTGGTGATTGACCTCTTTCAATGCGACATTCTTGGCTTGGAAAACAACTCGTCTCTTTAGCCAGATAATGAACTTTATACGATCGGGTATATATATATATATATATATACTCCGAATCAGAGTCGGATACTATGCGGCATGCACTTAATCAAAATGTACGACAAAATCAAGAGTAAACAAAACTGCAGCGCAGAACTCGACTTGAGAACCGGCAACGGCGGGTGCATTGAACACATGACACGGTCACAAAACAACAAAAATTTAAATCTCATTTATTTATTTTATGTATTACAAGGCACTGCGGAAATATAAATGTGATAAAGAAATACAAAAAATGTATCATATGGGTGTGAAACAAAGGGGGAATTCGGAGACATTATGAACTATCTTTTGGTTAAAATTTAAAATTCTCTGCTTAAAATGTATGCATTCAATTTATTAAAATCAGTAAATAATAATTAGTAATAGGAAGCTTTGAGCCTTTTGTCTAAAAAACTTTCATTCTCCTGTATGAACTCTCTAACAAATCATTGTCGTTCTTGTGCTCTAACTGATAACATCTCAAAATTTTTGTTTTAGGTCTCAAATTATTTTCTTGTTCGGTTCCAAAGTAAGTGAAAATTTGAATAGAAAAAAAAAAAAAAGTAAAATCCTACAGATACTATTTACTTTTTAGAACTTGTACGGATCAATCATGTGTTGTGGACCCTGCGGACCTTGTGGACCTTGCTGTGGTCCTTGTGGACCCTGCTGTGGTCCTTGTGGACCCTGCTGTGGACCATGCGGAGGATGTGGTCCATGCTTCGGGCCTAATGTCTGTGGTCCCTGCTATGCATGTGGACCCTGTGGCGGCTGCTATTGTGGTTATCCTTGCTGCTAGGACATCAAATTGGGGAAAAGGAATCAAGCTAATTTGAAAGCAGAATACCGGGAAAATAAGGCAGTTATCCAGGAACCTCAAGAAATAATTTGAGACTAAATAAAAATGGAGTAGGAATGTCTAGGGATTGTTTCTTTATTTCACATTGCAAATATTAATGCAATTTATAATATGATTAGTTAATTCCAGAGAGATTTGCATAATCAAATCGAGCAAGTTGAATTTAGAACAAAAATCACTGACGTAGTATATATATATATATTCAAAGCGACCCGAATAAGAATCGATCGACGTCTTCTAATGCGATGTGGTTGACCTTGACGATCTGTCGAGAGTTTATTGTCCTTTCAATAGAACACGCTAAATAAAGCTTATTTTAGCAATCCAAGTACATATATGCATATATATATTTTATACATTTTTTATCTTTTTTCGTGTGTTTTTTGTTGTATATTTACTGCACTAATTCTGCGACGAACTAGTTTCGACACAGCAGATTCCTATTCCGATTCCGATTCCTGAATTCCGAGTCAACAAAGTGCATATAAAACAAAGTATTTAAATTTTTGTGTACCCCGGCAGCCGGAGATTCCCCCCGATTCCGCCTGGCTCCCGGGACCAATCCCCGAGCTCATCATCAGCTGACTGGATCTACGCGCGCGCGCGCCTTTTTAATTGCATCTTTCGAGAGTTTCCCTCCTGGCCTTCCCTCCCCTAAAGGGGGTTACCTTTTGTACCTGTATTGGTCCGAGACTTAACTCTGTATGCAAATTAAACAAGTTCGCTGCCAAAAATATAGCCGTTCGCGTTGATTTGTTGTTGCCCGACGCCGTCGCCATCGTCGTGTATATTTGCCTTTAATTATTTATTTGCATTTATGTGCGATGTGATGTAGTGGTAGTAGTAGTAGTAGCAGTCAGTGTAAAGTAAGTAGTTTGGCTAGTCGCTTTGTTTTGTCTGCCCAAACTAAAGCCACAACAACAAAAACAAAAAATAAAGATTCACCAAATAAATATAAACACAAGAGTAAAGACCAAACTCAAACTGAAACTCATACTGAAACCAAACATGTTTCATGTTTTTTGGGCGTTTGCTTGGAGTTTTTTTTTATCTATGTTATTATTGATCATCAGCTAAATTGTTGATAATTAGTTTGGCTTTGAACTTGATTTAGAGCTTGTTTGATGCCCAAAAAGCCAAATGTGTCAATAGTCGACTCTTTTTGGGGGGAGTTCATCGTCGAGAACGAAGCTCGGGACTTTTCTTGATATAGTGTAAGACAAGATTTGGGTTTTTGAGTTCTGTCAAGTCATTGAAGTCATTTATATTTATTTAATTCATTTGTTTTTAATTATCTCTCAATTCACTAATTTGTCTTCCCTTTTATGTTTATACTATTCGATAAAAAAGAACAATTTCTCAGAAAATAGAAACTCTTATGGAAAGTATATTTTAAGCTAATTCGCAAAGGGTGTTTGTAGGGATGTTATTATGCAATATAATGTAATATGAAAAACTATTTATTAATTATATATAAATTATTAAAATATTAAAATCAAAAATCAATATTATATAACTTATATTTCATCAACTAAATATAGCAGAAAGTTGTTTGTACCGTGAATCGATTAAAGAACATTCTTATTCGGTTCAAAATAAAGTTCACTGTTTTATTTTAAAAGTATAACCTTACCCATAAATTGTTTCTTGTATATATCATTTATGTTTTATAAATCCCACATTGGATAAAGCATCTTTAACAATTGTATTTCATCCCCTACAATCATTCCAATCTTTATCTCTTGTTATCCAATTTCCAGCCTCATTTTTTCCAATGGGTTTTTTTTTGCCTGGCACTGAGTATCCCCTATTCATGCCCTAATTGCAGCCCAGTGGAACAGTTTCGAGTATTTCATGATCATGACTAAGGTCAGATTCATAAAAACCGCATAAACTAGACCCAATTTAGTTGACAAACACACAATCACACACAAAATGATGTGTTGAGCGAAGAAATTAAAAGCGAAATGGAATTGTTTATGCAAAAAAAAGAGACAAACTTGAGAGGTAAGAGGGGATTTTGCCAAGCATTGAGGGTGCCGGCATTTGCATAGACATTTTGCACGTCGAGGTTTGTGGTTTTGGGTGTCCAGAGGCATATCGAGTGGATGATGGTGGAGGCCCCCACACAGAGAAATATTACACATTTTTAGAGCCAAGAAAAGGTTAAGAAATTAACTTTAAATAAATACATAACCCATAATAACCAAAGAGCTGAAGGTCTTCTCTGCTATGGCTCTAAACCCTAAGTTAGCTCTTAGTTTAGGGATAATTGAAAGCTTTAGATAAATAAACCATTGAATACAACTATAAATTGTAGATAAATTATTCCCTTAATTTGCGATCTTTGTCTTTAAAGAATGGTTGGTATTTTTTCTTAATGGCAAGTTAAATTTGTAAACATAAAAACGACATTCTCTCAGTGTATTAGATAGCGAATGAGACGCTTCCATTTTCAAGGGGGCTGCCTTGTCTGGCGGCTCGGATTAGCCGCTTCCACATTGAACTTGAGCTCTCCCTATCTCTACGGTGCACAAATCCAAGACAAATCCAATCAGGTTCTGGCCAATGATATTGTTACTGCCGGATCTGGTGCACTTGCGCATAAATCATGCGCCTCCGATGATATCACGTGTTTATAATTAGATCGAGTGCATTTTCACTTTCCACCAACCGAACCCCAATCTGTCTCAGATGTCCATGTCCAGGAATCCAAATCCGTATCCGCATCTAAGGCAACTCCCCCCGTCATGTTTGACTGACTGAAAATCGTGATATTTGATGTGAGTGTAGTATCTGTGATTTGACCAGGAACGGAACCCCATTGAGCCATCAATGGATCGGATCGCCCGTAAAGTGTCGTTCATTATGACCTCCTGTTATTGTTGGCCAGCGGCACTCGTGGCTCTTGGCTACAATGTAATCTAGCTGCTGGCGGCTCTTTAAAATATGCAGCGGTTCCGATACTGTCAATATATATATCCATATACATATATACATATATGTATCCACTTGATCCAGCGATCGGGCGGAATCCACTTGGCGGCACTCCGTACATATGACCACGTTGGCCCTGAGAACATGTTATTAAATTACTGTAATAATGTATTAAGTATGTAAGAATGCCACAAATGTTAATATGTAATAATAATTGTAATGGCCGGCAGCTATGTGAGAAAGACCGATCTACTCGACTTTGGCCAACAGTCCACCGGCATAACCCTCCTCTCCTCTATTACGCACTCAAATTGACAACAACTTGCGATTCCCATTTGACATTTTCATTTTCAATTCCATGAAAGTGCTAATAATGCACTTATGTGTTCGTATTGCACGGGTTGATTTCATTATATCAATGATATATACTTCGAAAAAATTGATTCAACTTCCATATCATATCGCTTTTGAGTTTAAAGAAGTTTAGAGTAAATAGAATTTAAATTCTTCAATAAATCTTTAGAACGATTCCTACCTACTATGTATTACCTTTAAGGTTTAGATACAGAGATCTTTCAACAGAATCTCTATGAAATGGATTTAGTTGTATATATTTTTCTTTTATAAATATTTACCAATTAAGGATCAAACTGATACCTAAAGGCAATATATATATGTACATATTATAAGAAGAAATATAAAGAAGTTAACGAATCTAACTTTCCTGTTTATTTAGAGTTATTGCTGGTACAGCGTTATATTTTTTATAGTTAATAATATTTAACCCCCTCTATTATGACATATTTAAAACAAAATATTAAAAATCTTAATGCATAATGGTTTAAGAGTAAAGATAATAGGATTATGTTCATTGAAATATTAGACTGATCTATCATATGTGCTAATTTAATATATATTTATTGATCTATCAGTAAAAAAAACAAGAGATTTATCATAGATTTATAGTATTATTTCTACCTCAAAAGTATCCAAAAAGTTGTATGACTTTGCTGACAATGTGATTTACCACATTTACGTATCAAAGTCTAAAAATAAAGGTGTTTTAAATTAACTCTGTTATTAACTATGACTGTTAAAGCTATTGTGTACATAAGTCCCTTAATTATATGCAAAAGCTTTTGGTCAAGACAACTTAATATAAGAATATGTTAATTATTTTTTGCCCCCTTATTATTCCTTCTTTATTTTAATTTTTTCTTTAAATGTTCCCGGGTGCGCATTTGCTTTCTTCTTCTTTTTCTGGCTGATGATTTTTGGGTGTTATGCAATCAAGACGATAATTTCAACATTTCTACAATAATAAAAATAAAAATCCAAAATTGGGCAAAAAAAAAGTAAGGATATGCATATCCAGTTTTAGTCGCACGATTTTCTGGATTTGGGAATTTCATGGGATTTTATTTATGTTCATTGCTGCAGCTTTTGTTGTGATTTTTTTGTTTTTTGCACTGATTTGGCGGCTGCTGCTGCCAACGAGTTAGACTTGTAAATAAAGTCTAATTATTTGGCGGTGTTTGTTCAATCAATTAATATTATTTATAAATTGTCTGAAATGATGTTGAACAACTGCGTGTGTCTCGCGGGGCCTGAATGCATTGAGTTATTCTAATTTATGTCAGCAAATGTCACATGTGGGGACTTCTTTGTGCACTTTGGATACTTTTTTGATATCTACATTACCATTTGGCCTGTTCTTTGACTCGGAATCAGCGATCGCTTGTATATTTACACTATTGCAATGGTAAACAGTCTGCGTCTGGGTCTGATCATTAAACATTTATAAACAAATTATGTCAATTTGTATGTAAACATGAAATCGAATCAAATCGCACCAGCGAGTGGCCGGCCATCGAATGCAGACGTGCAGAGAGTCGCCTTTCGGTCCGCCAGCACACAGATTATTGCAAATATTGGATTGCAGCTTACAGCCTGGCTTTTTGCTGTCGGTTCAGCATACACCGAAAAACATACAGATTTTTAGTTTTATACCAATTAAATACCTATATTTATCATTTACTTTCATTTAAATTGATAAATTTGGTTTATAGATTGGAAAATTGAACGCGTTTGTCTAAGGAACTTTGCAAATTGAAGAATATTTTT